AGTCGACACGTTGCATACGCGAGCACATTAACGAGCTTAAAGTTTACAAAATTCAACGTTTCTGCATGTTTAACGAACGTGCGATCCTGTAAAATATTTTTTTGATGACTTTTCATGTTGGTCTTTCAATCTCGTGCATTTCATAGTTGACTCATAGAATATAGATGTCGCATCGCTAGAACCCCCAAGCAGTTTAATTTGACTTAGGTTTATATGTAAGAAAATAATTCAAACGATGTTTTTACTGTAAAATGTTTAAATGATTACGTACTGTAATTGGGCAGTAGTATATTTTCGCACGTAGCGTAAGCTCGCATTGCTACACCAGCAATCTTTGAGACAAAAAAGAAACGTTTTATTCATATTTATGTTATCAACAAACGCGTCAACAACGTTTTGACCGCGAAAATTCGAGAATTCGAGCGGTCATTCCAACTACTAGCATCACTGCAAATTTTCCACTACATTAATCGCAAAATAAATACCGTTCGTTTAAATTTCTTGCTTATTACAGTTGACGGGCTTGATCTGCTAACGGGACGTGCCTTTCGACTCGCGCACATACACACGTAGGAATCCTGTTAGCAGGCAAATATGCTTACTAACTTATGGGACGCGAATAATTTTATCTTTGTTATTTTCGAGGATCTTTTATTTTTTATTATAAAGACAAATTGACCCACGCGCGAGATAAAAAATTTAATCCCACGTAAGCTAATGGCTATTCTTTGAACTCGAGGCTGCAACTGTATATCCTTACAAGTGGACTAGTAGCGAGCGCGACCGAGTAACAAGTAATTAATGAATCCTAGCCGGGGACTAACGACTTTTATCGCGGAGTGAAGAAAAAAAAGGCGAAGAAGAAGAAAGCACCGAGACGATCCAGCACGAAAAGTTTAAGGATAAGGGGCAAAAGAATCTCGGTTAGGTAAAATCATTTTGTGTGTCAGGGGAAGGGGCGAGAGCGAGCAAAAATAAATTAGCCCGCGCGACTAGTTTGAATTTAAGATTCCTCGCAGCGAATTTTAAAGCGAGGGGTTTGCACGAGAAAGAAAAGATTGTGCCGCGCTTGTGCAGAAAGAAAAATAAGAATCGCTGCTTCTTCTGCTACCTCTTTGCTAACTGATTTTCTCGTTATACCATTTTCGCGTTTATGCATATTTTTATAACAATTATTTCGTGTTCTCGTTTGGTGATTAAAGAAAAATTATTGATCGAAGAGGCAAGAGTCGTATCGGTTTTGTAAGAAAACATGCTCCTGTACATAACTTCAAAGAATGTCTCCGTCCGAGACGATTCTGCACGGACGCATTTAAAATATCGACGCTATACACGAGTATATTGCATGCACGCGTGCCAAGCAAAGTCACGCGCGATAGATTATAATATGACAATGTCAATATATATGATAGAAGTGCAAAATAGCTGGTCGATTGATAATTTTTTCCCCGTTGTCAAGAGTATATAACATGAGCGCAGAACGAGAGAGAGAGCGAGAAAGAGAGAGGATAATAGGCCTAGTTTTATTGAAAAGGCTTCTTTTGCGCGCCACACGACTCGTGTGCACTTAGTCTTCCGGTATTATTTTACAAACTGAAAGAGAAAATTTCAATATCGATCTTGCCGGCGCGAGCGCGCGCGCATCTGCTAGGAAGAGAAGCTCGCCGCGAGCTTTCATATCAACTACTTTGGCCTATGTATGTAATACACACTGCGGACTTTCCAACGTGTTTTCCGCACGCTGTATTAATAACGAGGAGCTTCTATCGATAAATCCTTTCTAATCTGCTTCTCTTTTGCATATGTGCGTGTGTGCATGTGTGTGTACGATGGATACACTTAATTATATACGCAGCGGGAATGAGCGTAATGGAAAAGTTTGTTACTCAAAAGAACACATTTACTGATGTGTAGTTAAACGTGATTTTTCAATTTAAATAAAGTTTTATTGATTTTAGTTCAGATTTTTCACGGATTACGCGTGTGATCTCTTGTTTCTGCAATCAGTTAACGCTACGAAACGGAGTGAATTCCGAAATCCACATATGGAAAAAGTGTCACGTCTGCACACGTACATATATGATGAACTCGACGACGTATCACTCGAGGACCTGTATGTATGAGTATGAGCGATGCGAAACAATCTGAGATATAAACGCGGCTACGTCGAAATTTCCCTCGAGAGGCAAAAGGTATATAATATAAAAAGTATATGTGTGATCCAGCGTGGCTCCATTTAAAGGTAAAATATTGCGCTCCATTAATTCAATTGTTCTCCCGTTTTAATGGTAGTATGGCATAGGTGTACTATCCGTAACACATACACGTAAGCGACGCTGTGCAAGCTCACAATTGAATAAAATATATATTTTACCTACGGATTATACGGAGCTCTCGCGAGGTCGATTAATAATAAACCACAAATTTATCGCGGCTGACGACGTTTTTCTTATAATCCAAAAGTTTAGGTACTTGAAAATGGGGTGAGAGACTTGCACATAATTGCAGCACAGCGTAGGGTTAGCCGTAGTTAACGAGACATCGAACGGTTATTAATACGAATACATGTGTGTGTAAAAGCTCTATAGTGCGAAGTCGAGCTGCACAAACGGCTCGGCTGTTCGACAATGTTAAGCGCCTCTCCTCGCGCACAGATAGAGGAGGGCTGCTCTGGCTCTTTGGTTGGCGAACTGCGAACCCGCGGCGCAGAGCCAGCAGAGAAGCACACATATATATAGGTAGACGCAGTAGCCGTATAGTCTCTGAGACTCTCTGGATTGGCAATATATATAGAAGTCGACGACGACGACGACAACAGAGAGGGTCAATATACGTGTCATATATACATGGGCCGCTACCACGCCGAGGCACGTACGAAGCTCTAATGCCGCTGCTGCTGCCACTGCACTTGGACAAAAGAAAGACAAAAGAGGGAGAGAGAAAGATAGAGTGAGACGGATGAGAAATAGCACATCGACTAGGAAGTACAAACTGTTGGCGAAGATGCGGATTAACGCGTGCTATACTTATACTGCAAGCGCGAGATATGTATCGCGGAAAATGAGCTTGCGACTCGCGTCGCGCATATATAGTTAGATTTTTTCGGCCAGATTATCGTTAAATTACATTCTTCGCGCGGCTGGGAATTTAATATCTTTGCCAATGAATAATGCATTTTCTCTCGGAAAAAGCTCCCTCATAAAAATATCAATTTCAAAAAATGATATTCAATTCCTCGTTAAAAATTTTTTTTGTACAAACCTATCATTTTACGCGTAAATTTACGAATACCAACAAAAATTGTTAAAATTCTGGTTCAAACCCGAATCAAAAAGCTCCGAGCTTGCGGATACAAATTTTTGAAAAGCTCGCAGTGCCAGACGGATACCCAAACATTATGTGCGTGTGTGTGTGTGTGTGTGTGTATGTGCGTGCGTGTGTGTATAAAGGGCGAATGAAAATATGCATGCGAACTCGAGTCATGCGCAAGCTCAACGAGATTTTCTGTCTCACCTCAAACTACACGCTACATTGCTAAGGTAGCAGACGATGGGGCGAGCGACGAGCTTTCTTTATCTTATATACTTTCCTAATTCGGGACTATAAGTTGGCGTATAGCGTGTACAAGTTTAGAGGCGCATTCGCGTGTCGCGTGAGAGCAGCAGCAGTCTATAAGTGCACGTCTCGTGTCTTTGTGTCTATGTATATATATGTGTGCGTGTGTGTGTTGAGAAAGAGAGATAAAAGATGGCGAGTGGTGTGCCTAAAAGTAACAATTTCGAGCGATAAACAGCAGTATAGGTGCAGTACGAGAAGTAGGGAGCGGTGTGTACAAGATGCATATTATTCGGCGCGTCTCTAATAGCTACGCAGTTAGTATTATTAGTAGTAGCGCTACGCGTGCCTCACGGGTAGTACAATAGTCTCGAGACTAAACGTATACCTTGTGTCTCGTAAGACTGGCCAGTGTTTCACTGTAAATATAGGTATATGCTCAAGGGTCTACTGCTGTTAGTGCTGCTAGAATTGTGCAGTAGCAGTAGCAGTAGCAGCAGCAGCAGGAAGGGGCGTGCGTAGAGACCGGGAAATGTATATAAGTAGTCGAGCCAGAGAGACTGGCAGTCGAGCGACTGCCGCCCGACTCGCACGCGCATGCTGCTGCTGCTGCTGCTGTGCTACTATATCCCCCGATCACTGCTACACTGCTGCTACACACACACATACATACACACATTTCGCACAGACTGCATTACGATCGTATTATAAAAGCTCGCTCGAGCCGTCGCAGAGAGAGCCGCGCCGCCGTCGTGCGAGACGATCGCAGCAGCTACATGCACGAGACACGCAGCTACCGGAATGGTCTACTCTTTCTCACTTGCCCCTTTGCCTGTGTAACGATCATTTCGTGTCGTGCGTTAGGCTACCGAAAGCTTTCGCAAGCTCGCAGGGCGTTTGTGAGCGATATATATGCCAAAAAAGCTCGATGCACCGGAGGCATATTATCGAACGACGTGGATTATAAAAAAATGTGATTATGAAAGCATCTTCGTCGTGCATTCTACTCGAGACTACGGTATGCAGGGACGAGAGACTTTGCTCTAGGCGCGGTTAAGCTCACTGCACCTATACTCGAGAGTACACATACAATATCGAGCGTACGAGAGAGACAGAGGCAGCAGCAGCTCGGCGCGCAGCGGAGAGACAGCGAGAGACAGAGCAAAAGAGAGGGTAGTGCACGCTGCTGCTGGCGCACACCCACACTCGCTCTCTCACACACGTAACACTCTCGCACGCGGGGGCAGCGGCTGCAACGAGCAGCAGCAGCAGCAGCTTACACACAAGCACACTTATATACACACAACATACACACGCGTGAGAGGAGCAGGCGAGGGCAGCAGCAGCCGCAGCAGCAGGTGCACTAAAACTGCTCGAAAGCTCACCTGCTCCAATGAGCTTTAAATATAAGACTAGTAAGAGTTCGTGCTCGACACACTACTCACCTGTACCCGCGGCTCCAGGAATCGCTGCAGCTAGTCAGAGCTTCGGCAGGGACCAGCCCTGCTGAGGAGTTTATCCGGTTTATCACGGTCGACGATCTCCTACGAAGCTGCTGCTGCTTCTTTCCTCGTCGAGACTTTGCACCAGCTCGATCGAAGCTTTTTTTTTCTTATCAAAGAATCACAAGGAGAGGCAAAAAAAACGGCACACTGTAATACTAATTCCACCGGCGGCGATGACTACTGCGGTAGTAGTTACTGCTACTGCTGCTGCTGCTGCTGCAGCGCCTCTCTCGTGCAGCTTTCTCACCCTTTCGGTGCTGCTGCTGCTGCTGCTGCACGGGGCGGCACACTCTCACGTAATATACAGATATATGTATATATTATGCACACTTGGAATAGCCTTCGATGCTTCGAGCTTTTACCGAAATCGTCGGGCTGTCTCGCGCTGCACACTTTTCTGCTGCTCCTCGTGGTGGATGGCACACACAGAGAGGCTCGTCGTGTGGTAAAAGCTCGCGTCCGCTGGGGCTCTCTTTTTCTTTTATATTTCAACACTTGCACTCGGCCAGACGGCAATAATACTCGTGTCCACTGCTGCAGCAGTGAGCTGCCAGCTCCGACGTCGTCGTCGGTTCGGCCCTCCTCGCGAACCCACCACCGTCGAGCCCGCCATCTTGGGCCACACTCGCACCGAGAGTGCTGACTCGAGAGCGAGCCCTCCAACCTTCGGGCGCGCACGCGCACCACAACAACGACGACGACGGCTGCAGCCAACGGCGACCACCACGGCGACGTGCGCCGCTTAGTGCTCTCTCGCAAGCTCGCCACTCGCTCTACTCTCTACTCTCTACTTGCACCACCACCGCCGTCGCTGCAGCTGCTGCCGCCGCCAACGCGAAACCCGCCTGCCAGCGTTTATCCGAAACTCTCCCTCGCTAATTTGTCTTGCTGCTTCTGGTACTGCTGCCACTCGTTGCTGCGATGCACGAGCTTTTCTCTGCATAGGATTTACTCGAGCTTGCGAAATCTCGCCCTCTTGCCGTCGCGATATTATCTTGCTGTATATCTATACCGCATGCAGCGATGTTATGTATAAGCAGCCCTCGACGACTCCCGCGCATCTTCTTGCAGCCGTAGTGCACAGCGCCAGAGCTGTGATCCGTGCCTTTGATGTATGCGACTCTTTGTTTTTTTTCTCATACTTTTGAATTTCAAACTAGGTTTTTAAATGTATTACCACTGACCATAATTACGCGATGGAAATGTGCACACATACACACACGATGTGTCGCGTCGACTTCGCTTGCGAGATACATGTAAACGAAATGACCTATAAACATCATAAGCTATATTAGCATTTTGATGCAACAGACATTGACAATTATAATATAATTAGATAAAAAAAATATTGCTATACTAAGCGAGTTCACGTGAACACACATGCAAGGTTTCATGTCGAATTAAGTTATATCTAGTATGCTTCATAGTACTCGGTATGTTGAGAAATAAGCTTCGACGAGGAAAAATTCTTATTATATTTCTTTTATTAATTCGTACGATCGATCGATTTTCAAGTATTGTATGAAAATCGATGCTCTTAACAAAATACGTTAACTACATTAGCCGCGCGATTTCACTGATAAAATATTGATGGAGTGAATGAAACAAGCTTGTGAATGAATCATTATCGAAGAAAAGTCATGAATCGCTCGGCGGTCAAATATTATGACACGTGCATTTCGAGTGTATATTTTCAAAACAAATAAGGAGCACGTGAAACTGTCCTACCGACAAGTCGTATTTTTACGTAACGATTCAACGCGCGCGCTCCATCTCAAGTCGACTCGGTCAAGTAGTCCTCTCGTGCTTTCAACTGCAAAATCACGCCGTAGGTAAAGAGACTTTCAACTTGACCTGTCACGAATAAGAAGAAAGGATCCAACTACTTCTCGATGTAATCGTTATATTGATGAGTATCGATACTTGTAACGATTATATTTTATTAATCGGTAGCGTTACGCAATGTAACTCAAGCGATTTTGAAATATCAAGATTTTTGGAAGAAGCACCATTTCACCTGTGTCCCCAACACACCGATACTTCAATTTCTACGCGTAAACGGGTATAAGCGGCTTTTCTACTTTTACAAATTTTAATTTATTTCTGCGCGTGTACGTATACGAATAGAAATTTTATTTTAAAAATATGTAATGGAGCACGATGAAAAATAAACGGCCAGGTTGAAGGTCTACGTAAACGTATTATACGCGCTCTGTAATATCATCGAAATTATGCAAGGCACAGAGAGTCGAAGGCAATTATAAACTCGCGACGAGCAGCAGAGCCGGAACTCGATCAAGACGCGGCAATTCTCCTGAATCTCTTTTTTACGTTTATTACGTAAATTCTATGTATTATTTCTATACAACAGACGGCATCGAGAAATAAATGGTAGACGACGAATCTCAGTCTCAGTGTGTCGTGCGTGGATGCTCTTGAACTTGCTCGAGAGAGAGAGAGACGACTCCACTTCTCATATCTCGGCGATTCTCGTGGATAAATCTCGATTAATGTTGCTGCGGGATTCAATTTGCGACGAAAATATTATTATACGTGCACTGGTCGGGCATTAGTATTTGCCCGTGTATAGTGACGCATTTGTTTTGACCGGCCAGCAAGGAACACAATGCGTTACATGCCTCGAACCGTTCGACAGCAGTGACATTTCGTCTTTGGTCGTAAATACACTTCGTACGTGTTGTTTTTTTTTGTACATATACTCTTTCGAAAGCTAAACATTTGGCGCAATCCTCGACGAGTGCAAGTTTTTTATGTTATTATTTCGACGGAGGATCTTTTGTGTCGAGAAGTTGGAGTGAAAGTTTCAATTATCGAATAATTATCAAGATGAGTGAGAAATTGTCGATCGATAGAGCACTGGCACATGGTTGCGTGCTCGTGACAGGTGCAACTGGTTTCGTGGGTGGTTGTGTGCTCGAGCGGCTCTGCCGTCTTCAGCCTGGACCGCGAAAAATTTACGTTCTCGTGCGCAAAAAGCCAAAGGAGACGGCCGCGAAAAGAGTAAAAAAGATACTGAAATCGGCGGTAAGTAACGACAAAAAAATTGAATCGTTCATGACACGCGTAGAGCTTTTCGCGTCGATGTCTAATATTCGCTGATAATTTGTACGCAGCTGTTCAGCAAGGTACCGCGTGGCAAACTGGACCGAATAGTGCCGCTGGAGGGCGACGTGGCGAGCCTGAACTCGAATCTGGGCCTCAAGCCCGAGGACGCGGACCGACTGGTGGCCGAGTGCACCCACGTGATTCACGTGGCGGCCTTCATCTCGTTCGCGGCGGCCCTCGACCACGCCGTCCGCTCGAATCTGTACGGCAGCCGGGCCGTGCTCGAGCTCGCGCGCACGATGCCGAAGCTACGCGCCATGGTGCATGTGTCCACGGCCTACGTAAACGTGCTCCTGGGCACGGAGAACACCACCTTCGAGGAGAAGATCTACCCGCTGGACAACGTGGATCCCGTCGAAGTTTTACAATCGGCGAGTACACCGATTTTTCCATTCCAAGAAATCATATTTACGTTGTTTTTGACTCGAATACGATGATGACTTTGTAGGTGAACAGTTTGCCGGCACAAGAGTTCGAGAAAAAGTACGCCCATCTCGTGGCGAGATTTCCCAACACCTACGCCCTGAGCAAGCGATTGACCGAGATCATGATGGAGCGCGAGCGGGCCCACGTGCCGTTAGCCATCATCCGGCCCAGCATCATTCTGAGCACGTGGAAAGAGCCGTTCCCCGGCTGGGTCGACAATGTCAACAGCGGCATTTTGGGCTTCGTGGCGGGGGTCGGCAAGGGTATATTCATCACGTGAGTAGTGGTATCTCGTCTATTGGAAATTCATTTGTAACATGAAAACATTTTACACCAATGAAGATCAAATTTTGTTTGTCCTCTCTCGTGCGCGAACTTTTCTGGTGAATTTATATGCGGCACAGAGATGTACTTATGGTGTACGTAGTTGATCAGAATCGAACTATAATTGCAAAATAATATCTTTCCATCATTAAATATATGATAAACTTTGCGTTAGGTACGAAAAATTTTCACTGCGTGCAAAGCTTTATTAACATTGAGGCTGTTGAATTATTTGTGTTTACTGATCAGTTATAGGAATTTTCGGACAGAGTTTATAAAATTAAAGATCAGAATTATCTACTCGAATACTAACAGCAAGCAAACACTAGGAAAAAAGGTTCAAATGTTGAACACTATTAATAATTTAGCTTAATAGCTTATAAGTACTAAATAGAAATAAAAGGTTTTTTCACAATCACGACGAAATTGATAGTAGTTCGAAATAGTTTATTATTCTTCACAAAATTATAAGAAATTTGTACGAAAATTTTCTAAAATTATGCAGCTTACTCGTTTGGTTGTAGAAGTCTTCATTGCGTCCAAATTTCTCTGGACTAAACAAACTCTGCTCGCTGCTGAGGTTTGCTAAGATCGTCTACTTCATTCGTGTAAACTTCAAGGTTTTGTTTCCAAATGATTTGTAACAAATATTATGCTTCTTTGCTTCGATGTTTGATCCAATTGTGTACTGTCATTGTGGGTTTTTTGACTCATGTAGACTGTTGTATTCAAATGTTGTGTGGCAAATGTCACACTAAAAGGGTTTTTACGATCATGTACTGCCATTGAGTGCTTTTTTAGTTGACCTTTTTGGCTGAATGATTTGTGACAAATTCCACATGCGAAGGGCTTAATTCGAGTATGTACTGTTTTTATGTGAGTTTTCAGGTTATATTTTAGTCCAAATGATTTATGACACATTTCAAATTTAAAGGGTTTGATACGATCGTGTACTGCTTTTATGTTATCTCTTACTTTGGCTTCACGGACGAATAATTTGTGGCAAACTCACATTCAAAAGGTTCTTTTAAGATTATGTACTCTGTCTACGTGACGATTTAGGTACCTTTGATCTTCAAATGGTTTGTTATAAATCTGCATGTTCTTTGATCCCTTTGAACCTGTGGTTAATGCGCGACGGTGTATACTAAATTTATACGAGATTTGAGGATATTTTTTAGTCCGAATGATGTGTGGCAAATGTTACATTCAAATCATTCGCCATGAATATGCTCTGTCATAATGTGTCTTTTCAGTATATTCTTATATCCAAATGATTTTTGACAAATTTCACATTGAAAAGATTCACTACGATGATGCACTGTGTGTATGTGATTTTTTAAAGTATGCTTATATCCAAATGATTTGTGGCAAATTTGACATTCGAAAGGTTTGATACCATCATGTACTGCCTGTTTGTGACCTTTGAGGTGACCTTTTTGCCTAAATGATTTGTGACAAATTCCACATTCGAAGGGTTTAATCCGAGTATGTATTGTTTCTACGTGAGTTTTCAGGTTATATTTTAGTCCATATGATTTGTGACAAATGTCACACTCGAAGGGTTTGCCACGATAATGTACTGTTATTTTGTGTCTCTCAAGGGTAACTTTTTGTCCAAATGTTTTGTGACAAACTTCACACTCGAAGGGTTTGCTCCGATCATGTACTGCATTTTTGTGACGATTGAGGGCAGTTTTTCGTCCAAATGATTTTTGACAAATATCACACTCAAAGGGTTTACTTTGATCATGTACCACACTTATGTGTCGCTTGAGGTCACCTTTTTGTCCAAATGATTTGTGACAAATGTCACACTCGAAGGGTTTGCTACGATCATGTACTACTATTTTGTGTCTCTCAAGGGTACCTTTATGTCCAAATGATTTGTGACAAATTTTACACTCGAAGAGTTTGCTCCAATTATGCACTTCATTCATGTGAGTCTTTAGGTGTTGTTTGAGTGCAAATGATTTGCGACAAATGTCACATTCCAAAGGTTTGATATGATTATGTACTGTGTCTATGTGAACTTTGAGGCTTGCTTTTCGTCCAAATGATTTGTAACAAATTAGATATTCGAATGGTTTGTTATGATCATGTACTGCCTGTTTGTGACCTTTGAGGTGATATTTTTGCGTAAATGATTTGTGGCAAATGTCACATTCGAAATGATTGTTCCGATTGTGTACTGAATTCATGTGAGATTTAAGATGATCCTCTCGTTCGTCATTCTCGGATTCGTCAAGCTTCAATTGGAACTTTTGTTGAAATGGACAGTTATTATCGTAATCGAATTCTTTCTTTATCAAAATGATCAAAAATTTATCGTTCAAGTAATTGGTCTGAATTCGTTTTTCTATTTTCACATTTGAGGAATAACTTTGATACTCAGTTTTGCAGATTTTTTTTGATGAAAAATTTAGTTCGAGTTTAACATTTTTGCACTGAAAATCTACGTTTATTTTCTCATCTATTTTTTCTTGTTCCGAATCGAAAATAAAATCATTGCTTATATCTTCCCAAGCATCGTCCAGCTCTTCCTTTACCCTGAATAACAATTGACCGTAATGAAGCAATCGCTTAGAAAAATATTATTGTATGAACAAAAAAGTTATAGGTATACCTAACAATTCTCTCGCTATGTTCCATCACTCGCTTGATTATACGTTATCCTTGGAATTTTTCACGATAAACACTTTGAAAATATTTGAGGTTAAACGCTCCGATTAGCTAACACTGTGCTTTGAACAAAATGTATATCTTTTACTGATATTCTTTGTAAACTCTTTTGTATCTATTGTAAACTATGGGAATATAGTTCTCACCAGAGATTGTACACACTTCACTACTATAGCAATGCAATGGTAAGTCGACCTCGCGATTTCGATATCTGCACGATGAATGATGATCCTTCCTCCCTCTAGCCTCGACTGGCCCTATATGTTATGTACTGCAATGCGTATTCACTGGATTGTCGTTAAAACTACATCAAAATTGAAAAGACAATTTGATCTTGCCTAGTCAATCCCGTCGATTTCATCGACTTTCTTACAGATACATGCGACATACGTGGAAAAACATTTACACAAAATGAAAATATTTCTTTGAACCTACGTCGAGGATCATGATATTACAAAGATGATATTTGGAACAAAATTTTATTAGGCATTTGAGCTGCAATTCGTATCAATAATTTTAAAAAATACATCTCTTCTTTTCTATTTGTAAAAACGTAATGTTTTGATTATGTTTTGAAAATAAACTTGATGTAGTTGATTGTTGGATTTGAATATGTGGCGTTTCATGAGTCTAGCGCGAGTTTTTAAATTCTGCGATAATGTGATCGAGTATGGGTATGATTTTTGCATGAGCGACGCACTGAAACGTGCCAGTAGTAGTTAGATTTGCGCCTTAAAAGCTGCAATCATTCGTAATATAGACCCATCTCTTTTAAAAGAAACGTCTAGCCAAACAAACAAACGAACATTATCTTTCGCAATCACTTTTTTAACACTGCGTGCGCGAAACACGGGTTTTCTAACCTTAAAGCGTCAGAAAACCCTAGTTTCTCGCAAGCAGAGTTAAAAAATATCGTTTGCAACTAGTCCGCGAGGAAGTTGACTCACCCAGGAGTCTTTGCACCCTCGCTACGCTCGGGTGAAAACAACTCCTGGCTGAGTCAACTGCTTCGCGCACTTGTTACAAAATATACTATTTTTTGCACCGCACTCGCTTTAAATACCTTGAACAACGAGTGAAAATTAAGCATTCGTCTAATTGGATAGCTGTTGCTGTAGTGCTCGAAAAGACTATACTTTTAAACCGACTCACGTATCCTTGAATTAAAACCAGGCATTGACGAAATCGTCAATATATATGATTTAAAATTTCTATAATACATTTTTTGATGAAAAAATGTTCTGGTCCGCAGAAAAATATTCGAACGAGCTCCGGCAAAACAATTTGCATATCTTAAGACCACATAATTGTTCTCCCATCTAAAAATAGCTTTTCAATGTCTTTATAAGCACATGTTCAAACAACATCTTCCATAAAGACATTTGCTTGAAAATTACAGTTGAATCGTATAAAAATTACTGATTTAATCTATAAAATACATGCACAAAACTAATTCAACTACTCGGATATAACAGTTACAATAGTTTTTTAATAAAGAAATTAATTAATTTTTTATTTCTTGACTCATTAGCGATCATTAATTACACAGCTCACTCTTTTCATCACAGAAGCGGTATAAAATCGCGACTATTATCCTCGAAATGCCGAACGAGAAAGCGAATGAAATGTAAAATCATAATTCCTTTTTTTTTTCTTTGTCTCGCTCAAAGTAATCGAGCACGAGCCGAGAAAGCCATGGACGCCATCCCGGTGGACATGGTCGTGTCGACGATCCTCGCGGCGGCGGCCAAGGCCCAGCTCGAGCCGACGACGCTGCACGTGTTCCACTGCACGTCGAGTGAGGGCAATCGCACGAATTACGGCGAGTTCACGCGGGCCGTGGTGGAGGCCGCGCGACAGGAGCCCTGCCACGGGGCCTGCCTCTGGTATCCGAACGTGAGGTTCCGCGTCAACAAGTGGCGCAACTACTTCGTCATCTTCGTTTATCAAGTCATCCCGGCCTACGTGATGAACTTCTTCTCGCCGAATTCCTACGGCGGTAGCGTGTAAGTTGAGCGCAAAACGACACATGCGAATGATATTTAAAATTATGGAGAATCATCTCAAGTGACATCGAGTTTGACTGTTCCTTTTTTTTTCGCACGTTCATCAGGCTCGTCGACGTTCAGCGAAAGTATATGAAAGGCACCAAGTACACGTCGTACTTCTCGGTGCGCGAGTGGTTCTTCGACAATCGAAAGACCAAGGAGCTCGGCGAATCCCTGCCGGTGCACGAGCTCATGGCCCATCCCATGGACTCGTCCGTGGTCGACTGGCCGGAGTACTTCAGGAATTGCATTCGAGGCGCCAGGAAGCACATACACGGCGAGAGGCCCAGCGAGAAGAACGACAGATACGCCAAAAGACAGATGCAACTGTGAGTCGCGTGGCTGCTGCTGTTGCGCCACAAATTAATTTTTCCAGCAACGATACGCGTATATAAAGCGAGTGGCGAAAATTATCCCGTGTACACCGTTGCAGAAATTATGCGACGAGGACGGCTTTCGCTCGTGCGCTGCCGTCTGCGTGTATATCCAGCACGCGCTCGTACATAGGCAAAGAGTCGCTTTCGCTCGCGAAATATTGGAAAATTATTGGAAATTTTTCGAGTCGTTTACGCGCGCGCGGGCATGCACAAAAAGAAAAGATCGGATGATGCTTGCTGATTTTTAAAAAATTCGTTTTTATACGACGCAAGTATGGGATGCGCGAGTTATAGTTAAAAAAAATCAAAATGTAAATTGATGAATTTTATCGTTGCGGACAACAAAAAAATATCGTGCATAGGATCGTGGAATAGTTAAACGAGCTAAAGAGTCATTGACACCTATTGCTCATAATGTATATAGCCAACGTTGTATATCCCATGCGCGAGAAATCACGGGGCTTTCGCGCAAAACGCGCCTGTGCGTGTGCATAATCGAGCACGGCTCCAAACTCGTTGGCTTCTCTATATCTATGCAAGTCCTCGACGACTAAACGTCGTCGTCGTCGTCGTCGTCGTCGTCGTCGTCGTCGTCGGCTTTTACTTCCTCTTACGCACTCGAAGCCACTCGCCATATATACATACGCGTGCGATTGTTGACTTTGCCATTCTACGGCTATGCAACTTTTTCACCTTCTCCTCCATATGTGTGTTCGCAGATTATGCTTCCTCCATCACATGGCGCCGTTCGTGTTCATGGCAGTGGTGTTCCTCGGACTCACCGGGATCGTGGGTACGAGCGTCAGCTGGGCTATAATCATCGCTTCCATTGTCACGACGATCGAGGTTTGGATTTAAGCGCTCGGCTCCGAAAAAAACAAGGATCCACTGTGAAGTCGCTATTATCTACTTATGAAAAAAAAAGTTATATTTATATACTCGATGCGTTGAGCAATCGACCGCAAATCTTGCGCAATTCGCTGCTCAAGCACGAGCTGTATTTACAATCGCATTCAATAGGCTGAAACTGGCTTCGTTTATTATAAGCATCTCTCTCTCTCTCTCTCTACACATATCTCTTCTCGAGATTTTCGATTTCACGCCGATGAGACAAAAAATAAATATCATCGACCAGATAATACTTTATATTTCACTTTATCCTGCGCATGCCGTGTATTGCGACGAATTTTGATATTTTAGCATACAAAAATCGCCCATAATCGACGAGTGGAAAAATTATCATCGTTGCTCGATGAGAAGGATGATGATTTTTGTCGACTAGGGAAAGGCCTCTCTCGATCGCGAAATTGCTCATTGCTATCCGGAAGATGGACAACGCTGCCAAGGTCGATTATAAAATTGAAGCCTATGCGAAATTTTATTTTGCTCTATGCGCGTGTCGATCGTCGAGCGGTACAGCATCTGTACTTATACGCCAGTGGATGAATATTTGTTAAGTAAAAAAAGTGTTACCTTCAATTAGCTTTAAGATAATTTATGAATGGGTTTTTTTTTATATTGTTACTCTCGATGGTTTGTTTCATACCAAAAGTTGTTATACATTATTCGTACAAATAAAAGAATACGAACAAAGAAAAATAGTAAAGATCCAAACTTCCATGCAAATTACCTTGCGCAGCATCAGCGGCATGGCGTGAGTGCATTTTTCACGCGCGCCACTGCAATTGCGACGCTAATTATTTTTTCCTTACTTTCGTCACTGACGCTCACACGGTGTACATATCTAATTATTTTTTTCGAGAGTTCATCCTTGCTCGGCATAATGACTTTTTTGTAGCTTCGTTTTGATTGACCCCCCGCGCACAACTCCAAAATCGTGCCGCAGTGCGCGAGAAAAGTAGTTCTCGGTCGGTGTGATTTACTACACCAGATTTTCAAAATTACACGATAAATGTCAAATAAATCCGGCGTAATCCTATCGCTCTCGCGAGTCGAGCATCGATCGACGCAAGTAAGGTGTAAGGAGGAGATAATCACGTTTCCAAATCTGTAAGTTTATCGGTACACGCGGAGCACCAAGTCACTGATGAACGAACATGATGCAGATAAAAGTGGGTCTCGAGATATGACAATGAAAACAGGTAATGGTATTATAAGACGAGCGCAGTAATGAGCGAGTTATACGACGCGTAACAACTCGTCAGGTAGTTTTTTTTTCTCTCTCGTCATTATCCTCGTGCGAGTAGGAGTTAAAGTAGCTGCGGCGTGTGCCATTCGCGTCAATCGTATTATCGTTACGACGTGTGTGATTACACTTTATACATCTCCGCGCGCAACGTCGCGCGTACGTTGTCAGACGTAGTTTTTTTTTCATAAATATTATACGAGAGTGTACAGAGCTCGGAAGATCGGAGCAGCTGCAAATACACAGACGCGCACTCACACGGATGGACGGGCTCTTGTGTGGAGCGCGCCTAATATTATATACATGGCTATGTGTGTATATAACTGCCTGAGAGGTGGTCGGGGCTGTATATTCTAGTCGCTCTCTCGGTGTTGTGCAGCGTGCGGACACCAGTTCAGTTGAGTTTCGCAGGTTGCCGGCAACGCACGCCAAAACACGTGCTGCTCTCTCTCTTACTCTCGGCCAGTTCATTTGTGCGTCGCTTTGTTTTGAAATTCTTCATCAAAATAAACAAACGCCCAGCAAGTTGCAGATTACATCGAACATCCGTAACGCGCTTGCGTTTACCTTGTTTCACGACGATAGCAGACGTCTGACACAACGTACAGCAGCAGAATCAGCAATATGGAATCCGCGGTGGCTAATTACTACCAGGACAAGAGCGTCTTCGTGACCGGTGGCACCGGCTTCCTCGGCAGTGCCCTCATCGAGAAGCTGCTCAGGTGCTGTCCCGGCATCAAGAACATCTACTTGATCATCAGGCAGAAGCGAGGCAAGACGGCCGAGGATCGTCTGCCGGAAGTGCTCCAGAACTCTGTGAGTTTTTTTTTGTTTGGCATTTTTTTTTTTTGACATGCTTACGCGAATAAGTGCGTTGTTTAGTGCGTTACCTCATACTTCTGTGGTATGGCTACATCTTACGTCTTGTTCTCTCTCTCTCCGTCTTTCTCTTACACGGCTTCAGCGATCGTTGCGTGCAAACACACATTATATACACAGAAATGTGTAAGTAATATTTGCAAGTATGGACCTCGACAGTTGCGATTGAGCTATAGCCTCCATAATTGCGGAGTTGCGTTTGCCGGACTCGCGAGCGACGTTGATTGTCTACGTACATACACACATGCACAAGGGGGTTATTGATAGTTCGCTTTTTTGCATTGCCAATATATAAACACAGCACATGCACCAACACTCCGGCGGCGGCTCTCCGCGTGGCGGCTGCAGCACGCGAGTGTTTGCTTTGAGCAGCGGCCTATTTTACATACCTGCCTTTCGTTCGCGGCTATCCTGCCGCACAGCAGTTTCAAAACGATTGTAAAAGCGACGTTATGAATCATTTTTATAAGCGCTCTTATGTCACGCGCTTTTTCGAATTTATTCTGTGGGTTACGAGGAATCTCCGACTAAAATTTAACTCGTATTTCAAAATGTTTTTAATTAAAGATGATAGCCTACTCTCGATGCTGAGTGCCAATCGACCTTTGTAACAAATTTGATTTATTTGATTTTTAATTGCAATTTCAATATCAAAATCGCATTCGTTAAGGAATTAAAAAACTGCATAACTTGTTAATTAATTTTATTTTTTACTCATTCATACATACTTTTTTTACACTTATGAAGTACATTCCAAAAAATATTTCAATCATTAAATATCTATTCAATTATTTTCACAAATAAAACCATTTTTTTAGTCATTTTTTATGGGTTAACAAGTATGTAAAAATTTCTATTTTCTTGTACTATTTGAAAAAATGTTCTAAACAAATTTTTATTCTCACAGGTCTTTGATAGATTAAGAGAAGAAGGAAAAACTGACTTATTCAAGAAAGTCATTGCTATCAGTGGAGATATTGGAGAAAAAGAATTGGCACTATCGGAAGAGGATCTCGATACATTGTCTGAAAATGTTCATGTTGTATTCCATTCAGCAGCAACCTTGGATTTTGAAGCAGACTTGAAAAATACTGCTAATGTTAATTTACTTGGTACTCGACGAGTGGTTGAATTATGCAAAAAGCTCAAAAACTTTAAGGTATCAAATATTTTTTCTTTACCTGTACAGTTTTGTTGAGATAAAAAATGTTAAATATTATTATTATTTGCAGTGCCTTGTGCATGTTTCCAGTGCCTATGTTAATTCCTATATTACAGAAGCCTATGAACGAGTATATGAAGCCCCTACAGAGGTGGAAGGATTACTAAAAAAAGTAAAGAAGTACGCCACCCAAGAGCTTATTCCAATGACAGCAGATATCATTGGAAACCATCCCAATTCATATACTTTTACTAAACATTTAGCTGAGCATGAAGTTGTAAATTCAAAATTACCATCAGTAATTGTTCGTCCTTCTATGAGTAAGTTTTCCTTTAATAAATTGAAAAGAATTTTATAAAAATAATTTTGATTCATTAATATAATCAATGAACTTACAGTTGTGGGTGCTTGGAGAGAACCAATTCCTGGTTGGACCATTTCTAAAAATGGACCTCAAGGATTTTTGATGGGAGCTAGTAAAGGTGTTGTACGTCGCTTGCCTGTTGCTGAAAATCTTATATATGATTACATTCCAGTTGATATTGTGGTAAATTCTCTGGTAGTAGCGCCTTATTCTGTTGAAAGAGATAAGTAAGTCAATTTTCAAACAAGAAAATTCAATTAAGTTAAATGAATATTTTTGTATTGATCTCTCCTAAAATGTTAATATTCAACGTACTTTTGTTTTACAGCCCATCTACAACCACAGTTTATCACCTTACATCAAGTACCTGCACTCCTTTTAGATGGGCAGCTGTAACGGATAAAATAAATGGTTATCTGCACAGATATCCACTGGCTAGTGCTGTTTGGTATCCTAGTTTAAAACTGGTTCCATCTTTAACTCACTTTAGAATTTCTGCCTTTTTTGTACACATGATTCCAGCTTATATCTTGGATACTATTACTAGAATAGCTGGAGGTAGACCTGTGTAAGTTTGAAAACTATTTTTAATACTTTGTAGTGAAACAAAGATGTTTATGTAGCATTTCACGTCAAAACTCTCAGCGCGACCGGGACGGTATTATTCAGTCGAATCGTTAAATTTGTAACTCGCTGTAAAAGTACCTAAATGCACCCAGAAGAAAAAAGTAACCCATCATTTGATCTTTCGATCTAGACTATTAAGAAAAATCTTAAAAATTAAGTTTTTAAGAAAATCGACTTTAAAGGTTTCTCAGTGATTTTTCGGAGGAAAATGGAAAAATTCGGGAAATCTGATATCACCGTCGGAAAGCCGAGGAAATTTTCCTTCGAAATAATGGATTACTTTTTTTCTTCATGGTGCATTTAGATAATTTTACAGCGAGTCACAAATTTAGCGATTCGACTGAATAATACCGATTGTGGCTGCGCTGGGATTTTTGACGTGAAATGCCACTAATTTAAAATTGATGACATAAATAATGTTTAATTATATTTTATAGATTGGTTCGTCTACACACAAGTGTGAATAAATCTCTTGACAAACTCGAAAAATTCATTTTCACGGAATGGAAATTCCATAACACGAAGACTCTAGAATTGCATGAAACTCTCAATGATAAAGATAAAGATCTGTTTACTATGGATATTAGGCCAATTGATTGGGAAACTTACTTCATTGATTTATCAAAAGGTGTTAGGGTGTATTTGAACAAGGAACCTATGAAAAATTTAAATAAAGCCTTGAGAAAAGATAAGATGTAAGTATTGAAAATATTTCTTGGTGTTTATAAATCGTTTTTAAAAAAAATTTGAAGTATAACTTTACACTAACCTTTTTGTAATCTGTTTCAGTTTACTAGTTCTTCATTTACTTCTTCAATCATTGATTTTGAGTTTTATTTGGTGGTCATTCAAATCGATTTTTGGCATGGGCTGGACTGAAACAGGAATGATTGTTCCACTCACATACTTCCTTATGAGTTTACTATAAATAACACTTCTTCGGGTTCAAAACGGAACTATATACTAAAAATATTTTAGTAGTTGATGATGTTACTTTCATAATGAAATTGATGAAAACGGAAAAAATTTAATAAGCAATGTTATTCAGGCACATCAACATGAATGATACTTTGCCTTTTTATATCAACATCGTTATATTAAAAATATATTAGTGATATTAAACTGATATAATTTAATTACACATTGTAATAGTACATTTAATACATTTATTATATTTAACTTATTCAAAGATTAAAATTTATGTAAATTCAAAGGATTGATTTTGTTAGATCACGAATGAATTTTTATTTATGAAAATAGATTTTTTAGGTGCATCATAATCATATTTATATTATAATTATAATGCATTATAATCATATTTATAATCTCTTAGTCGTATAAGAGGTGAAATGATTATTTTGTACTGCATATGTTTATACTTGACAATATTGAGTGGCTAATAAAAATATTTATGTATTTTATTTACTTTTCTTTTTATTTCGATTTTATATGAATTTAGTATATTAAAATTTTACTTTAAATTGTTTTCTTATAACTATATTTAAATCGATTGATTAAATTATTTCTAATTTTAACTGAAATCGTATATTAAATACCAGATCGTGAAAATTCAACTCAATTTGAAGTGAATCACACTTGTGTGAATAGCATACAATTACTATTATAAAACAATTGCGGTCTACTTAGCACGTATTTGGAACACTGTTACCTGATAAACACTAAAAATTGGGGTGTCTTACTACATTATTTACAGAAAATCGAATCTTTCTATTTTCAAGGCTGTCATATCACCCAATTATCACTAAATTAAAGTAAATTAATTAGAAGAACGCATTTCAATGACGCTCACTATGACTCAATATAATGCATAATTGTAAAGAGGTAATTCAGAGATAAGAAAATGATTCTCTCTGGACGATGTTGATTTCCACCCATGGCACACTCAGAGTGACGGTGCATTTTGTGCATCTGTGTAAGTCACTGGAAATCCCCATACGCATTAAAAAGGTTTTACGCGTTTCGAAACCACAAATTCGTTAATGGGAGAGAGACACGATTTGCGTGCATGAGTTTCCTTGAATTCAACGAATGAAAATAAAAATGCATAAAAGCAGTCAAATTCTTCCTTGTTCATGACGTTAGTAGAGTTTGATACAAATAGTGACACAAAATATTATCGTTTTATATTTTTCATTTGGATTTTAAAAATCACATCTTTTGTCTATACATCAAACACGTTAAAATTTCAAAATTTCAAATTCACTTTTTGAATTTAATAGCAGTTCATTTCGATTTCATTGTTTATAAAAGATCGCATTCAAATAAAGTAAACCTTTACCAAAACCGTTTGTCTCAGCAAATGCGATTCTAAAATGAAAAATTAATCGATATAGTCAAATTTGGATTATAATTATTCAAATTAAATGCAGGATAGATGTATATGCATTTTATTCGAATTGATTGTAATTTTATTGCATTAATTAATAATTTAACTTTATTTTAAAAATGTACAACTATTGGAAGTAATTGGAAGGAATATTTAGTTTCTCATTAAAATTAAATAGCTGATTTTACTGATAAACCCATTTATTTATTCAAAGATTTGTGATATTGCGCAATGAATAATCGAGCTGTAGCTCTGAGAATCGACGTTGTATCATGCAATGTTCATTTTAAAGATTTAATGGTTATCAGATTTTTTACATTTTACAGTTTCAGAGCGATTTTAATTTCGAAATTAAGAATTTGGAAGAGTTGAATAATTCTTTACGTCCTGTGGAGAAACAGATGTAACTGGCGCAGTTAGTGAATAAGTTTGATTTTTTTATTAAAAGTTTTTCAGATTTTTTTTTGTCAAAATTGGTATACAATTTACAACGGTTCTTATTAGAAAAATGTTTGAGCGCTGTTAATTGTACAAGTAGCTTTTTCTACATCGAATGTGAAAATATCATAATTTAAACGAACAAATCAGTACAACGCAAATGAAAACAATGAAATCAAAGTAAATTGTAGTAAAAGTTTATCTGCGAACGAAAATTACTCTATAATTCGTTCAAAAGGATGTACTCTGATTAAAGGAAAAACTAGACCTTCATTTTTAAATGATAAATGGTTAGAAATCGGCAGTATCAACTTTAATTTAAGTGAAGTAAATCAAATGTTCTTATTCACCTTAGAGCTATAGAGCTGGGTCATTGTTTCTTTCTTTCTTTCTTTCTTTCTTTTTAATCAATCAAAAGCACAATATGCGCGTCGGGTGCGAGACAGGCAGGGTAAATGGTAAACCAAAGAATAACCGGAAAAATGTATATAATACGATCGTATACGTACCGAGCCGAGAGGGCCTGGCGTAAAAAGCATAAAGCACGAGCCGATAGCCAATACGAAGTCAGTCGGTTGGCGATCGACGCACGCGTCGCAGGCCTTCCCTCGCAACCGAGCACACACACACACACTTACAGACTTACCACAGCACAGGCTGTATAACATATAAAACGTATACATCGTTTGCACCGCGAGTTACACCGCAAAGTCGCTTTTGCGAGATTGTGATTGTGCCTTGGCCCTGGAAGAGCGACGCTTTTTTTATCCCTCTTTGGGTTTCGGGTAGATATACCCTTGAGTCGTTTTGCTGCGGCTGTTGTTTCTCCGTGGGGACCGGATACGAGTGGAACAATACAAGTGCTCGAGGTAGGATACGTTTGATTTTTAAGAATTTTGTTTTTTATATAATTTTTAGTAATTAACGATTGGAAATTTTAATAATCAAAGACACAAATCTGTTCGAGAGAATGTTCACACGAGAAAAAACTCAAGTATACACGTGTACTTTAGCCTGTGAAATTCTTTGATCATTAAAATGGTTATTTATGTCTTATACATCCAGTTATTTAAACGAATTATTGATGGATATTTGCTAAGCGTCTGGCAAATATTCATATATGGTGCACACACATCGAGCCGTGACCGAGATATACATGTGCATAAAGCTCTGCAGCTGGAGGGGTTGGCTCATATCAGAACATTATGTCTCAACATCGTGTATATATCGAGCTGCTACCTGCGTCGACGCGCCTTTCTAATCATTTATAGTTATGGCAATTTTCTCGTATACATAAAAATCGAGAAGGTCGCATTATAAGAACAAATTGAATGTAGACATTTCTTATATGCGGCGCCTTCTCTCTATACGCATCGGTCGCTCTCCATCATTGGTCGGGTAGCAGATGCAGGAAGTCATAAAAAATTGTTGTTTTCTCGCGGACGATTTTCCGTGACGTACACCCCCTTCTGATTTTTCCATCGTTTCGGGCAATTACGCGATATCGAGCGCGCAGCGAACTTCTCTTCCGCGCGTGTCACAAAGTGAGAAAGAGACATGGATTTTCCATCGACAAAGTAAAGTAGCGTCGGATTATAATTTTTTCGTTTCACGCGTGCTAACCGCCACTTATACTTACGTATGTAATCGCGGATCATCAAGATTTGTGTAAAAAAGGAAAAAATCGATGCACCGACGCGCACTCGTTCGATCCCGGCATAATGTATCGACAAACGCGCGAAGATGCTGCAACGCGTCGCGGTTAATGAATATATTACAAGTAATTATTATCACTGCGCCTACAAGCCTGGAAGTTGTGAATGTAAATTGTTCATTTTATACCGCGTGTATCAGCACAGTAATTTTATCTGCATTTGCTTATAAAAAAAAATAAGTTACGCAAATGCAGAAACATGTGTGTACATCAATTGAAAAATCAGCGCGTAAACCGACGATAAGTATGATTAGAGCCAGCTCCTGGTCAGGTGTATCGTACGTACAACAATGTACTGGTGCATGATAAATAATGTACTCGTATACTGTGTGCAGTTCCGAATCGCCGGGCAATTTGTTACATTGACGTAATTTAAGAACGAGTCGTCACTGCGTAATAATACGTGCCGCCTTATGACGATCTCCGCTCGCGCTTCGTGCGTATTTTGACCAAATTGAAGCGTACAAACATCGGACTTCTTTGTCAGTGTTGGGATGTGTCGTAATAATTTCTCTAGAAAAATTCACGTAGACTCTGGAGTCCGAGCGGCGAAAACATCGAATCTTTTATTTCCCAAAATCGCGTGGAATATGAGCCCATAAAGCCTTCGAGCCGGAGGAGATGTCGTTATGTATATACCGCTGATTAATCGATCCGTAAATCCAAATGTAAGGTAACGTAAATGCTCTTGATCATTGCGCTTTACGAAAGTCAAGCTGCGCGCACAGAGAACCCGCATTGCCGCAATCACGACCTAATGATTTATCTATTATTTTTATTTTTCGCTCTGACCAGTCGATCATAATTTTGCTCAAAGCTGCGCGACCCAAATGCACGCGATAGTAAAGGTTTTTCATCAATATAGCTGTAACTTTTTTTTTCCTTAATGCGAAACGATCGGCATTCCAATGCAGATCGTCGTCCAGCCGACACAAGACATTGCACGCACGGTGATTCATGTACGCGAGGGTATTCAGAAATAAACTTTGGGTCGCGATGTTTTGTTTCGCGAAAAAAATTTGCAATTACAAGGAGACAATAGAAACAAACATTATAAATAATCTTGAATTCGAATGTGGGAGACGCTTTGAATTGCTCTTTAAAATATAAAATTCACCACGCGAGTCGCGCCACGCGTATATTATTCATCTGAGCCATTGTAATCACCTGTTGGCGCGGTCGTAAATTTTGCAAACTGGCCGCGACGTTTCATCCACCGACTGCCATGTAAATCGACATACTCGTTTTGATCGGTAATAATGCCACACCTCCAGGTGTTATGAAAAAAATCTCAGTGACATCCTCGGTTTTGATAGCAAAATAACTTGGGACTACTATTCGAAGCTATTTTTTTTTCTTTAATTTGTCATTTAGCCGATTATTTGACCTGCGAGCCTGTCTCTTCGCAATGAATTGACCTTTGGATCGCTTTAACATATTTTACAATATTTATTCGGAACTGAGGGAAACGAGAATAAGAACAACGCCACCGCGTGATTAAAAGACCATCCGGTCAGACTTTCCTTCTAACAAATTTTACCATTATTTTGTTGAGTCATTTACACAAGTCAAGCAACGAGAAAAAAATAGTTCAATCTATTCTTTCAGGAGCTAGAGTAAAGATGGACGTCACCGAGACTAGCAACAAAAAACTACCCAGCATCCCGGAATGGTACCGAGGCAGGGAAGTTCTCGTCACCGGTGGTACGGGCTTCATGGGCAAATGTTTGGTGGCTAAGCTGCTCTTGGACTGTCCGGAGGTGGAAAAAATTTACCTCATCGTCAGAGAGAAAAAAGGAGTTCTTGCTAAGAACAGACTGGCACCGCTCATACAGGTATTTGAACGATTTGACCCCTGCACTGCGTCGATAACATTTCGCGTACGTTCAACTTGCTCAAAGGCCACAATGAAATCGCGAATGAAATAACACAACAACGCCCTTTGCGTTCGCGTCCACGGTCAGCCTTGATATACGCGATTCGATCGTCCGATCCCGCGAGTTTGTTGCACTTTTACTTTCCAATATGCTGTCGGTCTCAATGGACTTGGCTCTTCGCGACGCTCAAAGATACAAACATGTTGTGAAAATAACTGAGAAAGTGTTGTGCCCTTGGTGTGGTATTATGACGCTTCGAAAGAAAACAGTTATATTCGTGATGCATAATTAATTGGAATCCTCGTTTTCAAGGCTAATTTTTAATAATCTCACAAAACCATTAAACGATTAACCGATCAGACCACATATTTATGTTTTCACTTTCACATCGGACAAATAGCAATTTCAATTAGCCAATAATCATTCATGTATATCATTATAAGTATAATAATAATAATCCTAATGCAATAATAAAAAGTTTTAATATTACGTCAAACTCTGGTAATTGAACGGTATTTAAAAATAGACGTACAATTCCATGTTTAACTTTGCGATTGATGCTTATATTTATTTTCAAACAAACGAATGTATGTTTGTAAATTTGTCATGTAATGATATCGATTTCGATGCTATTGTTAACCCGCATGTATCGATGATTGCTTTTAACTGACCGGCCAAAATATAACTTGCTGCCGCAGCACGTACGCCGCGTGTATGAATTTTTTACGCGCTTTGTCAGCTACGGATATTATCATAATTCAAAAGTGGAACGTAAATTTTGAAAACCATTATATATTTATTTTTTTTTTTCAATGAAAATGTATCATAACGAAAAATCCGTTGTTATTCTTGTGATTTTAAATCAAAAAATTAAACTCTTACATAAATGAAAAACAATTGAAGCTAAAATTAGTTGTTCGACTTATTTATAAAAAAATATGAATGTTTGCAAGTGTTTTCATTAAAATAATTAGAGCGTGAAATATTTTAATGTAGATATCGTTGCTCAAGCAAATGACAAGGCAACTTTCTTTCGAATAGTTCAAAAAAGTTTCAAGTTTTAAAAATGTTTGCATTGGGTCAGCTGCGATCTATAAATTAATTGAACCAAAAAGCATTTATCGGATTTTTGTCTACAAATTTGATAATTTTTTTTTTGTAAAAATATTTTCAGCAAGAACCATTCAGACAGATACGTGAAAAATACTCGTCGAGATTGAAAAAGCTATGCGTCGTCGCTGGCGATACAACATTGGACGGACTAGGAATGTCTCAAGCGGACGCAGAACTAATAAAAAATAATGTCAGCGTTATTATTAATATGGCAGCCAACGTGCGTTTCGATCAACCCCTCAAGAATGCAGTCACCATGAACACAAAAGGCACTATGAACGTAATCGCCTTTGCGAAACAGGTTGAATACTCGATTAAATATACATAACAATGTAAATGTTTTTTGTATCGTATTTTTAACTAAAACTTAAATCAAACGATCGCGTAGGTAAAAAATCTCGAGTCATTCGTTCACGTGTCAACGGCCTACTGTCATTGTAACGTCCCCGAGCTCGAAGAGCGCTTCTACTCCTTGGAAATGTCACCCGAAGAAGTCATCAAGATCGTCGACCAGACTTCCGACGACGTGCTCGAAACGATGACGGCAAAGCTGCTCGGCGAGCAGCCCAACACTTACGCTTTCACAAAAGCTCTGAGCGAAGACCTTGTGAGGAGATCTGGCCTACCTGCCGCGGTGGCGCGACCGTCGATCGGTAACGTAGAATTTATCTGACTACCGATTTTCAACCGATTTTCCCGCTGTAGATTTTCAATTAGTTTCTCTCGTTTGTCGCGCTGCGAGTTGCCGACTTGTGGTGCGCTTGTAAAACTTGTAGTAAATGCAGTAAATTTTATTCAACAGTTTCCGGATCGTACAAGGAACCGGACTACGGATGGGTGGACAACATGAACGGACCGACCGGCTTGATGGTCGGAGCGGGCAAAGGCGTGATAAGGACGATGCTGTGCAAGACGAGCTGCACCATCGACGTGATACCGTGCGACATGGCGGTGAACGCGACCATTGCCCTGGCTTGGCAAACCGGCCTCGAGAAGCCCAAGATACCGACCGTCATGAATCTGACGTCGAGCGGCGAGAATCCCATCACGTGGAAATACGCGCTGGACACTGGCCGAAAGCACGTCTTGGCCAATCCGTTTTCAGGTACGTCGCGGGACTCGTTTACATCGCATGTTGCGATTCGTCGCCAATGTAATTGATATTTTCATTTGAAACACTGTTTCCTCAGGTCCATTGTGGTATCCGGGCGGAGGCATGACTTCTTCAAAGCTCCTACACATAATATCCGTTTTCTTTCTACACACCATACCCGCTTATTTTCTGGATGCTTTGATTATGCTGACAGGAAATAAGCCATTTTTAGTCAAAGTCCAGGCGCGCGTTACTTACGGCATCAATCTAGTTTATTATTACACGACCAAGGAGTGGGTTTTCAAGTTAGTATATGTCTCTCCCGTTCGCTGTAATTGTGTTTCTTTGCAAAGCTTGGAAAAACGAATTTTTCTTTCTGAATTTCATCGCGACGCGCGTGTCTTGTTTCGTCACTTTTTTCTCGACAGACGAATCGTCGCTTAACTAGTATACGCACATACATAAAAGAAAGAAAGAGAGAAGAAAAAAAAGAACGAGAGGGAAAACGCGAGGCTCGCGCGCACACCTTTGCAACGACCGATAAAATGAATTGCAAACTGAATGAATTACAACACACCGTCTCTCGGGCGCGAGAGAGTCTCTTATTCAATGCTAATACCCGGTCAGCTGAAAGCACTGCTGTGTGCGCTTGTATAGCAGCTTTAGCCATGCATGTAGCCGTGCGCGTACAGACCAGTGGCATTAGTTACATTTGCTGCTCTTTTCTCTTTTATATCGCACGCCGGCGCGAACGCGATATCGACGCCTCGCGGCCATTATCGTCCGCGCGTATATAAGCTGTGATAATTGCATAGTCGTTCTCGAGCAAACAATATTTGCCTTTGATTTTTTTTCCTTTTCTTCTCTTCGTGTCAATAGGCTAATCACTTCGTATGGACTATAAGCTATGAGCATACGCATAATCGGTAATTTATTGATGATTGTCCTCGCGATACGCGTTGATAATATGCTCTTCTTCGTTTTTTTTTAGAGTTCGACCTTTATGGTATCATATTTATTGATTTGTTTTAATGTTTTCACTCCACAGAAATGACAGATTGAAGGCTCTAAGAGAAAGTATACTACCCGAAGACAAAGAGAAATTTTTCATGGACATCAATGTGATCTCGTGGGACGACTACATGCTAAAGTACATCCTGGCGACGCGCAAGTATTGTCTCAAGGACGATCCGTCGACCCTGCCCAGGGCTCGCCGAGTTTTTGCCTACCTCTACACCATTGATTTATTCGCCAAGATCTGCTTCGTGTTTCTCATCGGCTGGTTCTTGTATTCGTGGATAGTATCCGAAAAGATGACGATTGCAGCAAAACCTGATATGGCGTGGACGTAAATCTTCTTTGAAAATCGTGCCACGAAAATTTACGATCGTGCTAATGAAACTATATTGAGGTTGTCGCTATTTTTCAAGTCGCTTGAGAAAAATTTTGCTTTAAAAATTGCTAATTGATGGTTAATATTGGAAAAAAAATTTTTCTAAAAATAACTGATATTCATGTAACTTTAATCTGACGAAGGACTGAAAATCTTTTTGGATTGATTAATCCTCTTGAAGAACATTTTTTAATAAATCGAAGCAATGTGCGAAAATTCAAAATATACATTTTTCATACAATAAGTCTTATGAAATACTTTTAAATATTTATTTTTATCTCCAGGATTTTTTAAATCTTAATATTTGACGATTATTTCGTATATTTGGTGCTATCGGTCATTGAACTCTTTGATAATGTATGTATACTTTTAATAAATTTAAAGAATTTTTATCTCTATTTGAAGATTTATTGATAGTTCTTACCTCTTTTACTAATAAAATGCTAAATGCTCGTTAGAGAGTTCAAGAAAAAAATGTTTATGTAAAAAGTAAAAAATTTTAAACAATCGTGACGTAACTGGTGATGATTTGATCGGCATATATATTTAAGCGCGTCGCAAGATACATCGTGATTCAAGTGTGCGGCACATGCTCGAAGAAGAAGCCAGAGGATAATTACCTTTCCGGTACGATACAATAATGTGTGTTGCCTGCGCTATCTTTGACAGGCGAAATTTTCATCGCAAGCGCCAATTACGACAGCTTAAGCGACAATAAGAAACGTTCGGGAACATTAAGATGCATTTACATTTTTTAATGACGCTGTTGAATGAGCCTTTTGTAGCGGAAAATACTGCTGATATCTGGAACTCGGACAGCAAAACTTGTGTACTTAGCCAGCCTTATGAGTACTCATATAATGCAACGATATTTTTAAAAATTATTTTTATAAAAATTTTATTGGTAGTGCGCACAATTTTGCGCAATTTTCAATATGAATGGGGAATTTCGTGATTGTATAATGAAAATCTTGTTTGACCCATATATAATTTCGCGTGATCGGTTATGATGAAACGAAGATGAAAAACTGTATCGAAGAGGATCGAAGAAATCCTTAAAACTGGGTCATTTTTTCACATCTGACCATTAATTTGATATTCAGAGATAAACATTAAATTGCTTGTAAACTTGTAAAAAATGCATTTCAAGAAGTATACCCTTGCCAGGATGCGTAAGGACATCTGGTACAATTTGTAAGATAATCGACAATTGGCTTGTTTTTTACAAGTAAGGTGAGATGAAACTTACATTATGAAATAAACGAATAAAATAAAGCATCAAATTAACTAATCTTTAGCTAAAAGCCATAGCGCTCTTCGTAGGAAGAAAGATACGTGCGAAAGTCTTCTGTATCCTGAAATAGGTGACGAAACATCGAAGACTCGGGCGAGCAACTATTCACACTTACACAAAGCCTATACAGTTGCGTCATTTTGCAGCCAATATCTACGCGTATGCACATGATTCTGTGCTCGATCGTTGATCGCTTCACGCACAAATGCCTCAGATTATCATTTTCGACATTATTTCTTATTAATGATTCATATATGATTCCCAGAATTTCGATACTAGACATTTTTTAATGTATCAGGGATGACACTTTTGACCGGGTCATGCTCGGATTTATAGAAAATATATAGAGTTAACTCATTTTATAAATAAACCAGGTTTGCCTGTCAATCATTGGTTATTTATATTAGTTGTGTGCATTTCTTATTGAAAAGGATTAATTTTGATATCATAAAAAATCAGAAAAATTTGAGCAATATATTTTTTTACATCGATCTATTTATAAAATAAATATGGAGTTTAAATGAATTAGTATAACAAATGTCTAAATTTAATTCTGTATATGATTGATTTTTAACTAATTTCATGGCATAAGATAAAAGAAAGATGCTAAAAATAATAAATGTTATTTATCGAAAATTTTTCGAAAATTCCGTAAAAACGTTATGGTCTGTCTGAAGTTTTGTTGCTTCTGTTGTTTTTCTGATGTTCTTTAAACTAATATCCCGATTAATTTATATTTTACATGAATCGATGCTAATAATAGACCCATAAAATATTTAAATTTTCTGTGCCTTTGTCGTCATATATTTTTTATTAATACTAGTTCGATAGTGTGGCTACGTCATGACAAAAATAAAAGTATAGCATGTGGTTAAAAATGACGCGAATCGAATCCCAGGAAAGTTTTGCTGTAAACTTTTGTCCAGAAAAAATTTCTTCCCGCAGTCTTTTAATCATAACAGATAAATTTTCTAAAATTTAATTTCTTTCCACATCTAATAAAAATGAAAAAATATATTTCAGTGAACGATATCTTGCAGCTATTGTGCATTTCGGAATAATTGTGCAACTAATTATTTTCTCTTTTCTTTTGTGCAAGTAAAAAAATGGGTAAAACTAAATTAGCCGAGCTAATCTGCACAATGTGTTAACTTGGAAGAGTACAAGTCGATAAATGTTATGAAAAGTTTTTTACACATGCAATTCATATTTGATGTAACGAAGGATGGAAAAACCCACATTCAATTAGTTTAATAGCATATAATTTGTAGCTCGTGGTGAAAACAAATGAAACACTCTCGATGAGAATTAATATAGCCGTATAGGATAATATTTGGGTTGATCAGGTACTTTGCACTTTACATTTGGCTTTGTACATTGCAATTAGGTCAACCGATTTTTTACGCGTCTATAGACTTAAATGGTTTTTGGTGTCACATTAAATCATCCAGAAGTTTTTTATAGGTCCTTCGACGAGGAGAAGCAGCTACTGTTCGGGTTACACCGTAATTAAAATTTGATGAATCTCATTATGATCGTCTTCATTACTGCAAGGCTGATTTTTTTGATACGTCGAGCCTCAATAAACGACTTTAGGTTATTGCGTCAGCGCATGTAGCTGTAAATATTGGCACTCGAGGTATATAGAACGACTGGGAGTGACCATAAGATGTTTTTCAAAAAATTACATCTAAGTTCTCTAAAAACAACTGTTGCAACAAAATTGAGAAACTTTTTAGCATCGTTTGACATAGGCTCGTCAACTTATTAAATCGTCATTTGTAAGACTGGTTTCACTCAGTGAGTTGCAGAAATTTTTATATATTAGATTTGAAAGATTTGTGTAACATTATAAACTATTATTGATTAGCGTATAAATATACCTTAAAAATGTGTTGCGATTGCACATTGCAAATTTCCATTCAAGTCTAAATCATCGCTAATTTTTTGTGTTACCTGTGTACGAAATTCGCAATATTTTAAAGTGAAAAATCAATCATAAATCGAAAAAATGAGACCTGAGAGAACAGTATTTTTGAAAAATATTTATTAGTGATAAATTGTGACTGAAAAAAAGTGATTTTTCAAGGATCCGCAACAATGGTTTATCTCGTGTTGCACATAAAATTGGAAAGATCTATTATATCTAATTTACTATAATTAATCTAATAAAATTTATATTATTTTAATACAAAATTTGTCTGAAAAATATAGAAATAAAAAAATAACAATGGGGATTGAAAATACTTTTTGTTTATGATTTAACATAAATAAGGGTTCAAATTGTAAAAGTTCTCAAAATGGGTCGAGAAAACTTAATTGAAATTGTAAATAATTTAAAATAAGATCAATCAATAGCAGTGAAAATCGAAAATACCGATGATCAATCAACAATAAGCTCCAACACATATCAGCCTTCGCGTCGTAATCATTCCATGATGATTGAAGCCGATGATTGGAATATTTTAAGATCAGTTTACTAGCAACAATCATCAATGCAAAGACAAAACTGAGTTAACATTCAAATTTTGTACGAAAATTAATTAAGGATTTACGGGAACAATTTTCTAAAATTGCACAGCCAACCCACATGATTGCAGAAATCTTCATTGCATCCAAATGACTCTCGACAAATCATACTCTGCTATGATAAGTTAAGATCATGTACTAAATTTATATGGTTTTTAAGGTTTTATCTTTTTCTGAATGATTTTTGACCAATCTCGCATTCGAAGGGTTTGTTAAATTATATAATGTATTTACGTGATTTTTTAGTACATTCTGATATCCAAATGATTTGTGACAAACGTTACACTCAAAGGGTTTGATCCGATCATGTACTGCGTTCAAGTGAGTTTTAAAGTTATCATTGCGGCTAAATGACTTGTAACAAATCTCACATTCGAAGGATTTGATTCGATTATGTACAGAATTTAAGTGTCTATCGCGGTTCACTTTGCTGAAAAATGATTCCTGACAAATGTCACATTACAAAGCTTCGTCAAATTTATGTACTACGTTTATGTGCCTTTTTAAGGTTTGCTTATATCCAAATGATTTGTGACAAATATCACACTAGAAGAGTTTGCTGCGGATCATGTACTGTATTGATGTGAGCTTTGAGGTGAACTTTTTGTCCAAATGATTTGTGATAAATTTCACATTCAAAGGGTTTGCTCCGATCATGTACAGTCATTATTTGAGTTTTAAGGTGACTTTTTTTCCAAATGACTTGTGGCATATCTCACATTCAAAGGGTTTGTTCCGATCGTGTACTGTATTGATGTGAACTTTGAGGTGAATTTTTTGTCCAAATGATTTGTGACAAATTTCACACTCGAAGGGTTTGCTCCAATTATGTACTGTTTCTATGTGAGCTTTCAGGTTATATTTTAGTCCATATGATTTGTGACAAATGTCACACTCGAAGGGTTTGCTACGATCATGTACTACTATTTTGTGTCTCTCAAGGGTACCTTTACGTCCAAATGATTTGTGACAAATCTCGCATTCGAAGGGTTTGATACGATCATGTACTGTTTTGAAGTGAACTTTGAGATTTTCTTTTCGTCCAAATGATTTGTGACAAACATCACATTCAAATGGTTTGTTCCGATCATGTACAGTTATTGTATGTTTTTTGAGGTCACTCTGGCGTCTAAATGATTTGTGACAAATCTCACATTCGAAGGGTTTGATATGATCATGTACTGCTTTAATGTGGATTTCTAGGTGAGCCTTATTTGCAAATGGCTTCTGACAAATCTGACACGGAAGGGGACTACTTCGATAATGTTCTGCATTGAAGTAACTTTTGAGGGTTCTTTTTCGTCCAAATCCTTTATCCTTTAAGTGATAGTTCTGAACGTGGTTTTCTATTTTCTCAACAGGCTGATAACTTTGATACTCAGTTTTGCAGGTGCTCGTCGATAAAAGTTTCATTTCAGGTTTAACATGTTTGCACTCAAAATCGATGTTTATACTTTCATTTATGTCATGATTCTGATTTTGATGTTCTATTTTTACAATAGGTAGGAAATTTGGACACTCAGTTTTGCAGATACTTGTCGATAGTGACGGCAGTTCAGGTTTAACGTTTTGGCACTCGAAATCTATAAATATTTTTGCAGCTGCCTTTTCCTGTAACTCCATAACCTCATTTATGTGATTTTCCTAAAATTAGAATTGTGAAATAGTTTTTATCGTGAAGTACAGAAAGATAATTAAAATCATTGAACTTACTGATAATTTATAAAACGGAAATCTTTCAAAGTGTTTGACTTCGCAAGAGTCCACTGGATCGTAATCATCATTGTCGCCTAGATTTGGGCAATTATAGTTCGGCTCTTCCTTTACTCTAAAAAAATCAAATTTGTTGAAGCACACGCTTGAAAAAATACGGCATGTACAAAAAATGTTTTACCTCATTGTTTCCTCTCTGTTTTCCATCACTGTTGAATTAAAGAATTCACTGAGGATTTTCACTATTTTTACTGAAAAAAATATTCTGGGTTATAGTCCTACTTATACTCTTTTAGATCCTCGCCAGCGACTGAACCACTATACTCGTTTAGCGAGGTTATCTCGCGATTGTAATAGCTCTTGGGTGATACTTTATATCTCTGGCGTAGACTGGCCTCAGAGTTATGTAAAAACATAGGCCACCACCCAGCGTTTAAAACAGTCAGCTTGCGTTAAAGGGTATACTGTGACTGTCATTTACAATCTTGACTTATCTTTCTATACAACTTTGACTGGCCTTACGCAGTATTTGCGATGAGCAAAATAAACTTCTAATGCTTGATCAAAGCCATTTTCAATCATTTGAAGTATTTACTATTAATACGAAAAAAAACTGCATCAAAAAATGATTTTAACATCAACTTCATTTACTTGAAAAATTTCAAAGCAAAAATTTGGTGGGATTGTATTTTCAACTTGATTGGTGTAATAAAAAAATGCGATTTTACTTCAAAGTTCAGACGCAAAACTTCAGACTTTTAACTACAGAGCATCATTTCTAGATTTATTTTCTGTTGCTTGCAGTTATTTTTACAACAATTTTATAATTCATTTATAATTCTTTCAACTACAAAAATGAACATATAAGCAAGTTCTAAGTTTAGATTCAGCTCAATAGGGTGGTTGGTAATAGACGATTCACATTTTGTAACTTTCATCATCATTTTTCGAATAGTATTACGAGCTTTTTTTGATCATGTGTTTATATTTATTTAAAAGTTTGCCGTATTTGCTATCATAATATTATGGTTCAACCAAAGTGTCAGGTGTCAGGTGGCGAAATGAACAAAACTCACTTGAAAGTTAATGATTGATTAATTTTAATTAACAAGGGTAGAAGAATAACAGTGAAAGTAATAAAAGGTTGGTTCGCAGCTTGCTGCCTTATCTCAGAGCGTCTGCCGCTTGCGGCCTTGCTCATCGCTCGCTCGAGCCTGTCTCACCGTCGCGTATGCCGTCGGGCCTGAGGCCACCGCGCGAGGCGCCACTGGCGGGCAGCGCGTGCAACGCGTACACACACACATACGTGCGAGCTGAGGCTGTGTTATGCGAATCCATAACACTCGGCCATCCTATAGGTGTTTGTTCCACCAAACATATTTGTTTATTTTTATTTTGATTAACATGAACATAAATGTATTCTTATACAATCTTTGAATAAACTTAAGTGTAAAATAATATGATAATATGAATTTCAAAAACAAAAGGACTTAAATTACTACGCTATGCAATTACATAATATAATCATTTAAATATTTCGGTTTCTTTCTTATGCGCTTACATTTTTCTTCGCTATTTTCGTCACAGTTAGAATTTTTTGAATTAGCTTTATTTTCGTCCGCGACAATTGCCTCATTAGATATAAGNTTTACAAACAATGTTTCTTCGGATTGTAGTTTAACCTCTTCCAAAGCACGCGCCTTAGTCGCTACTGGAATTCGAATCTCGCTCGCGTCAATATCGGAAAAGATTAACTCGGAACCTAAACGTGTGTATGTCAACGTCGGATCTTCCGTGAAAGTTCTGCCTAATATGATGTCATGCCGCTGCGCAGTATCTGGCACAATTCGGAACGATACTTTTCTCGGAGATAATGCGTCAAGTTGAAGCGACTCTTCTACTATACCGGGCGAATTTACAATGCTTGCTCCGAATGCTTCTAGAGTAGAATTCGCGAAAATTACTCGGAATCCCGCTGACAACACAGTCGTCGATTTCATCGTACACACGGCTGCTCCGGGATCTATCTGCGCTTTATAATAAGAATCGTTTATTTTCACATCGCGTATGAATTTATTGCCCGAATCATGATCATCCGAAACCGATACAACAAGCACGTCGTTATTATTAGACGCTGCATTACTAGAATTTTTTGGATTCTTTAAACATCGCGCAGCAATGTGGCCTGGTTTGCCGCAATTATAACATGTAAACCCACGCTTCGGATTATTACATACGCGCGCAATATGCCCTTCTTCCTGACAATTATGACATTTTACCGAATTGCTGCTGACTCGCTGCTTCTGCTTACTGCTTTCGTTGGTCGGTGTGTTGTTTACTTCTGCTCCGGACTCCGATGTTTGATGCTGCGATGTTGCTGTGTGTGAAGGTGCCGTTGACTTGCCGCTGCTGCTCGCTGAATTCCACGAAGACGCTGCGTAGTTGTTGCCGTTGCTTCCCGAATTTTTTTCGGAGTATTTCGTAGACGTGTTGGCTGATTTTCGCTGATCGAAGATGCGCCCTTTGCGATTTTCGGCAATCACCTCCATTTTTATCAAGTCTTTCAAAATATCGTCGGTTGACGTGTAATCACGAGTGGTAATTTGTTGCGCGTAGTCTTTTGACCATAGTCCTGTAGCGATTTCGTCACGAATTTCACTAACAGAAAACCCAAGTCCACTACACAGCCACACTTTATCTATAACGTACTCTGTTAAATTTTCACGATGACCTTGAACTCGTTGCACCATGTTCTTTAATTGCTCACTTTTACTGCGAGAGTATGTAAATGTGTTTTCAAAATGATTTTTAAAGTCACGAAGAGTTTGTATCTGCTCTCCTTTAGTTAGTAACCATTTCCATGCCGCTCCTTTGAGCTTTGCTTTGCCGATGCTTAGCGTCATATTATCATTCCAATTGTACAGAGTCTTTGTATTAGTCAGTTCCGTCATCCATGCTCTTGCCTTTTCAGGACCTTCAGTGCCATTGAACTCTCTAATTAAGTTTTGCGTCGTCGCCAAAGGTAACATCTCTTCAAGCTGGGCTGATCTGCCTTCGGTGTGCGTAATCGTACGCGACTGTACTTCCATGGCCTGCGTCAGAGCGAATAACGCATTCGAAAACGCTTCATCTGAAGTATTACTTCCAGTCGAATTCTGACTTGCTGCATTTTGCTGTAGCTGCAGTTGTACTTGTTTTCTCATCTCGTTTACTGCTTTTTCAAATTCAGCACGATCTTCTTTTCTGCGTGATTTCTGTCGCTCAATTTCAGCCTTGAGCTGCTCAACTTCGTCCGACATTTTGGAGTCTCACTACTCTTACTTTTTGTAGCCAAAATTTCCTATCACTCACTACAATTGAACAATGACGATGCTTGATCACTTCACTAATATTCTCTACTGCACAAATTCAACAAACACAGAAAAAATTTTCAGGTTTTCTCGGGCAATCCCACTTCTGAATTATTATGGTTCAACCAAAGTGTCAGGTGTCAGGTGGCGAAATGAACAAAACTCACTTGAAAGTTAATGATTGATTAATTTTAATTAACAAGGGTAGAAGAATAACAGTGAAAGTAATAAAAGGTTGGTTCGCAGCTTGCTGCCTTATCTCAGAGCGTCTGCCGCTTGCGGCCTTGCTCATCGCTCGCTCGAGCCTATCTCACCGTCGCGTATGCCGTCGGGCCTGAGGCCACCGCGCGTGGCGCCACTGGCGGGCAGCGCGTGCAACGCGTACACACACACATACGTGCGAGCTGCGGCTGTGTTATGCGAATCCATAACAATAAGATACTTTTAGAAAATTTTTTTAATGTTTTATTTTCATTAGTGAACAAAGTGAGAATTTTTCTCAAATGGTCGAGTACTGAAATGACTTCCAAAAAACGTTAGGAAGAAAGCTTAATAACAGAAGTTTTTACAATATGAAATATTTTCATAATATCACTTATTTAAAATCTTTACTTACAAACAAATATTTTCTTATGCTCAGTGCATTCCCTCCTCTCAAATCCGAATAAATAGTATGAATATTGGAGGAAAAAAATTATTCATGAGAGAAGTTACCGATTTACCAATAAATTCTGAATATTGAAATAATCGACCGATGAGAAAAATCATGATCCCATGCTGCGTCGAAGTTTACTCGAGGAGGGCGAGAAATTGCGAAACAACCCGTTGGTCCTTCGCGATGAGTACCCTCAACGTAGAAGAAGGAGGAAAAAGTAATTTGAAGAAACGAGAGTAAGAGAAATTTTCGAGTAGGAGAGAGAGAGAGCAAAAAAAGCAGGACATGGAGTGTCCCTGGCTCTTCTTCTGCGTCCATGCTTATAATAGAGCGCAAATTTTTTTGGGAGGGAGAAGACATAATGAACGCAGGCCGTGCACGTATACACACAACTCACCTGAGTCGCGCTATATGTATTGGTTCGCGCGGCCCTGGGACGAAATAGCCGCGCGGAGTAGAATGGCGAGTGCACGCGGCAATGTTATAGAGTCGATCGCTTAAACGACGAGTTCGCCAGTCGCGGTTCGAGATTCGCGCCCGCAAGACACCTTCGGTCAGTTTGCTCGTTGTTGTTTGTTTTTTTTTTTCTTATTTTTCGTTGGTTTTCGTTTACCTTTTGTTCGATCTCCTTGATGTTTCGCGCGTCGGGTTCTTTCGATTTGTGGGCGTTTGTGACAATACCCCGTCAGTGACACACAGAAACCAGTTCGATCGACTCGAAAGAGGAAGCAATCCTCCGAAAAGAAAATTTTTATAATTAGAAGTGGCAGAAGAGAGACATTTGACGAAATCGCTGCAGCTGGCCTTCACCGATCGCTCCTCTCTTTCAACCACCTGTAAGTGCGCTTAACAGTTTTTCTCTGACCAAAAATCAGTCGTACTCTTACCGCGAGTAAAACTGCCAAATTTTCTGTGCTCCTACACGTGCTTCGCGAAATTTCCGCGATTGCGTCGCCCATAAGCTTTTTCAGACTTTTTCTATGATTATTCTAATTAACGAAGGCGAGCGTGCGCAAATTTATATACATATATCCAACCGTATACCTAAATTATAAACGCGAAACGCGAATGTGTGTCAATGTATATATGTATACACCTCACGCGTACGCTCTTATTTGCGCGAGTTTAAGCACTTTTCGATTGAACGATAAACGGGTTGTTTCGTCACCATATGACTTTTTCAGCGGAATTCAGCGCACTAAACCCCGGCGCTCGCACTCGCGCGATGTAGGACTCTTGTATACATTACATTCTTTGCAACTTTTTAAGTGGGTCAGCAAATATTTAAACCATATTTTATTTTTATTTCGTTGTTGCACTGTTTATAAAATGTACCATGAAAAAGGGGAGAATTTTTCCGCGATTGAAACGAGGGAAGAATTTTTTTTTCACTTTGTTGTGTGAATAAAACTCTACGAGCCTTCGCACGAATAATATACATGTATGAATGGTTAAGAATTGAAAGTGAAATTTTGTTGAGCTGTGCCTCGAAAATCGACTGCCGGTGGATCGCAGGGACCTTGAAATTCTAAAAGAACGTGAAACAGAGCCTGATTCGTACGTGTGAGACGCAAATTTGATTTTTTTTATAAATAAAAATTAACATTTACGAGAACGCTTTATGTTAATTTTAAAGGATAAAGTGCAAATAATGTGATATTATTTTAGTAATGCAATTCAATCAATCCAAAAAAAATAATAATAAAAAAAACTTTTAAAATCAAAAAAAATTTGATCAAATTTCAAGTATTTTAAATTTCGTGATCATCATTTGTTCTAGTCATAAAATGTATATTGAATACAGTAGAGTCTAAGTCTAGGTTGAAAAATGCTCCTCACAGCTACGAAGAAAAACACTTTCCTTTTAGCGCACATGACTCAGTACACGCAACGAGTATAATAAAGACTAGCCTATTAGCCAAATATTAGCAAAAACTATCATGTAAAAAACGTTTGCTTTGACGTAATGTTTCAACGGGAAAATGATCAGAGCATCGTATAAATTTTTAAAGGAACAAATGATTTAAGTAATATCGAATTTGAAGTTGCACAAATAAATTATAAAAGTAAGATCTATCGTTTTCATAAATTATTTCAAAAAATGGAAACAACAAGTAGTTTCCGAATTCAAGCCGAACTACATCCTTACTAAGTGTGTGTGCTGAATAAAGCGCTTTTATTTAATTTAAAAAATTCTAAAAACATGAATAAAAAAATTAGATACCAGTACCGATGGGATCTTTTTTTTCGTTGTCTTATTTCTCGAAATCTTTGTATTGTGAAAAAAATTTATAGACTTCGGAAGCATAATTGAAAATATCGTTTGTTATGAACTATGAAAAAAAACGGCTATTAAAGGTCGATTAAGCTCTTCTTGAACCTTGAATCAGGTGACATTTATGATGAGCATCGTTAACTTTTTATGTAGATTTTAATAGTGAAGACTCTTCATGCTAAATGATGTTGAGTAAAGTTTTTATTTGATCAATCAAATATACTGATCTGATTACGTTTAAAGAGAAAGTTATTGCTATTTTTCTCATAATCATTAGCGACATTTGAATAAAAGCAAACACCAATGTATGCAATTAATTAATTGTCTTGTTTACATTTAACCTTTTTTACCATAAACATTTTTTTATTCGCCTAAAAAATTTTCTTGCTTCAGTTATTCTTGAAATTTTTTTACTCAATAACTATGATTACCATACATTTTTCCGTGAGAAAATACTCAAGAGGGTGTGACTGTTAAAAAAAAACTGGTCGTATGCCAAGTTTGTCACTTCGGTAGCAAGATGTTATTTTTTAATTAACACCGCGACGAGTAAACGCTTCTGCGCTGTGATCGGATATCGCGTGATAAATTGCCAATGATACAATATTACATTATTAGAGAGTTTTCATACATACCATTTACAGTTTTTTACTCGCGAACATCACTTACGTTCAGTTGCACCTAATGCTGAGCACATGCAATACATCGAGGAGTAGACATTCTTCCTAGAATAAAACAAATTTTTCGCAATGAACATTGAATTGCAAATGGGAAAACGTATTCCGAGTACTTTTTGGGCCGAAGTAAAATCGAAGCAGTGAACTAAAAATTATAAATCGGCAGTGTCGGGTGGGATTGGAAAGAAAAAAAAAAACATTGTGATGTTAAGTCATCGCCGCAGTGCACTTTCACAACGACGCGCGAGCAGTCGGGGATATATACGGCGCAATAATTAGACAACTCGCGCGCTAAATTTAATTTGCATAAGAAATGCGTGTGTTTGCGCGCACCGAGTGCAGATTTAGCGGCGCAGCGGCAGCAGCAGAGAGAGTGACGTATTTAACACAGTCCAATAACACACGTAAAAAAACCTCTGCCTTTTCCGTTTGACATTAAGAGATAATCGTTTTTTTTTCTCTTTCTTTCTTTCTTTCCTCGTGTCCAATTCGCACTTGCATATCCTGCTGCAATTCGAGAACGATTAGTAAATTCTACGAATTATTTTTTTTTAGCAAACATTAGTTTTTTAAAGAATATCGGCGTGACGAATTGTTTGCGCCTCGGTATGAAGACACGTGTTGAAATCTTCGCACCACACGACGTACAAGCGCGCCTATAAAGCTTAGACGCGCTGATATTCTCCTATATGCACACACACTGTCGTAATTTTCTTTCGTACGACAGCGCGTTTGACACTTTTTTAATGACTATTCGAGTATTCAGGTGCTGCTTTCGCGACGGCACTGTGTCTCTTTTCATTTCTCGTCACGGTTGCATCCTAAAAAGTCATTAAAGTAAAGCATAACGCGATTACGATATTACATATTATTACTGCGAAGATGTTCCTTTGAAAATTAAGATTCATGATGTTTCACTCCGATTACGAAAGTATAGCCTCGAAGAGAGACCAAAAAGAAGTCTCATTACAGTAATTTCATTATTTTAACGATAAAAAAGTCACATTTTACTCGTACAAGCATCGAACAATAATTTCACGAATCGTTTGTGCGCAGTTGATCCCATTGAAAGAGGAACGATCTGGAAAGGCGCACAACACAAAAAACGATGGCCACGTCGACGATAAACATCGAGGATCTGCCGGACAGAGTCGGGGCGACGTTCACCGGGCGCAACATCTTCATCACCGGTGGCACGGGCTTCCTCGGCAAGGTGATCGTCGAAAAGTTTCTGCGATGTCTGCCCGATATAGGCCAGCTCTACCTACTCGTGCGACCCAAGTACGGCAAGGATCCCTCGACAAGAATGGAGGATCTCTTCAATAACCCCGTGAGTACATATATACGAAGGATTTATATTTATATTTTTACGTTTGGTATTTGAAGTAAACATTCGATTGGGAAATTGCTTAACGATATAACGAGCCTATAGAAATAATTTGAAGTAGCGAATGCATTCGAACAAACACGGCACGCTTAGCGGTTAGCGTGGAAAATCGGTAACTATCGGTGCGCGAGGAAAAAATGTTTAGTATAAAAGTAAGTGTTGTTGGCTCATTAAAATAATGCGATTGGAGTCCAGATTGGTCATTGGAAGTTTAGTAATACAAGTAGCTCGCAGCGAGAGAGAGATAGAAGTTAAGAGATTCAAAACAAAGCCTGGACAACAGATATATGGCAATTTACTGCGTGTGTGTGTGTGTGTTTACGATCGAACGTAAAGGGGAAAAAGCTTTTCAAGTCTGTTCCGCGGCTATACAACCAAGTTCTAATGTACACACATATATATTGTAAATATATGTATGCGAGAAAAGGAAAGCCGCGTGCATACAGTGCCTGCGAGCCCGAGCCCGCTTGGATGCAATTCGCTTTTTCGACACACTGATCTCAATCCACAAATGCGCAACGCAGCCAGGCAGTCAGCCGCGAGTCCACTTGTCTGGACAGCAGCGGCGGCAGCAGCAACGCCGCTGTTCAATGGATATAAATGCGATTTTAAAGCTTGTACGCGCTCGCGTACATTATATGCTGTTGCTGCTACTAGTGTGGACGCGAGTGCGTTCAGGATTAGTGGGGCTCGGGCGAAAGGGAAAGTCACGCGCGAGATGTGCCTCTTTAGCGAGCGGCTATTGCCTATATATCCCTATTGCGGCACATATTATGTTATGTTGCGCGCACATACCGACTTGCATTATATAGATATAAGCCAGTGCACACATACACACGGCTACCTGCGAATTTAGCTGAGAATGTTTATATACCGTACGAGGAAATCGAAATCGGCATGGCGTACGCAAATCGCTACGTGTACCGTCGAGCTTTTATTGCGCGCCTTCTTGTTTGTTTTCCTTCGTAGGCATACGTCGTACGTATATGCAATTACTTGTATTAGAACGTAAATAAAAACTGTCCATCATAAGCACGTACGCGAGTCGAGCTAGCCACTCGAGTATCGCAACCTCGAGAAAATCTAAAAATTTATGACGTTGCTTTCGGTACCAACGCATGCTCCTATTGTTTTGATATACGACTCGAAAAAATCGCGCCGTTTATGTAATTAACGGATTACGAAAAAAATAGGCAGGAGCTATAATTCGATAATTCGACCGTTTGGAGCAGCCGCGTGGAAGAAAAAATTCGACGCAATACGCCGCTTAAACACTTACTTATAAGTGCACACGTAAACATACGCAACAATGGCAAAAAGCCGAGCGAAAAATTTTTCAATTATCAACTTGAACCGATGCCGTATGATATTATTGACCCGCTAGCTCGATAACCGGAAAAGCCGTAAAAAGTGTACCAGTCTCGTTGCAGTGCTGCTGCCGTGTGTGTTTGTATATTATGGAAAAAGCGAATGTCAGCATTTTTCCCCATGCGTGGCATGCATGTGTGTATACGCAAATAACACGTTTGCATGGCTCTGCGCGGCTATCTGCGTCGATGAATCGTTGAGTATAAACTCGCGGGCTTATAAGCGTGGCATTCTCACAGCTTGCTCAAGCAAATTTTTTTTCTTTTCGCCAACCTTTTTAAATGTACGTATGTATATAAACCTGCAGCACGCATCGCGCAACGTACGCGTTATTAGTACATTTATTGTTTTTTTCATTTCGCCTTTCGTACGTACGTTTGCGATGACGTATCGTTATGTAACGTTGAAGAAAGAGAGAGAGAGAGACAAGAAAAAATAATACAGGTATTAAAACCTGCGTGAATTTTTACGACCAGATTGGCTCTGTGTATGCGCGTGCAAGCGATCGTCCAGCTTGCCGATTATTTACTAACTTTTGCCGTCGCCGCGCAATGTTGCAATGTTGCATACACGGTTGTATGCAGTGTACGGTATATGGGAACGGTGAGTGCGTATGAGAAGACGTTACCGGCTATGATCATTGAAAGAGACGACCAAAGATTTTAAACGAAACAATACAAAGATAAAAATAGATTGATGGTTGAATATCAACATTATTATCAATTATTAATGTTGAACATAGTTTTGATGTAAGCTTTAATAATTAATATCTCGGCCTTATCGCGGACCAAGTTGAAATTTCAGTATAAAATTTAAAAAACGAATTTAAAAAACGAATACAGAGCTGCAAGATAAGCATTCTGCATAAATCGAGGAATCAAAGTTCATTTGCATAAGTATTTATGAATGAAAGAGTTTTTTTGTGTTTTATTTTATTCTTCCAAAAATGAAAAAAACGTCGGTTACTAGGATTAAGAATCGCTCGAGCAGCGGTCAAGCTTCGTAGGAGCGCAGACAGAGAGAGAGACTTTCTGAATTATTAATCGGTCCAAGGAACACGTTGGTACCCGAACTGACCTTGCGAGTCCTTTGCGTATATATACATATTCCTATCCCCCGAGTAAGTTATCACGGTGACTGGGCAAAATAATCGGCACGCGCGTGCACGCAGGAGGTAGATAGGTATGCTGCACGAGCGCACGTATATACTATACCTACGTCACAGACATCGTTTGAGAGAGAGAGAAAAAAAAGGAGCTCGCCGACGTGGACCTGCGCGCGTGCGAAAGGAGCAGCCACATCATCGTCGTGCCTATATACGCGCATTGGGTTTTCTCTGAGCGCACAGCAGCAGGCAGTGACATAACCACGCGGTAACCGCTTCATGAATAACTTTCACTGCCTGCGAAAATAGTCTGTGTACGGTGCAGTTCACTTACTTACTGGCACAGATACTTGTAAGCTGGCTTAATGTCCAGCATGAGCGGCGCGAATGTGCAAAGGCCTTGACTCTGTTTTCAGCTGGCCCGCGCAGAGAGTCTGCGATCGGTATACCGAATCGCTTTTCACTTTTCCTATTTCACCTGTGCTGCTGCTGCATTCGTGCGCAGTGTGTCAGCTGCTGCTGCTGCTGCTGCTCGCGGACTTTCGTATTATATATTTTTCGAGTGTCCGCGCGACGAGGGGGGTTACCCACGAGGGTGGGGCGACTGGAAATACAGGTATTATTGCACCACAGCAGCAGCAGCAGCGAATTTTGCCCCGATCCTCGTGTGCACAATTTACGGACGATTTACGATTTTTTTCTGACGCACGCGTAATATGTTTTTCGACCGCTATGCATAATGAGAATTCCCCGAGCGACAACGACGACGACGACGGCGACGATCGCACGTGCATCAAGGTCGCTATTTTAAGGATCTGCCGCGGCTATATTTAGCTCATAATTCGAGAGACCTCATTCCTTGCAGTCTCGGGCCCATTTGACCTACATTCGAGCGAAATTATTAAGCCAAACGGACGATACCCTCGATTTATAAGCTCGCTTTGCTTCATATATGGATGATGCAACGATTATGCTTTGATTTCATAAATAATATGTATAATAATCGGACGCGATCACCCGTTCACGCGGAGTCCCATCACGGAGCTTTGAACGAGCGAAAGGTCCTCTCCATATCGATGCGGCAGTAGCCGCGACGCACGCGACAGCCGCATTGTATTAATCGAGATTTTCCGAATAGGCGCGCACGCTCCGTGTAGTGTTTTCATGCACGCGCCGCGCGCTAAGTGGAGTGAGCTGTTGTACTCGCGCTCGGTGGCGATCCTTGTTTACCGAGACGGTATGGCGACAGAGAAAGTACAATCGAGGCCGCACTGCTCGCGCGTAAATAATGTATCTGCGTATGTGTATGCACTGCACCCGGATAAAAGTTATGATTCGACTCCGCGCCGTACCCGACCTATACGAAAGGAAACTGCGGTTCAACTCGGGCTTGTAAATCATTCATCGTACATTATATCCTGAATGGTGTATAGGAGGCGATACTGAATTTTCTATGTAGCTTGGACATTTTTGACTCTCCGACACGTTTTGTTTGGCTAGCCGTGTTACATACGAGGTGCTTTTTAGTATATTTCTTCATCGCGTGCAAAAATATTGCAATCGCAGCCAATTAAAAATAAACCATTCGCTTGTATGTGTGTGTCTGTCTGTCTGTCTGTTGTATGTTGAAAGTGCTCGAAACAATCGCCCGTGTATATACTGTACAAGCTCATTTTTTTTGCATTTTCATCGACCGATCGATCGTGAGATTCGAACAACAGATAAAATATACAGTTCGATAAACGAACGATGTACTGCGAAGAGAAAGAAAAAGGTCATTTGCATTTCGATTTGGTTGACTCGTGCGCTTTAAATTCATTGTAAAAAAAATACGATCGGCTTTACATTAATCATAGTGAATCCGAGAGAATGAATCTTCGGAAAGAAATTTGTGACGAAATCAACTGATACAAGACATTCACAATGAGATTGTGATCTCGGACGAACGTACCGACTAAAAAGCATATCCGATCGAGTGATCATCGATATTAAAATTTACTTACTGAATTTATAATTTGCTGGTTTGACTCGAATAAAAAAAATACCATTCAAATGAGAAATCCCGTAAGCTTGGATAAAAGATTTTAAAAAACTGAACGAAACGAAAAATTCAACGCAACATTTTTTTTGTCTGTTTTCAGGTGTTTGACCTAGTAAAGGAGATGCGAGGAAAAGATTTTATTCGCGAAAAAATTACGATTGTGAGCGGTGATGTCTCGGTCCTTGGCCTGGGTCTTTCGGAGGAGGACAGAAAAACTCTTTGCGAAAAAATAAGCATCGTTTTTCATGGTGCAGCTACTGTCAGGTTTGTGCTCTTATTACTCTCAAAATTATGAACAAATATCTTTTTTCATTCTTTTAATTGATAATTTTAAATTTAATTCTTTGTGATAACTCAAAATTTTTGATTCTTGCTCGTTAGCTTTTGTGCAAATAAAATTTATAATAGACTCATCAATTACAATTTGCTTTGAAATAACTTTGTGACCACATTCATAATCGGCGCAACGGCTGTTGAAAAAGTTTGAATAAAAAAAGTTTTATTGAATCCATTCAAGCAACTCTTTTAAATCATTGGAGTAATTTCAACTCTAAATTGCTTACTATTTACGAATACATTTTGTACTTATTTATGTATGAAGCTGATTAACATCGTATTTTTTAATTATTAATTGTGCTTTTATAGATTTGACGAGTTACTGAAACGTGCCGTTCTCTTGAACACTCGAGGCACGAAACAGATGTTAGATCTGGCAAAAGAGATGAAAAATCTCGAACTCTTTGCACACATAAGCACGGCTTATTGCCACCTCGAAGAAAAGGTAAAGTTTCATTTCAAAAATTGGCTTTGGATTTTACTTAAAAAAGGCCACTTCGTTATCGTGTCACTTGATATTAAATTTAAAATAAATGCGTTAAATATAGCTTATTCCGAAGCAGATTCAGTACCACGTACTTTTTGAATGACAATCAAAGTTTTTTTTCTTCTCTATTTGATATCACTAGTGAAAAAATTTCAGGTTTTGAGAGAAAAGCCGTATCCGCCACCCGCGGATCCTCATAAAATCATCAAGTGCGTCGAATGGATGGAAGACGACGTCGTCGAGGCTATGACTGACAAAATTCTCGGAGACATTCCCAATACTTACGCTTTCACGAAAGCTCTTTCCGAGGGCCTTGTTGAGGAGGCCATGCCTCATATCCCTGCTATTATTCTGAGGTATCAATTTAAACATTCTGTCTCTTTAATACAATTCCACATTTTTAACCGAATACGGCAACGGCCGAATCAATCATTCATTTTTTCATAATAACTCGTAAAGCTGTACAATAAATTAAATTTTTTGTATTCGATGTATCAACGTAGACCCAGCATCGTAATACCAGTCTGGAAAACCCCGATACCCGGCTGGACGGACAACATAAACGGACCGACGGGCCTTCTGATAGGCGCCGGCAAGGGCGTCATCAGGACCATGTACTGCAACGAGAACGGCTACGCAGATTACGTGCCGGTCGACATTGCCGTTAATGCCGTCCTCGTCGTCGCCTGGAACTTCATCGCCAACAAGGACCACGAGAAGCGCGTCTACAATCTCACCAGCAGCAGCGAATTCAAGGTGGGGGCGTTTTACGAGCTACTTGCACACAGCCGAAATCGGTACAGATCGCTAATCCGTGCTACTTTCGATTTTTTTAAAGGTCTCATGGGCTGAAATCATAAACATCGGCCGCAGAAACATGGAAAAGGTACCATTGAACGGTGTGGTCTGGTACCCGGGCGGCAGCATGAAAAAGTCTCGATTCGTGCACAACGTTTGCGTGCTCTTTTTCCACATGATACCGGCTTATCTCATCGACGCTTTGATATTCCTCGCTGGACATAAGCCCATGTAAGCGATTTTTTGTTTTGGAATCTTAAAATCTAATAAAAGACGATAAAACAACGATGAAAAATTTGCTTTTTACCGTCGACCAGAATGTGTCGTGTGCATCGTCGAATCGCAAAGGGCTTCGAGGTCTTCGAGTATTATGCCAACAATCAGTGGGACTTTGAAAATATGAACATAGCCGAAGTCAGAGCGACTTTGAATGAGAGAGAAAAGGTCCTGTGGCAATTGGATGGAGACGACATGGACATGGACCATTACTTTGAAAATTGTATCAGGGCAGCAAGATTGTACATTCTCAATGAGAAGCCAGAGACTCTCCCTTCAGCTCGTCGACATATCAGAATGTAATTAAGCCTTTTTGTTTTTTTCATTTTCATCTTCTTCGTTGTGTTCTTTATATTTAATGTACTTGACATTTTTCTGTTACAGAATGTACTGGGTGGACGTCTTGACTAAAATCATGTTCTTTGTATTTTTGATTTACATGCTGGCTTCCTGGTGTGATAGCTTCCGAGCTTTGCTAGTGGGCAGCTGGAAGTCTCTCAGTCATGCATTAGATGCTTAGGCATTACTAGATTATTGATATCTATTTACTGTATATTTATATCAAAGTATGAATCAATTTCAAATAATGATAAAGGTAATTCAACATTTTATCAATCATCCTTAATCAACTGCAGTAGTATCTTATATTCGTGTTAAATTATTATAAACTTACTGTTAATCATTGAAGTTATATAATTTAAGAAGCATGTATTTCTATGTAAGAGTTTTGTTTTTTTTATTTCCCAAAATTTTATGCTATATGTAACATATTACTTCAATAGCTATAAAAAAATGTACTTAGGAAGTTAAGTAACAATCGCATAAATTATATGGTTTGAATAAAAAATTTAAAAATGCAAAAATTGGCGTTTTTAATAAAAACAATTTTTTTTTATTTTTTACAAGATTGTAAAACGTTACAATTTTTTTTCCTATTTGTCACCCATTCACTTAAACAGATTCTTGTACTGGTGGTTCATAACCTTCTGGTCGGTCTACTTTGGTACCAGACTCACTAACTTCTCCTCCTTTGCTACTGCCATCTCCATGGAGCTCAAGCAATTTGCTAAGTTCAAATCGTGGCTTCTTCAATACCTTGACCTAGAAAAATGAAAATCATGAGTATTTTTTCATTTTTATATAAAAAATTATGAGTTTTAACTTTTATTGGTTTGATTGACTCTAAATAATTTCAATATTTACAACTAGAACTTAAAATAGAATATAACTTACTTTACGGATGTACACGTCGTGGAGTGGGTAGATACCTTGAGTGGCTTTTTCAATATCCTTAGCCATGGCATCAGGAAGGAGCTTGCTGACAACTCCTTTAAGATCGCTCTTGGAGACATCATCGGTGATGATCTCTACCATTTTTCTCCTGATGTTACGTACCTGACAATTGATAAAAATATTTAAATAAAAGATATAAAAAAAATTAAATAATGAAAAATTGTTTTAAATATCAACAAGGCTCCATAGAGGCGTAGAAAATATTTTACTCTGAGAGTAAGAGTAGTTGTTTGAGTACTGATATGAATCTTCAAGAACATCAAAGATTTTAAAGCATCGAAGTAGTGATAATGTCAACAGAGATTTGTAATAAAAATTTTAAATTTACCTGTGAGTGTTGGGCGTAGCAGGTTTTTCTTGAGGACTGAGGGTCCTTGTTTGTGAAACCAATACAGAATAAACGTAAACTGTATCCATCAGTGGTCTTAACATCTACGACAGCTTCGATAAGAGTCTGCCATTTCTTGACCATAGATCTCAACTTATCGGTAGTGAGATCCATGCCATGGAAGTTGGTAAGAACATTACGTCCTTGCACATCTTCTGCAATGAGTCTGAATTTTCTGAAAGATCTTTCAGCATCATTGTCACTTTGCAAGTCGGCCAAAGAAACTTCAAACACTCGGTGTCTGAGACCTTCCGAGGCAATCTCTGTAAAAAAGTACAAGATTAGTGAGTTTTGAATCATTGTAAAATGTTGCAATGTTGCAAATGATTCTTTCATCTAGTACAAGCAACAATTTAATATGAGAATTATAATACATACTCGTTCCCTGGGTTCTGTTTACCAAAGTCTTGCCGACTTGGCGAACAGTAAACATTGATGGTGCCTTCACATCATACCAATCTTTGCGGGTGAAGGGATCTACGCTGAAAAATTAAAATGTTTCATAAATAACTGAAGTTCATGATTTTTAAGATATAAGTATCTAGTTTCGTGATAAATTGTTGCAATACTCAATAACACCGCTCTTATAATTCAGAGCCACGTGGTAAGTGAAAGCCTTTACTCTGTGCAAAAAGAACTATCAAACGAACATATGATTATTCGCTTGCACATCGATTTGCACTTACAGCATTTATAGTTTACGTATCACGTTAGGTAGCCGATTCGCACGTGTAGCATTTTATTGTGCGTATCACATGTTAGGTAGCCGATTTGCAGGTTAGGCTGATTTAACCATCACCATGTTAGACCTTTAACAATGTATCAATTTTTCACAAATGCACTAATGCATTAATTAGTAGAGTTAATAAGTATCATAACTGATATTTAAGGTCAGATATTAAAAATTACTTTAGTGAACTTAGTTTTTAAGGTTGTGTATAACAGACACTTTGCGACCCGAACTTCATCAATTTTTATCACATACATCCAATACTTTTTTGGATACTATCGTGAAATACATAAAACTACAATAAACAAATAAGACGTAGTGCACAATATTAAAAACTTACATCTTCTTCTTGAGCCCTTTTTTGCCTCCTTTGGAGAGACCCTTGTTCTTGCCGACGGCCATCGTGTAGATCTTTACATCGAAAAAGAACCCGATGTTTCAATCTCCCACGTAGCCTAAATTAGACGGTCATGCGCGCTGCGCGCACAGTGATCGTAAAAGACGCGTCGCCAACAAATGCAACTCGTTGAGTTGCGAGCGAAAATTTGAATTTTTCATCCAAATAACTGTTACAAGTCATGTAATAAGTTAGATACGATTTGAGGATTTTTAAACATTGTTAATTAAAAAATTGAAGAAAAAATATTTTTTGCTCCATCAAAATTTTTTATTCAAGAAAAATAAATAGCTTTTGTAATGTAATGGTCCAAGTTATAAAAGGCAGGAGGATTTTTTAAGGTATTGTATGTTTAACTTTTCGCACATCATGTTTTCGAATAGTAAATGTTTTTTTATTTTGCTTTCCATGAATTTGTAAAAGAGAGGATGTATAAAAATTATATTGAAACAAAAATATATAAATGTAAGTAGTGTTTTCATAATTATTCACTGTGCATAATAATGCTTTTTTGATGTATGTATTTTTTCAATACTTTTAACTATTCATTGAATTTACAACGGTAAAATAGGAAAATGCTGTTCTGAGAATCTGAAAATAACGATACGTTAAAAATAGTTATCCAATTATGTAAAAGAGATATTTATGTATATAGACACTTACATTACTGCAGCTTGCAAAATTCATTTCTATCAAAGGGCCTGCTGTCAAACGACATGGTTTCAAACAACGAAGCATCATTACTTGTATCAAAAAACGTGTTTTTATTGGAAATTTGTGCCAACTGCTGTCATAACTAAAAACATTAATTAATCATAATAAAGAAATAAATTGAATTATTATGCAACTTATTTTCCTTTCAATTTTACATTGCTAGGAGAAGTTCTTCGCTGATATTCAGTAATTTTTGTCCCGGTAAATTCACAAAAAACATGTAAACGATAACGCCAAACCACAAAAACCAAATCCTCATAAAATTTAGTGGATTATTTACATTTTGAGATAACTATGAAAGAAAAAATTCTAAAACTATTTTTTTTTAAATTATCTTATTAAAAAATTACTTACAACATAAGTAAAAGCACTCAAGCCGGCAACAATTAATCCAGCGAGTAAAAAGAAGCACTCGTTGTAGGCACTTTGGATGAGGTTGGTAAATCTAAAAAATTTATATTTTTTGCTTTCAATAGAATAAAACATCAATAGAATAAAATACTTTACTCGAGAGATTTTTTGTGAGTTAGAATAATGTCGATCAAATATCTCTTGACGTCAAAGTGCAAATCAATTGAATTATTTACAGAACTATCGTATACGCGGCTTATTTCTTTGAGACGGTATCTAAAACCTCGTGAAAGAATTGATTAATTTAATCAAAACAAAACTTATCATATGCAAACTAACTTTATGATGTTGAATAATCCCAATACGTGTTGAACACAATTAACGAAAACCGAATCGATTGCAGTTGCAACGTAAACTGTCATTACACCAATAACCATAGTGTGCGTAAAAATGTAATAAAAATATTTTTCTTGATCCACAAAATATTCGGCATAAATGCATATTTGTTTTTGGTAAGTTTGATTTCCGGGCAGAACGTGATTCAGTAAAACTGGAACAAATGCAGTTATCGATACAAAGAATATTGCGCTGAGAACGACAAACCCTGAAAAAATAAATTTTATCCAGTATAACAACTATGTTATTTAAATTTAATTTTTACTTCTCTACAATATTCAAAAAAACTCTAATGCATTGTTAAAATTCAAGAATTCGATTAAGCGATTTAAATTTTGTGATAAACAAAGTAACCAGTATAAAAGATGGTCAATTGATGACCAACGGCAGCTGATTTTTCAAGAACGGCCTTTTCGTTTTTATCGGTGATTGTTTTCCAATCTTTCGAAATTTCTTCATACAGATATTTTAACTGAAATGAATGAATGTCGAGCACGTGAAAAATTTACATTAATCATTTCGAGCGCGATTACCTTATTTTCCGTGACCATTTGAGTTATAAGTTTCGATATTACTCCATGAAAATATATGAAGCCAGATAAGTTTTCAATGATTATTTCTGGATCTGGATCATCTGATCGAATTTCTTCAATACCCCGAATCATCTTCAACAATAGTACGTAAGTTACAAAACGAACTTGAATGGTACTACACATTTTCCTTGCGTCAATTTTTTGAATCATACACACCTGCGGTAGACTCATTGAATAGAAACCAACCATAATGAAGATTCTTTTGATAACTTTTGTTGATGTTGATTCATAAGGCCAAAGCGAAACTTGTTTCAGTAACGTCCTGTTGAGTCTAAAATATTTGTTATCAAACACTTCGTCAGGATTCATTTTATTTTGGCATATTACAAGTAAGAAGGAACATTTAATAATAAAAATAGTTGAACACTAAATCCATTTCTAATGCCTGATGGGGACTTTTTTATAAACAAAAAAATCTAAAGAACAAAATTTTCAAATTATCGTGAAGAAAGGTCACCTATGCGACCAAACAATAGTTTTACATAATTTTTTTTCGAGTCAATGAAATTGTAATTTTATTTAATTTCTTTGTTCAATTTATCGATTAATTCAATGTCCACGTTCTTGAATAATTTATACGATAATTTCGTCTGTAATTTAATTTTTTCCGCTATGGATAGTTCTGGCATTAGTTGAGCGTTTTATCTTTAATCATCAATAATTTTGTTGACTTTTCTGGTAATATTTCGACCAAATCAAATTCAGTATAATTTCATTATTTTAGAAAAATTGTATCGAATACAATTTTTTAATTTATTTTCATTGTAAATTAAGCGAGTCAGTTTTCGACGAAAAAAAAGGATCAAACTCAACACGATGACCAGTACTTTACTCCCGAACAGGAAAGAATCATTGTTCGTATCTTTTTTGCATGCAGAGGACTTTTAAGACGTTTCATACGCTGAGAATGCCAATAATACGCTTATCAGCTACCGTGACGAAAATTTACGTCACAGAATGCTGATTTGCAAACGCACACGCCGTTCCGCACTGTGCACCAGCTGAAGCTCAGAAAACTTTAAGTTTCGTCGTGATTTATTATTAAACCTCATTATCGGGCTGCTGGGCAAACAGTCGATGTTCAACAAGCAAAATGATCGCGAATGTCTCGTAGTTAATAAGAACAACGAATTTCTCGATACTCGCAGATTGAACACAAGCGTAAATTAACGTTTTTTAAGCCCAATGACGACATTACCGTGGTGGATCATTCATTTGGCAGTGCGAAGTGTCGTAATGTAACAGTGGAAATGGTTATAAACATGTCTTTTGCAGCTTATTTTCGTTTTTAGTCCGAATGAGCTGCCCCCTCGATCAGCAGGAATTTAGACCCCTGCAGTTTTGTTGTAGTATTTATGTTGTTATTGGTGGTCCATTTATAGCTTCTGAAACAAATCATCATGAATCTGCAAACGATTTTTCAAGATTTCAATCCAAGGTTCTTTCTGAGTTTATTTTCATCCTGTCATTTTCACACTTCAACTTGAATACCTTTAAAGTTTTCTTTGTTTATTTTCAATTTTTTTTCACTATCTGTACTGTACAGTTAACTTGTTATACTTTTAGCTAACAACTCTTGCTTCTAACCTTGATAAATTATACTATTATTTTGACTTAATAGAATATTCTTTTGATAATTGACATAAAAAAGATAATAAGAAAAAGTATGTACTGCTTTAACTAGCCTTCCAACTAATTATTTATGTTTTATTACTTGACTCAAAAAAACAACTTGTTGAATATTTTAATCAGTAATGAAGTCAATAATTTATCAACATGCTTAACTAATTTCATTTCATTTTACAGCAAATTCCTGGTTCATACATGTTTGATGATTTTTACTGCCTTGTTTGCCCTGAGACTTGACGGTTTTATTGAATGGAATTATTGGACAGTATTTACACCAATATGGTTTTGGAAGGGTATGGTTATTCTTGGTGCATCAGTTGGTAGTTATGTATGGTGGAGACATCCACACTCACGATTAGAAGGAGATGCTTACGTTCATTACAAAGCAATGCTCATAACATTAGCATTACACTTAATTTTATTAATGTTTGAGCTGTTAGTATGTGATAAATTAGAGTCAGAACGTCACTTATGGATTCTTGTTTTTATACCATTAATTTTTATCTCTATTGTATCAATAGCGGTGAGTTATTTACATAAGTTTACAAAATATTTATTATTTACTTACTAATAAAAGTATTTGAATTATTGCAGGTTTGCATTTGGGCTGTTAAACATGATAGGTCGTTTGAGCTAGAACTATTTTGCGCTGTAAATGTTTTGCAGTTCATATTTCTTGCTCTTAGATTAGACGAGTTTGTTACATGGAGTTGGGAAGTAGTGTTTGTGCCTTTGTGGGCACTTTTATGTTTATCTCTTGTTGCAGTTTTATATGCTATCGTGTTTGCTGCTGTTTTATTAAGAACTCCACAAATTAATGCTAGACAGAGAAGAACTTCACTGAATTCTGCTTTAGCTTATACATCTTTGGTTGTACCAATATTAGTGTTTCAGGTAATATTCATATTGATATTTAAATTTGATGTAAAGAAATGTTGAGAGTAAGATTTATTAAACTTTTCAATTCAATGATCTTTTATACAGGTTTTGTTGGCAAATAAATTAGATGGAGATATCAACCTGAATTTTACTACAGTAGCAGCACCATTGTTATTTTCTCATGTGACTTTAATTATCATGTCATTTGGGGCCAAAGGAGGCAATAAATGTAAATAACTTGAATTATTCTTTAATTTTTATAAAATATAATATGTAATAAATTAAAACATTTTTTAGGGTGGTTTGGAATAAGAAAAGACTTCAGTCATTTTCTACTTGGTCTCTGTCCAATATTACAGGAGTACGGTAATATTTCCTATCAACCAAGAAGTGCACAAGATCAATCTCCAGAATCAGTAGCTTTTGATAAAAACGAAAAAAATATTAAAAAGATTGATTTGACAAAACCAGTTGAACCCATAATTGCTATAGACATACCTGATTGATGCCCTGCTCAATGGTTATGCAATATATTAAATTATTCAAATAATGCTTTTTTTTTAAAGGCATTTTTAAAATTGAAGACTACAAATAATTTTGAATCAACAAATTTAACATTTTTGCAAAGGTCAATCAAATCAATCTGATAACATAAGTTGTTATTGTGATTATTTACTTGGTCATAATTTATTTTTATTACGATGCAATGATCGTCTATAATAACAAGACTATTTTCTATTTTAATATAATTTATTTATTGATTGTAAGTTTAATCAGTACAATTAAGATATTTTATTAATATTTATACTCGATACGTTAAATTTATTATGAAAGAGACTAAAATTGTGTTAAAAATATTGTTAGTTCAAATAATAATTAATGCAAGTTCCTTATACACAGATCAATAATATGAATTGGCGAATATTCAAATCTATAACTATGCCATTGTGATGAACTTAAATGTACATTTGTAGAATAATTGCGTGAATCTTCAACAGTTCAACATTTACAATGATATATTATATCGTATATTAAAAACTAATGAGGAATGCTGGTTATGTTATGTTACATACATTCATTTGAGTTATTTTCATTTACTTGAAAAGATATGAAAATACTTCAATAATGTATTATGTTATATTTAATCTTCCATGAAAGTTGAAATTTATTTATCAGACTTATTTTTTTAATGCAAAATATATGAAACACTTTACACAAAATTATCAATTTTTTAAAAATTATGTAGCTATCAAATTGTTTTGTAGTTCAAAAAACGTAACTTGAAGCATGGTACTAGATTTTTTGATTGTATAGATTATATTTTACTTATTAATCAAACAATTCTTGTTTAAAAATCAGAATATTGATGAGTTATATAGAGTGCATGTTTGTGGAGTAATACTTAAGATAATTTGGACTATTGTAATATGTTAATCGTCTTTATTGTGCCATCGTGTGTTAGTAGATTTTTTAAAATTAGACATCCTATATTTATTGTTTTATCATTGCCAAAAAATTAAAAAATTTTCATTATAATTGGCTATTGAAATACAAGACCAAATTCGACTGGAAGTTCAATAAGTTTATTAGACTTTAACTAAGATGTAAAAAAATTGTTGGAACGTGTCTGGCAAAATTAACAAAAGCACGATATTGGATGTTTAATTGCGTTCTATTTGATAAAAAATGCTGTACAAATCTCGTTGCATCGTGTTACTATATAAATATTTAATATTCGAAATTCTAATAATATATATTACACATATCGATAGTAAACTACAATAGCTCATTAGTAAAATTTCAGAAACGAAGCAATGTAATTTTATTTTATATGAAAAAGGGGTATACGATGTTCGTTTAGCATAGTAGTACAATACAAAAGAATAAAATTTATATTTTGGTATCAAAAGTGTATTTTTTATAATTAAATTGTATAACACGTAATTTCCATTCTTAATACTAGAAAGACTTAGCGGATTAAAATCAATTCGGAGTCGAATCCTGAATCATCGAACTCGTTCATAATTCGTTTCAAAAGTTTTCACGACGATAAACAAACCACTAGCTTCGTTTACGGACGCCTAGTCGGCAAACTTCTTGCGCAGCACTCGTATACCGTTGAATAATTTTGCGCTGCACACAATGTTGTATGATATCGCAGCATAAACAACTCGAAGCGACGCAGAATTCACCAGTAGGGCACGTAGTTGGGCTGCCACGGTCTTCCCAAGAGTGCCGAGACCCTGGCGGCAACTTTGTCGACGTCATAATCCGAGTCCTCGATGAGCGACGTGTCGGAGACGTACAAAACCTGCAGGTGCTCGCGGCAAATGGCGACGAACTCGACGAACGCGGAGCAGCTGGAAAAACGAGCGCATACGTCGATTACGAAATCATCGCCATCATCGTAATCAGATCGTCATTACGGATCGGAGAAAAAGTTTTATAATATAGAAATCAATAGGGCATAGTTACGTGATCTCGCAGTCGCCGAGTCCAAGGGCGGTGAGCTTGGGGCAGCCCCGGGCTATGCTGAGCAGGGCGCAGTCGGCGGTCTCGGGCCCGTAGGCCCCGACGACGAGCTCGCCGAGGCGGGGGCAGCGCTCGCCCACCCGGGCTATCGCCGAGCTCGGCGCCTCCTCGCCGAAGTACAGGTGCGTCAGCGGCACGTAGCTCTGCAGCAGCGCCTCGTAATCCTTGACCTCGGTCAAGTACGCCAAACTGCGCGCAATCGGATACGAATTAATAATTATTGCGTAAGCTCGGCGGATAATTGCGAATCCTTCGCAGAATGAAAATCGCTTTGTCAAGACTCACAGGATGAAGTTGATGTTGGAGAAGTGGGTGGCGAAGGCGCACCAAGCCTCGCAACTGACGGTCGACGCGGGTTTCGCGTCCGGGTGAGCCTCGACGCGCAGAGTGTCCAGCTGCAGCAGCGAACTCTTGTTGCTACTTAGTGCCTCGAGAAGCTCCTCGCTGAGAAACGAATAGGACAGGGAGAGCTCGCGCAAACCCTCGCAGTGATTCATCAGCGTCAAGATACCTGCCAGGATGCATCAAGTGATGTAACGATTCACTTCCCTCGCAAGAACAAGCAATAAGTGTATAATTCACTTTGTCCTACCTTTTGTCGAGAGTCGCGACGTGTTTTTGTGAACGTGGGCCAGCTGCAGGGTGGACGACTCGTTGGCCGCCGAAACGGCGAAGAACGGCTCGTCCAGGCAGAGGGAGTCGAGCAGGCGCGACGTCGTGCGATCGCTCTCGTCGTCGGCGTACTTGTTGTCCTCGTCCTCGTCGTCGTTCATGTTCAAGGCTGTGGAAAATCGATCGCTGTCAACGTCAACGAATTTCGATTGGTCCTCGTTTATAAACGCGACCATCTGCGTGTTCATAGGGATGAGAGAAGATTTTTTGTTCACATTACTATTTTGGCGAGTTTTATGGAAATATTTCGTTTACAAAAAAAAAAAAATAAATAAATTATATCAAGCGTCATATTAATACTTGGGGATGGACTGCGTCATTTTTATCGGCATCGATGCCACCGAAACTGTTGGTGCTATTATTAATCGTTGGTATCTCGAGAGCCAAACCGGAACAGAACATTTTGTGAGCGAGGGAGGATTTTTGCTCGCGAAAAGCCGCGTGAGGCCCCGCACGAGCGCCGCGATCTTGTCTATTTTACAGGCCCAATGAAACTGACGATTCTCAAGCACGGCGTTAATGCGAATGCAATCGTATATAGAACTAGAAAACGCTGGGTTGGGGTAGCAACGCGACTCGGTACAGTATAGAAAGGATAAATTGCCAGGATATAGCCATAAGGTAAATTGATCCTTCTACTTCTCTTTGCCCTCCCTCTCTCTTTCTCTTCAATGTTGTTAAAATAATACAACCGATGGCTGGTGGTCTCGTGTGAGCCACAGCACGTGACACGTGACCGTGTGTACATGTACCAATACGCAGCAAAGATCGAGATATTGCGCTTTGGGTCAAGCACGTTTGGTTTTTTTATTAGTTTTTTTTTTTTTTTTTTTTTGGAGAACGGAATCGAGTGTAAACACTGCGCTCACGTTGCCGTGCGTATGTTATATATTTCTTAATCTGCTTTGTGCTGGAATAGCGTTTACGATGTATAGACATTGAATTGCTCGTTTCGACTTGCACTCGAACTTGCAGGTAAAATTGTCTATCGAAGATTTAGAAATCAATTTAGATACGTTAATTTATGATGTCAAAGCGCAGATTAATCATGATATTCAATTTATTTTTAAAGACATTGAATTGAAGATAATTATTTATATGCAGAACTATAAAACTTCACTTGCGGGAACGATCCCGAAACAAAGTGACATCTAGTAGTGAATGACCACAACTCGATCGTAATATCGTCCCATTTTTCAGCGAGTAAGCAGTTTTGAACGATAATAATGAACTACAAAAATGACATGAATAATATGGACATGCATTCGATAAGTGCAATCAAACACTGTTCTTATTTGCGTTGTATCTTTTTGATTTTAATCGGCATAGACAATTACGAATCGCGCAAAACAGCGAAAGATGTACTTTTCCCAATTATTGTTATGATCCACAATAGCATCATCGGTATCAAAGGAAAAGTTGATGCAATGCAAAAAAGCTCTGATTCTTCGATCGCAGAGTATTCATCGGATTTTATATTTTCAATCTCGACTTGGGCAATCGAAAATTCGAATAAAATAAAGTCGACAAAAAAACATTATCCATGGAAGCTCCATTGAATCGTCGAACTCACAAGCTCCAACATTTTCATATCGTAATTGATAAAGTGGCATGGAACAAGGATTATGCGTACGGACGATCGCGAGAGCGTAGGAGCGTGCGAGCTCGATAAACGTCACGAGCCGCGTACGTGCATATGATGGACGGCTGCCAAGGCCTCATGCCGGCCGATGAAAAATCATCCCTCGCGACGCGGCTACACGATGGCTGCGTTGCGCAATGCTCATTGATAATAAGCTCGTGTGTGCAATCGATGCAAGTACTGCCCGGCACGTACTACACTGTATGCTACATATATATATGCTATGCGCGATTGTCATAATACTTTAAGCGCATAATGAGCACGCGGGCTTGGTAAAGCTTTGTAAAGCCGCGCGCGAATCGATTCCTCGCCTCGCCGAGAGAGAACGTCGAGAGTGTAAGAGAGAGAGAGCCGGTCAAGTGCAGCGAACGGCGCCTACGTTCGCTGATCGACTCTGCACATGACGCTCGAAGCATATTGTATATAATATACATCGGTGCAGCGCGAAATCCCACAAGTCGTAATAGTGGTAGTCTCGATCGCGGGGAATTTTATAATTCGTGTATAGTTTTGCCGGGGGGAGGCACGTGATTGCAGCGCGCCTCTGTGTGTGTACGCACGATAAGATCGAGGCCTGGCGCTCGGTATTTAGGGCATTGGTGCAGTAGTATTAAGTACGGCGGGCGGGCAAGGCGAAAAAGTAAAAGTAAAAGGGGCAAACGCGTGCAACTAATACACATAGCGATAACGTACGAGGCGGATTATGGTGCCTATGTAGACTGGCACGTTTTTCATCCATTCACCTGTACGTGTATTGTACTCCGCAGCACGCGAGAACGCGTAAATGCAGTCACGTGAATATTCGCGGCATTGATTACAAGCGATTAAATTGCCTTTTCCCCAATCACGAATCGGTATGGTGCAGTTTCATCGATTCGTCGCTTGTTCGATTTGACGATTGCACAGCCACACGGCTTCGAATTCGTACATTTCGTTCTATGCTCTAAATTACCTCGAAGGGGAATCTCGGTTGCTCCAATTGTTTTTTTTTATTTTCCGTTTTATGTTGTCTATGCGCTCGACACAAGGCAAACTTCCTACGGTGGATCTATTTTGGCCAGCGATATGCAGTTGAAGCGTCTGATGTTGCAAGAAACGATTGGAAGAATCTTACGACCCATTCGTCGAGTCCTTGATAAAGCCGAGTCAGTAGAGTCCGATACGGTCCCTTTATTTTCCAATTTGTTCTGCCTTATTTGACTGAGAAACTTATAAGAACGAACTCGGGCTCTTCTTAAATTTTGACGAAATTTTTGTCCATCCTTGATCTGTAATTAAGTGGCATTATATTGTATAGTTATATATATTTATGAGCATTTAAAAATCATCGTAATCAAACGTCTTAAAAGAAAGAGAGTTCAATTAAACGATGTTTGAATGTATTTTCTGTGCCTTAGAAATAAATATGGTGAGACGTTGTTAACGATCGTTGCCAATGCCGCTAAAATGGAACAATTTTAGGAAATCAGAGTCAGTTCGTCCAGATAGCGCGCGTCGTTTAATTAACGAAAAAATTTTCCAGTCGCGCGTTGCATTATCGGACGAAATCCGCGCGCGTCAATCGAGTCAAAACAAAAACACATCTGCTCCAACGACGTCGCGCAAAGCAGCTGCAGCACGAGAGCTCGAAAAACGTACATAGCAAAATAGATATCTATATGGTACATAAGTGCGGCGGCGGCGGCGGCCCGATAAGACGACGTAGTACATTGCTCGAAACGAGCTCCAAAGGCGTGTCGCGGCAGCTCCATATATATCGCAATAACATAGCAGCTCGGAGTAGTCGCGAGTTGTGCAAAGGAGTAAGTTAGCGCGGATCGCGTGCGCGCGCGGGGGGATCCCAGAGGCAGCGGCGGGCCACGTGCGGCACTGGTCTCGTGCACGGAGGCTTCAAGTCGCGACTCTGGCCGGCCGATTCCCGCTCACTCGGCAGCATAGCACTATATAGCAATAATATGTACAATACGCACGAGCAAAGGAGAGTGGCATTACACTCGTGCTGCTGCTGTTGCAGCTCTCGATACGAGTGAGCAAGAAATATGCATGCAGGCGAGCAGCGGTGGGGGAGAAGATTTGCAAAGCTTATATAGCACTGCACTTTGAGCCACGATCGCGACGCAGTGTATCGGCTTTTTGGCATATATATAAGGCAGAGGCTTCGATATCTCGAGGCTCAATGCTGCGTTTACTCGCGTACACAGCAGCATCGTCGCGAGCGATCGTAATCTCGACGTTTGTATGCTCGCCGAATTCAAATGCAAATTTCTTACGCGTCTCTTTTGCGAAATTAACGCAAAAAATTATTAGCCTTTTTGGAATCGGGAAATACCCGATCGATTATTATGGCTCGCGCGACGACGTGCTATATAGTGACGCGATGATGCTCACGCATATTATGCGTGCGTATCAACGAACTAATCTCCCTGAAATCGGATTATTGCGCGACTCGTGTACTCTCTGTGTAGGATGCATATCGCGTGCGGATCGTTGCGAGCAGCGCGTCGCGTACACGTAGTTTTCCACTGGTCGCGTCGCGATTATTACCAATTGTACTTTTGCGTGTGACGCTCGCATGCATAATGTGCCGGGGAACGATCGATACACACTGCGTCGCGTCGCGCGTGAGACATATCCGACGAGCTTATGCGTGTACTCGTGTTTGTTTTGCAAAGCTAGATAAACTGCAACGTCACAATTTCGTTGCGCTCGACTCGATACAAATAGATTCGGGCCTGAAATTTGGTGGAGATTATAAATGTGGGTCGCGTTCAAATTGATTTTTCGTATTATACGATGAACTTGAGCCGCGTGAACCTTAGCAATAACGATGACAAACGTTCGTGCAAGTCAACGATTATTACGTTGCTTCTAATTGTCGTGATATTTCTATTCGAATGGTTCGTCTACTGTGTACACTGCATTGATTGTCACGAACGCCCAATTCGTACAATATCTTACGATCCACATTTAAAGCAATCACGATTACTCATGTAGCGATGTTAATTTAGCACTTGTTTTGATAATAAAAGTAAATTGTATACATCACGTACGTTTCCGTTTTTTGTGAGATCTGCTACTGATAATAATCTATGCGCAGCTTTTATACTCTCGAATCTATATATGAGCCGGTCAAATGTTCATTTCAACGATGGCAGATCGTTACGTATTGTATACTCGTCGACTCAACTGGAGAGTGTGCGATTTTTTGTTTCTCTGTGCACATTCGTGTAAAACGATACCGAATGCGCTTTATTACATATGCACTTTTTTCGCAAGCGAAATCTTCGAGTCTCGCCGCGGGACTAGCTCTCTTTCGCAAACACTGTGCTGCAGTCACTGACTTCGGAACTGCGTCCGATTAAATTATTTATTATGCGACCGTATTAGTGATACGTTCGGTCGAATGGTTTCGATACCGTTGCAGTTAGACAATGGCAATTTTTTCGATATACGTAAGTGATGCGTCTCTGATGCAGTTCTGTATTATGATTAAGTGAGACACGCACTGACTCGACGACACGCGTCGACTGACTGTATCCTTGCGCGCCGCGACCGGCTCGATGCGCGACAGAACAGAGAGCCACCGCCGCATCGCATATATTGTGGGTCGGGACGTAGTGACGACGATGATCGACCGATGACGATTGCACCGCGCAGAAATGCAGCTGGACACAGTGCTGCATATATCTGTTTCTCGCGTACTTTTCGGTACCTATAATATTCATTACAGCAGCAACGTAGCTAAATATTTCAATGCGTCATAACTGAGTCGCGCCTTTTTTTCAATATTGGATTTCTTGCGCGTGTCCTTTTGCTTTTTGGTGTCATAGACGCACTTTTAATTAGTGTGATTTTTTTAAACTTCATTCGTTAGTTCATTCGATAAACAGAAAATTTCAAAAAATTCGTTTTGCTATAAAGGCGCTAAACGCATACGTATAAGCTGCATATTCTGTCAGCTAGTGCATACTCGTAATTTTCAAAATAGATTTTTGCGATAATTCTAGAAAAATAATTTTTTTTAAAAAGTTTGGAACACAAAAATGTTGTAAATGTCTTGGATGTTTTTGGAAAAAGTTCAATTTTTTATGCGGTGCATAAAATCACTTCTTGGTTAAACGATTTCTACAATTCGCAGCAAGTTTGGATGAAAAAACTATGGATTTTCGAGCGCTTCGTTTGACTATGAACTAGGGAATTATTTTTCTATTTAAAATTGTGAAAATAAATTTATATAAATATTAATGGATCAAATTTGTTTTTTTTTATATAATCATGAAAAATGTATAAATAATGTTTTCAATATAAAACCATGATGGTTTAATTATTAAAAAAGCTGTATCGAAAATGAAAAAAACTTTAGATCGCAGTGAAATTTTAACCAATAATAGTTCATGAAATTACAAGATTTTTGGTAAAAAAAATGTGGGGTTTCCGTGCAAATTCGGGGAATAATGAAATTCAAAGTTTTGGCTATTTAACATTGAATCAAATGGGAAGTGGCAGTTTTCATTGTACTGTGAGCTCAAATCACTTTAGAAGTTAATGAAATTAATTTGTGTTATAGGAAATTTCATTAGCTTTCGAATGAGATATTAAAAAATGTGTGTTTCCAGTCAAATGAAAAATGTATTATTTTTTGAAAAATGTTACCGTAGCCATACCGAGTCACACGACGTAAAATGTACAGCTCTACATGCAAATATGAGCAAGCTGCAGCAGACGCTGCTCTCTATAGTGCGCCGCGCAACGCACTGCGGCGCAGCGGAGGTGCACCTTCGCTACAGCCACCTTAAATGCAGCCGTACGTGTCTGACTTCGTGAAGCATTACCTCGTGTTTTCATCGACTCAACCAGCAGCAGTTGATGTATATTATTTTATATTGAAAACTTTATTTAAATCATTTATCATTGTTTACAGAAAAGTTAAAAAAAATTATTTAATTAAAATTTTTATAAATTTATGTTCACAATTTGAAATCACGCGCTTTCGACTGTTGCCACTCTTGAGAGCACTGAGCGGTGTAGTTTTGTGCTCATCTGACACAAGCTGTCTCTACTGCCCCACGTGTTTTTTTAGCCGCTTAGTTGTGCGGCTTGGAAAGTTTTCAAACAGTAAGATTTCTCTTTAGAGTAGAACAATACAGTCCGAGCGTTAAACCTTTAGCTTTACGGGCTTGAAGACCAACGTGGTGCCTGCAACGTACAATTATTTAGTTGTTGAGTATTACTTCTAGATTATCGAGTGAACATACAGTTATTCAAGTATAACGTCATGCATCCATCGAATCTAGCTCAGATGCACATGGGTCGGCCCCGTCATATTCCACTGCCGCCGATGCCCATGCGACCAATGAGGCCCTTCAGGAAGATCGAGATTTTACCTTACATTAGACCAACCCGCCCTCTGAAACAGAATGGAAACGGACCCAACAGCAACGACAATGAGAATCTCAAATTCGAGGTAAATTTCGTAAGCTGTTTTTGTTGCTTCAAATAAACTATCTAAGCATAGAATTTTACTTTTACAACTGTACTTTTAAATACCTAACAAAAAATAAAAATGTTGATATCAATCCTTTTTAGGCACACCTGCACAAAAATGATAAAGAATATAGAGCCCCTAATTCAGATACATTGCCAAATACTAGTATCTTAGAAGACGATACAAATACTCAAATGCAGCCAGATGAAAAATCGAAACAGCAGTTTTTGCAGTCAAGCAGCGATGAAAATGAACAATTTCATGTATCTGACGATAATGATAAAGTTTTTCCAGTAAAAATGACAAAACTTTCAGAAGTCCCAAAAATGTCAGATAACGTTGTGATAGAAAAACCAATAGAGACAAAATCTCTTGATTGGGTTGCTAATTGTAGTACTGAATCTGATGAATGTGAGTAATCAATTATTTTTAACCATTAAAATTAATAATTATTTTGAAATTAATTTTCAAATTCTTCAAAAATAAATTTTCATCTCCAGATGTACTACCTGAAGAAGTGCCTACAGTAAAATTAAACATTTCAACCAATTCAATCAAAAATAACTTGTCAAAGAATAGTAATGCATCTGAAGAAGTTACGCAGCCACAATCGAGTAACAATGATCCTGAATATAGCAATGGTCGATTAAGGTCATTTTATACAATGCCAGAAAGGGCATTACACCTCAAAAAGTTTTCTTATGAATTTTAGTTGTAAATTTATGTCTAGTGTTAAGTTTGAATATATATACAAAAACAATGTTTTTTGTAGTAACGATTTTAATATTAAATTAAAATCAAACCTTAAAAAGTCAAAATTGTGATCAACGTAGGTAGACATCAAGTTAATAAATTGTTATCAAGTTAGTGTTTCTCAGAGATTTCTAGTGTTTATACATTTAGTTTTGTTTATAAAATTTTATCTACTGTAAGAAAAAAACTTTTTTTACCGTTGTTGACATTGATAATAAATCATATTACATGAAAAGTTTATTGCAAATCTTTTATTGACAAAATACAACATAAAATAATTGAAATGAAACCAATATACAAGTATAAAATAAACTGGTCTACTTTATCTGTATAAGCAAAATTATAAAAACATGAGTATAAAATATTGCAACCTCTAGTTACAACAATTGTTATTTTAATTTTTAAATATAACAAATACTTGCATATCTCGTGATAATACATAATATTGCATATGTTTTGAAGTTACAATACAATATGGTTTTGATCAGTGAAAAATAAAATTCTATTAATATGTCAAATATCAATTAGTATAATTTTTTTATACTTTTCAACGATTACAACGAAAAAATTTGTAAGTTCAGCGCACAACGTTCAAACATACCGACGTTTCGAGGCAAACGATTCGCTAGGGTTTTGGCTAATAATTTTGGTAACACATGCCATATGTATTTTCCACTGATCGAATCTTACCTGCAGGCCTGATGTGAACGCTTTAAACAGAGAGTCGAGTCAAGCAGACCATCCCCTTCGCCCTGGCCGCTGAAAGTTTTTTATTGATTGAAAAAAAAACTTGCTTTTTTAACATTAAGCATAATTTCTAAAAGACAGCTATCTTTTTTAAAATCATCCAAAACTGGCACAATAATCCTAATTATTCGTATTGATAGGTTGGCAATGCCATATCTATAGATAAAGTAGAACAAGTATAGCCGACTCGTGCAGTCGCCTGTGTCAAAGCTATGTAATATAAGCCTGACAGACTACTGTAGTCTGTAAACTGCAGTTCAACACTGTCTATATAACTTACAACAAACACGAGCAGTGGCGCAACTATCGGTTTTGTTTTCGGTTAATTCTTGTTTTTTTTGTTGCAATAATTACAACCTCGCAAAAATATCCATCAACATGGGAGACCAAACAGCACAATCAAAACAAACTGAAAATACAGGTTTAATAACAATTTATAACTTCATCAACTCGGCATTTATAGAAATAAAGGACAATTTTACTTTGTAGTTGCAGAAATCAATCAGGATGAACTCATCATGCAACAGCAGAGGCAGATTGAAAAAGAGGTTATTGCAAATTACTTATTTTAATTTTTCAAATTGTATACAGAATAAAGAATGGACTTTTTTTGATTTTCTATGATTCATATGATATTTTTAGATACAAGATACAACACCTTTGGTTGGGGAAAAAGAATCTTTGAAAGCGTTGGAAAGCGAGTACACTACAGATGAGATTTATTTATCAAAGGCTAAAAATTTAGCCCAGATATACTCGTTCTTGAGAAGAACTAGACCCGATGGAAATTGCTTCTTTCGAGCGTTTACCTATGCTTATCTAGAAAAATTACTTAATAACAAGGAAGAATATACCAAATTCAGAGAGCTTGCTCGCAAGAGTAAAGATGATTTAGTAGAATTAGGATTTCCACAATTTACAATTGAGGAGTTTCATGATACTGTAAGTTAAAAGCATGTTCTTTAAAAAATTGCTGCAGGAATATTCATATTTCAAATTTTGTAGCTTATGGAAGTCATTGACAAAGTTGGTGAAAGTGGAGAAAATGGTCATGCAGAACTTCATAAGCTTTTCAATGAACAAACATATTCAGACTATATTGTAGTTTATCTTAGGTTGATAACTTCTGGGCAGCTCCAGAAGGAGGCAGAATTTTATCAAAATTTTATTGAAGGAGATCGTACCGTTAAAGAATTTTGTCACCAGGTTTGGCATAATTTTACTTTTACCATTGATTTTATTCATGACAGAGCTTATAATTTAATATTATCTAACAGGAAGTAGAACCCATGTATAAAGAGTCTGATCACATTCACATTATAGCAATGAGCACTGCTTTAAATACTGGAGTGCGAGTAAGGTACATGGATAGAGGTGCTGGTACTGAAGTTACAGCCCATGACTTTCCAGAAGGATCAATACCATCAGTGCACTTGTTGTACAGACCAGGACACTATGATATTCTTTATCCTTGATAGTATTGCACATAATTATTTTATAAGTTTTATTTATATCAATTAGAAATTTTACCTCCATATAATTAATATCTAAACTAAACTTGTCGAAATTCAATTCATAACTTTTTTGTCAATCATTACAATTACATGATCTCTTTTGCAAGTAATTACAATGAATCAAAGATATTAGACTTATTCTATTTAATCAACGATAATCATCAAATTGACAGTCAAAAACCTTGGTCTATTTAACATAAATTTGAATTATAATTACTGTATAATTAGAAAATGAACTTGATATTGTGTTTTCAGATTTGTAAAAGAAAAAAAATTTCACTTTTTATTATACACTAAAATATTTTGAAAATTAAGAATAATCTATTTCATAATAAAAGCCTTTTTATTAAAATTGAGTACCCATTGAAGTATTTTCTTGCTATTCTGTTACTATCATTACAGTTGCTCTTGCACTATAGAGTTAGACGACAGTAGACTTCAGAATTTTACGGTACTTGGCGCACGCCCGTCATCTCGTGAAAGAAAATAGTAAACAACTTGCCAAGTAATACTATTCTACAATCTTTTTCGTTACAATCGATTCGGGAATAAATATTGAATGTATAGGAACGTTCTCTCCATTAATTTATTTAACACTTATGAATAAAATAATAGTTCAACGTGATTAGTTTTCGATTTTAACCTCAAAAAGTAGTAACATTGCATTTAAAAAAAAAAAATTGCTCATCAAACATTCAATCAAATTTGATAAAAAATAATTATAATTTAATATGGCATCCGCTTCAAGTACAAGTGCACGTAGTTTGTTTGTGGAGTCAAAAATGCGCCTCGCAGACAGAGTACAAGTAAACATAAATAATATAGCATCTCTTACTAGACAGATTCAAAGAGGTTCAAAAAGCAGTGAAGCAAGTTTAATTTTTTAAATTCAGAAATTTCATGATAATTTTATATTTGTCAACCATATTATAGTTTATCATCTTATTTTCAGATATTGATGCAGTCAGCAAGAAATTTTGTTCAACAAGAGCACGTATTAGAAAACGCAACAGAAAACTTGAAGAAACTAGGACTAATAACAAATCATTTAGAATTCCAAATGGATGCAATTGATCAAAATACTGCAAAACTTGAAGAAGTTACAGAACAAGTGCGTGCAATGCAACGTTAACATAGAAGTTTTTACTTAGATAATCTATAGTGAGTGATCTATATTTTACGTGAAGATCATTTTTTAAAATAATTATTCTTCTATTTTTCTGTGATAGTAAAAATGTATATATTCATTGATATATGTTTATAGGCTTCAATTTATTATACTCATTACAATTTAGTATGAATCAAAAATGTATATTATGTTTAAAAAATTATTTGTTTAACTTGTAAGTTACTATACAAGAATTGATTCTAATAAATATTACAATATACATAACTTTCAATTTTTATACGCTAAAGATATCATTTAATTAACTTGTTTTTTTATTTGGTAAATGATTTCACTTTTTTTTATAATTGATGTTCATTTTAAGTCCATGTGCATTGATAATCAGACTCATCTAATGAGTAATTGTTACAAGCAATTTACTTTCATATGTTCTGCTACATATAATTATGTGATGTGCAAGTTTTAATTTAATTACTTTCTTATAACTTTCAAAAAAAAAAAAGAAAAACACTATTATAAGTAAAAATTACGAGGGCGAGATACATAATTGTTTTACTAAAAAAGTCGACCGGCATCGTATGCGCTTAGCGATCGATAACGCTAGTATTTGGCAGCACTCTTAAATTTTGGGACTAAATACATAAATTCCCCCTCCCAGATTAAAAATTAGGCTCGGCTTCAGTCGCACAGAACTATCGTCTCGATTGTATCGTCGAATTACTTTCATTCATTCTCGTTTAGTATGAGGCGACGAGCCGAGTAGAGAGCACATCGTAAATAAGAGTACCGGGAGAGCAGTTATAAATAAAATTTAAAGAAAGTAAGATGGAGTCGAACAATATATTTAATGGTGCAGCTATCAGGTAATTTTTGTTACGTTATTTTACAATTAAAAATTGTACAGTATGATACTTAATTTGATTGCAATTGTTTCAGCATAAAAAAGGAACCAGAAGATAAGTCATTTGAAGAGTTTGTTAATACTGACGAAAATTCGGTAAGTGTTTAAATATAATTATTATACGGCTACCGGCATGGTAAACATATTTTACAAAAATTTTTACATTGCTTTTTTTATGTAGATCCCTAAGGTTCAGAAATATGCCCTTAATTGTAAAAGTGAACTCGATGAAGAAATAGAAATCGAATTCGAATGTAAAAACGAGAAATCTAGCCTGAATTCATTTGTACGTAAGAAAATTGACGATTTTTCTCAATATCGTTACAAAACACGAAGTAGAATTAAAAGAGAATTTCCTAGTGATAGAGTGAAAAAAGAAAATATACGAAGGAATTCCAATAATTTGGATACGAATGTCGAGTATGAACTTAACAGCGAGATTGAAATCGAATTCGAATGTAAAGAAGAAAAGCCCAACAAGAATATATTAGTAACGCAATGTATAAAAAATAGCGATGGTTGTGAAAAAAGAAAAAAACAACGTACTAGAGTAAACTCAAAAAAATTGGATAAAAATGTCGAGTGTGAAATTCGTGATATAAAAACTACAACAAAATTCAGATCACGAAATAAAAGAATGCAAAAAGATGCGCACATTGACGAAGCGCAAAACAGTACTAGCATTGGTCATGCTTGTGACAAGTGTGGAAAGGTGTTTTCTAATGCGAGCAATCTTAAACTGCACATCGAGTGGGTGCATGATAAATTAATCGCGCTCACGTGTGATACGTGTGGAAAGACTTTTGCACGTAAGGGTGACGTCAAAAAACACATCCTACATCTCCATAATGATGGTAAGATCACCTACTCGTGTCCTACGTGTGGAAAGACGTACCCACAACCGACCAGTCTCAAAAGCCACATCAACTCGGTGCACAAAAAAGTTACTTATGCATGCGATTTGTGCAGAAAGAATTTCACAACCATAGGTTCTCGTAAAAACCACATCGACACGGAGCACAATTGTATGACCTACGAATGTGATATTTGCAACAAGGTATACCTACGTCAAACTTCTCTCAAAAGGCACATCAGGGTGGCGCATAGTAAAAGTAATATGAAGTATGAATGTAATGAATGTGGAAAGAAGTTTGCATCCAAGGAAGTTATCAAATCTCACATGAAATCGCACAACGGCGTGAAGCAGCCTTGCAATATATGTGGAAAAAAATTGTTACATCTCAATATTCACATGAATGTGGTGCACAGTGTTACCTTGTATACATGCGATGTATGCGGTAAGACGTTCAAAAGGAAAGGTGCTATCGCAGCCCACATCGACGTGAAACACAATGGCAACGCTCCTAAGTGTGGAATATGCGGTAAAACGTTTGCAAAAAAGAGTTGCGTCAAAGTCCACGTCGATAAGTTGCATAAGAAAATTACATATTCATGCGATACGTGCAGAAAGAAGTTCAAAAGCAAAGAATATCTGAAAGTTCATATCGATGCAGAGCATAATGGTATCACTCACACCTGTGGTACGTGCGGAAAGACGTTCGGTTACAAGCAAAATCTCAAAGCTCACATCGATGCGAAGCACAGCGCTCGCGCATTTGAATGCGATGTTTGCTTCAAAAAATTTTCAGTGAAAAGTCATTTAAAAAAACACATCGACTTTGTGCACAATGGTACCAAACATCCGTGCGACATATGTGGAAAAACAGTAGTAGATCTCCAAGACCACATCAATCGGGTGCACAATAATAAATTCTACACATGTAACGACTGTGGTAAGACATTTACCCGTAAATGTCGTCTACTTGACCACATCAATGGTATTCATATTGGTAACACTCATAAATGCATTGCATGTGGAAAGGAATTTAGTCTTAAGGAAAAATTCCAAGCTCACCTCAAAACGGCGCATAATTTAAACTCCAAAAAATGTCCATGCGATAAATGCGGGAAGATATATACATCTAAGGCAAACCTTCAACGACACATCGCTGATGTGCATGAAAAAACCACTTACGCATGCGATATATGTGGAAACACATTTACCCTCGAGGAAAGACTTAAAAGGCACATCATTAAGATACACATGATTATTAGGCATCCATGCGACGTATGTGGAAAGAAATTTACTGACAAGAGTAAACTCGACGAGCACCTTAAATCATCGCATCGTGGTAAAATTTATACGTGTGATAAGTGCGGAAAAGTTTTTTCACAAAAGTGTAATCTGAATGAGCACGTTAGATCATCGCATAAAGGTGTTACTTATGCGTGTGTTCAATGCGGGGCAAAATTTACAAATAAGAGTTATCTCAAGGTCCACATCAATACCAAGCATAACGGTATCACATTTACATGTGGTTTATGCGGAAAGACATACTCGCAACGAAACAGTCTCATTAAACACGCAAAACAAAAGCATGATGGTGTCATTGTTGTGGCGAAGTAGCTCCAACTTAATTAAGACGGCGAGCAGATCGTACTTATTAGCTCGTGTTATATAACAACAGACATATTTAAATTAATTAAGGTTATTTACTTAATTTTATGAGTTATGACAAATTTAAATTGTGCATGTCAAATAGATTTTGTATCGTACAAACAAATTATGTGGTTAAGAAAAAGTTTAAAATTTTAAATACTTGACAATTGTTTTCCATTAATATTTGCTTCTTTGAAGGTGGATGTTAATGGATCAGCAGAAAACTCTGATTAATTATAACAAAAATTTGTCTTCGAAAAATTTTTCTCAATTTCTTTTAAAATAACCAAGTGTTGAATAAACTTTTTCGAATTGAGTAGGTTTTCATACCTTTCGCACGTGAATACACATAGAAACTTATATTTATTTACTAATATTTATTATGAATCTAGTGTATAATTTATAACGGTAGAACAGCGGTCGGTGCAACGTCTACGGCATCAACATATTTCTGATTCAATAAAGATTTTTCATCCATACATATGAGTGACTAATGATTTTACCAAATCACCCTATTTCGATCTTTTATGAGTCTTTCGTATCCTTAAGTAGATGTTGATGATAATTTAGCAATGCGTGGTACCGCGATTTGTGCAGAAATAGTAAAAGAAATGAAATCATAAAAATAATAATTTTTACTTTGAAAATTTCAATTATATGTGTAAGACCTCTTTATTTCGAAACTTACTTGATTCGATGCGGTAGTTGACGTACTGTGACACGAGTCTTTGCAATACACGTGTGCCTTTTTAAAGGTTTTTTAAAAATTTACTTATTAAAAAAGCAAATCGTGCATTAATTTTGCATTTTTCACCCGATCAATTGAAAATATTGCTCAATCGCATTCATGAAACCTATATTTCCAAATAGTAAATTTGGGCGTTTAACATTTTTTTGTATAAAAATATACGAGGAACTATTTAAAAGTGATATGCTTATTGTCATAAATTTCTTACGAACCATCAGCGCTTTTTCACATATTTTATGCGTGGTCGACTTGTCCGCATGAATGTCCGAATTATTCGTCATACCCTACTCTCCATCATTATCATTATTCGATCAAATCATCACAGTACATAAGAAAATTGCAACTAGTCTAATTACCGCGTATTACATCACGCTCATTCTTCAATTAATTTCTTATCTAACATCAATAGTTTATCAAAAACCTATTATAGACCTATATTTAAAAAAAAGTTTGCCAATTTTGTGACTAAATTGTAGAGGATGTCAGCCCTTGTCCATTTTATGTCTTTTTTTTATCCTCGTAAAGCATGGGCACGTCATGATACTTGGATGATAAAGAGAAAGTAAATAACTTATTTTTTAAATCAATCAGCAGCTATACAATAACAGCTGCAAGGTGTCAATTTTTATAATGCTACTTTGTAAATTATTAAAATCGGATTAAATCAACAAATTAACTTTTTTTATTTATTTGATTGTATTTTCATTGTTTAACAAAAAAACTTTGACAAGAGCTGTTAGAGCGTTATACCGACATAAGAAGCTAATTTTTGATATATACTAACTTGAGTATAAAAGCTTGAGTTCTTATATTTATGATTTTCACGACGAGCTGTAGCTTGTAGCTGCCAAGTAAATGTGATATAAATCTTCGTTCATTAAATTTTCGACGATCAAGTCACAGCAGAGAATCGGCAGCCGGTATCCTATCAGAGTCCAGAAAGAATCCAGTACCCAGCGTCGGAAAAATCTTTTCGGTAGCCTCTCGCACAGACTATAATTAAAAGCTTCCTTGTGCTTTATGGGAAGTGCGCAATAACTATCTTTTCCAAAAAAATTGTAGTAGTCCTCGTACGTGAGCAGCTTCGCAGCCTCATCGGGTCGTAACCGGACTAGATCGTAAAATGACAGATTTGCATTCATCATTATCTTTTTCGATTTGCTCGCGAACTCCTCGTCGTCGTGCCAAGATTCGTTGAGATTCGCTGGCTTCTTGAAAAACTCCAGCTTATCGACGAATTTCATGATCTCCAGGGCGTCGGCTTGGACCAACTCGTATCCTCCGTTCTGAAGACGTTCGGCGATGACCAGCGCGTCGGATGTTAGTTTTAATTTCAATCCATTGTTTACGTAATTCAACGTTTCGATTTCCGCGTCGAAGTAATTCAAAGCAGGAAAAACGAAGCTGGACAGATCAGCGCCACGACTCAGAAGTACACCGACCGCGTCCGGAAAGAATCTCGCCACGGCCCATTGCATCGGTGTTAGGCCCTTATTGTCCCGGGCGTCGACCTGCATCGTCAGCGGAATCTCATCGATGATCTTGAAGAATTTCTCCATTAATTTGTCATTGAAATCTCTCTGGCAAATACAGTGCAGAGCAGTCCACCCTTCTGCATTGGTTAAATTTGGATCAGCGCCCCTTTTTAACAGTGATTCGACCACCTTCCTGTGGCTACAGACCAAAGCGAGGTGTAACGGCGTGTTACCCAGCTTATCCTGAGCATTGACCTGCACCGGATGATATTTGCCGTCGCTGAGTTGAAATAACATCTCCATGAAGTTAACGCTGTAGAAGTCGTCATCACCATCGTCGTCACTATCATCGTCGTCGCTGTCATCACCATCCTCATCATCACTATCATCGTCGTCCTCATCGTTGTCTCCATTGTCGTTGTCATCGGCGTTGCCAATATCGTTCTCATCATAATATCCGAAACACTTGCTAATATAGTGCAGAGGAGTCTCTCCATCGTTGTTGGCCAAATTCGGATTGGCCCCTTTTCTTAGCAGCAACCTGACCATCATTAGGTTTTCGTGCTTCAAAGCCAAATGCAGCGGTGTATTACCCATTTTGTCCTGAGCATTGACTTGAACTAGCTGACGGTTTTCGTCACTGATCTCGAATAACATTTTCATCAATTTATGGTGATTTGAGTAATTCTCGCAAATCATGTGCAGAGGAGTCAATCCATACGCATCGGCCAAATTCACATCAGCACCTCTTCTCAGTAACAATGCGGCCTTCTTCTTGTGTCCGCAGAACAGAGCCCAGTGCAGCGGTGTCCGGCCTCGATTGTCAAGAGCATCGATCTGTACCTGCAGCTGCATTTCGTCGCTGACTTGGAAGAATAGCTTCATGACATCGTATTCGCATTCCTGGCAAATGGTGTGCAGAGGTTTCCTTCCGTATTGGTAGGTCAAATTTGGATCTACTCCATTTCTGAGCAGCAATTCGATCACCTTTTTGTGGCCGGAGGTCAGAGCATAATGCAGTGGAGGATAATCTGATTCGTCAACGAGGCAATTCGGATTCTGGCCAAACTCGAGGAATTTCGCGACAACATCGTCGAAACCATAGTGACAGGCCACTTGAAGGTGCGAGCGACCGAACTCATCGGTGTAATTCACGTCGAATCTATTGTAAATTTTAAAAAGCTCACCGATGATATATTTGTAACCGTGACCAGCCGCCAGGAGCAATGCCGTGTTGCGATTCAATATCGGCTTACCGTCTTCATCAACGGCGGGCTCGTCTTTATAACCGGTGCGAACGACGAACTCAATGAACTCATCCCTTTCATTTTCCTCCACGTTTTGATGAATAAGATGTATGGAATCTGACAGAAGATACTCAATTTCTTCCGCTCGAAAAATTTCTCGCAGATCAGGAAATCGATTCTTCCAATTTTTGATCACAGGATAAAGTTTACAGAGGCATTTAATTCGCTCTTCCCTGATTTCCCAATTAACCTCTCCACGAATACTTATTATACAGTCTATTTTTTCATGGATTTCGTCGATTTCGCCTCTGCTTTTTACATCGAAACTTTCACCGGATTCGTTGTCGGACAATGACATTGTTTGCTCACTCTCATACAATATACAGTCGCTTATAATGCGAAGTATATTTTACTTCTAATCACTTGCTAATTTTAGACAATTCGATTAATTTTAACTCTGTTTTTCGTAATAATCAGTCTTTGAACTCATTTCAAATTGTTGATTATAATTGAGAACTTTACTTCAATTTTCACATTATTTGAATAGAAAAATATTTAGCAAAAACACAAATGAGAGTAAGTGAGTGATGCAAGTTATCTTGAGTTACAATGAATGATCATATGAATAAAATGAAGATGATTAAAATCTGCTATTTGCTGCTTCGGCGTTTGTCAGATAAGGATACTAACAAAATTCGTAGTGGTCGACGTTCAGTAAATGCTTCGAATCAGATTAAACGTTTCACAGTATTAAGTATTCAACAATGCAACGCATCAAATAATGCACAGTTAATGGTCCTACGAAATATTTTTTACTCTTAAGCACTTGTAGCAGACGATGCAATGCGCGTAGATACTGCGGTTTTTGGAAAGTAACGACTTGGTCATTGAAGCCACGTGTTTTAGAGTGCAGCAAACATGTGCACGAAATTTTTCGTGTCAAGTCGCTACCACCAATCGATGCGCCATTTCTATAAACTCCGCAAATAATATCTAAAATATGAGATAGCTGTCATCAATCTCGATAAAGAAGACATATTGTTTAATTTCAGCGGCAGGTTATGGAGCACGCCGTGTCGTAGGAGCGGCAAATTTGAAATGAATGTCCACATTTTTTATTACAAATGGGCAAATGTGGATCTATATTTACAAGATTGTTTTCTGTTAGCTCAATGTTGCCTGTCAGGAGCTTTTTTGGAAAAATTTAACTTTAAAAGGCTTAAAAATTCCTCGAAGGTTTCGTCGCCAGGTTAGAATTTGAAATTGTTTCAAATATTCTAAGAACAATGAGCAAACAGATAAATCGTTACCTAAATTGTAAACAATATGATCATAAACGGTATTTATATTATCCTATGAACACTGTTCGTGTTTATAGTAGAAACAAATTAGTTTGAATATTGTCTTTCACAATGAAACAAGCCATATCACAACAAAAGATAAATTTTATTCATTTAATTGTCGTGGTACAAATTAGAAGGATCCATAGTTTAAGACACCACAATTGATAATATTGAAGAAAAAATTGAAGAAGTTGTCTCGGAAAATAATTCAAGTGATCACGATATCGTTTTTTCAGACGATCGACAAACAATACTTTTTTGACAATTATCAGGAGTCATTTACACTAGAGTTAAGTATGATAGTACACCAAGACACAATTCACCATGAACGAAAAGATTACGAATGTGACAAGTGCGAAAAGAAATTCGAGTTCCGAAGTCATTTGAGCAGACACCAAATATCAGAACACAAAGGCTGCAATGATTTTGCATGCGACAAGTGCGAAAAGAAATTTGTGACAAAATCAAATTTGTCGACGCATCAAAAATTAGTACACAAAGATCGCGAAAAGTCCTCATGTAACAAGTGCGAAAGAAAATTTGAAAATAAATCAACTTTACTCAAGCACAAAAAAATATTCCACGAAGTTTTCAAAGATTACTTATGTGAACGGTGCGCAAAGAGATTTGGAAATAAACACAGTTTGCTCTTGCACATAACAACAGTCCATGAAGACCGCAAAAATTATGCCGGGCACAAGTACGAGAAGAAATTTGGACGAAAATCCGATTCATTCCTTCACCAAAAGACAGTCCGTGAGGGTCGGAATGATTACGCATGTAACCAGTGCGAAAGTAAATTTCGACTAAAATCAGATTTGTTAAAGCACCAAAAGACAGTTCATGCAGGTTGCAAAGATTACGGATGTGACAAGTGCGAGAAGAAATTCGGACATAAATCAACTTTGCTTTTCCACCAAAAAGTAACTCACGAAGGTCGCAAGGATTACTCATGTGATAAATGTGAGAAAAAATTTAGACGAAAATTCGATTTGTTGAAGCACCAACAGACAGTTCACGAGGGTCGGAAAGATTTTGCATGTGACAAGTGCGAGAAGAAATTCGGACATAAATCAACTTTGCTTTTCCACCAAAAAGTAACTCACGAAGGTCGCAAGGATTACTCATGTGATAAATGTGAGAAAAAATTTAGACGAAAATTCGATTTGTTGAAGCACCAACAGACAGTTCACGACGGACGGAAAGATTTTGCATGTGACCAATGCGAAAGGAAATTTGGATTCAAGTCGACTTTGGTCTTCCACATAAAAACAGTCCATGAAGGTCGCAAAGATTACTCATGTGACAAATGTGAGAAAAAATTTGTAAAAAAATTAGATTTGTTGAAGCACCACCAGACAGTTCACGAGGGACGTAAAGATTTTGCATGTGACCAATGCGAAGGGAAATTTGGATTAAAGTCGACTTTGGTCTTCCACAAAAAAACAATCCATGAAGGTCGCAAAGATTACGCATGCGAAAATTGTGAGAAGCAATTTGGAAATAAATCGTATTTGCTCATCCATCAAAGGACAGTTCACGAGGGTCGGAAAGATTTTGCATGTGACCAATGCGGAGGGAAATTTGGATACAAGTCGACTTTGCTCTTCCACATAAAAACAATCCATGAAGGTAGCAAAGATTACGCATGCGACAATTGCAAGAATAAATTTGGACAAAAATCGGATTTGCTCAAACATCAAAGCACAGTTCATGAAGGTCGAAAAAATTACGCGTGCCACAATTGTGAGAAGAAATTTAGGCATAAATATACTCTACTTTTGCACCAAAAGACAGTCCATGAAGGTCGTAAGGATTTCGTATGCGACAAGTGTAACAAGAAATTTTCACAAAAAGTGAGTTTGCTCTCCCACCATACGATGGTACACGAAGGTCGCAAAGATTTTGCATGTGACGAATGCCAGAAGAAATTTGGAAAAAAATCAAATTTGCTAATCCATTTAAAGACTGTACACGAAGCTCGGAGAGATTTTGCATGTGGCAAGTGCGAGAAAAAATTTGGACATAAAGTGCATTTGCTCGTTCACCGAAGAGCAATCCACGAGGGTCGCAAAGATTTCGCATGCGAAAAATGCGAGAAGAAATTTGGGGATCAAAGCAATTTAAGAAAACACCAAAAAGCAGTCCACTAAAGTCGCAAAGATTTTGCATGCGACAAGTGCGAGAATACATTCGGGTATCAAAGCACACTCATCGGTCACCGAAAAATATTCCATGAAGGTCGAAAAGTTTATGCAAGCGATAATTGCGAGAAGAAATTTCGAAATAAGTCGGTTTAATCAGATATCAAAGGACAGTACATGAAGGTCGTAAAGATTACGCGTGTGGCGAATGCGAACAAAAATTTTGAAAAAAATCAATTGCTCAGACATAAAAAAAATACACGAAGAAAGCAAAGATTATGCACGTTACAAATGTGAGAAGAAATTATGAATGGCAATTGTAAATATGTATAGATATTCGAAAAGATGTTTTTCTAAGATTTTAATAAATATTTCGTGCCTTACCTGAAATTCGTGAGCTATAAACTATCTCTACACCTTTGTCCACTGACATATGTCACAATTTGGGACCTAAAAAAAATGATGTACTAAAATAAGTGTAATACAATTTGTGTTATTTTCAGATTTCGAGTAATCATTTTTTGGCTTCGATCTTCCTTCCTTTGGTCGGAACATACCTTCGACCAGTTTTATACACATTTGCAAGCCGTTTGGTGTCCGAATGGAATTTTTTCAATTTTGAAAATCGCGTTTAATCGTCATAACTCTTTTAATTTTCATCGAATCTTTCTGAAATTTACACTGGTTACTTGCAAGTACACTACGCGCTTCTGCATCTAGGCTTTTTGGCTAAGATATAACCCAAGTAACCCACCCGAGTGACCCAACTAATCAAGTGAAGATCATTATTTTTTTTAGGAAGCCTTATGTCCATATTTTGGTAGCGGTTTCTATAAGACTTAGCGCTCAGATATGACGTGTTTCTGATTTTGTTATTGGTTAATTGAGATTGTAAATTACTTCTAATGGTTTTCTGTGTTACAGTGATAAACACTATTGAATTATGTTCTTGAATTTAGATTTGTTAATATAGCTATGATGTGTTGTGCTTCAATTTTCTTTTCATAATCATCAATTTCTATTACTTAATTATCAATTTCATAAATTTAACATGTAAATGAAACATTAAGTTTTCAAAGATAGGGCGAGGAAAGATAATTTATTATTTATCGATGTGAGATTCTTCTGATCGGGTCGGTAACTTAGGAACTCTACGATCTAGGAATGGTATATTTCTGTTGTAGGTAAAAAGAAACGTTTATTAATAGATTATTATTATCAGGGTTTTAGTTTTGACAGCAAAGAACAATTAAGTGGTTGAACTGTACGTCACTCGACAAGTTTCAAAAACCCTTGAAAGAAAAGAGTAGTACAACTTCACCATGCTCAGAATAATTATCCCGTTAATGACAACTTAAAACGGTTGCAAATAAAAGAAAGTTGGAAATAAGTCGGCCTTGAAATAGAGTCTGCCATGTATCCTCATACAAAATTATACTTCACAGGAAAACTTATCTCAGTATAATTAATGAAAATGAAAATGTAATTGAAGTATTATAAATAAAACTATAATTTAATAAAATTTTTACTCAAGCGAGCTCAAATTAATTTTTAAAGGGATGTTAAGAAATACTCCAAAACAATGTCAACAAACAGTTGTCAATTTGTAGTAGAAAGACAAAATAACGTTTGTATCGATAATTTATTTTCAATTCAACAATCGATTTATGTTTGGGTTTTTCATAGCTTATCGGAAAGAAATAACGGGATATAACAATAAAAACAATTAAATAATTATACTTTAGATAGTATGGTGAAATAAAAGTCACTGGGCAGTTATGCGTTTTCAATGTAACTTTTTCCCATTCACAGAAATGATCAGTCATGTAAATATTTTATTATGTAAATTTGTTTGAAGTTATCTTTTTCATCTTGGTTTTAATAATTTTTGTAAGATACACATACATTGACATACAATTTAATGTCCGTTTAGCTGCGATATTTTTCACAAAATTTAGTTTTACATTTTTACAGAGCAGAATAATGAAAGATTTGAAAATAAAATTTTTTCAATAATTACAGATTACTGCAAATATTCTGAGATATTGTATCCAATAATTTCACTTACTGCTTCATGAGCTAACACTTATTTAGAAACGCATATTTTATATTATTATGTATCAAATTTAACAATTATTTAATCACAATAACAAAGAAACTGTAAACCATGACATAGAATATATTTAGATGTAAAAATTTTTGTGTTATGTGAAATAAAAACTTTTTACTATTAAGTAAAGTATACAAAATGCACAGTAAAATATTTTGAGGAGAATTATAAGGTTCATATTTAATTGTCTTCAAACCGTCAAAATTGATGGTGATGTCTAAAATTCAAATATTCTACAGATTATATACGTACATATGTTTATTCATCTAATAATTTATCGTTGATTTATTAAATTTATGTATTTATAATAATATAATATCATTACTTTTATTATTATTATTATTATTATTATTATTATTATTATTATTATTATTATTATTATGATATTATTTTTGCTATTTTGAAATAACTCGATATGTTAGTACGCAGCGAATTAGACAGCAATTTTTACGTTTATTCACATTCTGACATTTGAAATATATGTATTTATAGTAAAAGCGAAGTAAGTTCCTTTATTGAACTGTCAGCTTCTCAATTTTATATTTGTATTTTGGCAACATTTTCAAGAAGAATTTGTTTGTTTTGGTTGTCAACAAATTTGATTTGTCTTGTTAGCTCACCAAGTAAAGAAGTAAAAAACAATTTAAAAAAATCAACTGTTCAGTGACAAGTTGATATAAAAGTTGAACTAGACCACAGTTTTCGTTCAGTCAATTTGAAAATGTTAAATTAAAAATATCACTTCTTGACTCCTAAATGTAAAGGTATGGTAATTCAAATTCAAACTATTTCGTTTTTATTGTATTTTCTATCAAAAATAAAAATCTTCGAATCGAAAATACATTTTTATCTTCAAGTTGTCTTCAAAGGTCGTTAGCAGACTTTTTTATATTCTGTTTTTTTATCCTTTGTTTTACACATTCATGGAGTCGATGTATTTTTTGTAACTTTCATTATGACTGACACAAAAGAAAATTTTGTTTATAATTGATAAATGTTGCATTTATTCTTGTATTTATAGAATAAGATAATTAAATCGCTTACCAACGATACCGATTAAATTTTTTTCGAGTGAATTATGAAGTTGCTTTATTTTTATGCATACAAATCAATAAAAACATTGAAATGTTTGTAATCACGCGTGTATTTCATTTTAACATCAATATACTGTAACGATCATGTTTTAATAATTATTCTTATGCATATTTTATTTTTATCCATACACATTGTACAGCATGACACCGTATCACATGAAATTACAGAATTTCAACTTCAAGTCATATTTCTTACCATCAAACTAGTACTCCAGGCGTTACTTTAAAATTTTTGTAAATATATTTTATCTACTGTGATATATTATGCACTATTAATATTTAATTGCGAACTGTTTGGTATCGCATTTCAATTAATTTAACTTTGATTTAATTATATCGATTCATTTATGGTTGAAACATTTAATACTTATTCATTAAGATTTCAAACGTTCCTGAAAATTATAATGATCATTAATTCCATGACTCCAAGTTGCAAAGAATACAATTTTTTACAGTCCGTCTTATAGATTTTAAAGTATATAGCACCACTTTCTGATCCGTTGAGAATTACTGTGTACCACAGTGCGAAATTCATCAAAATCAGAGTCATGTACTAAACGGCTTTTATTTTTCACATGACAATATACATATATATTTTACCAATGTTGAATGCAATACACCTTTGCATACTTAGGTGTTCATATGCAGCCGATGTATCTCTTCTAACACTGTACATCTTATATAATATATTTCCATACTTTTGTGCATTGCAGGCGACAGCGCGAAATATTTTACGCGGTAACGCGCGACTTTTACCGTAAGACTATCTAATTACACACTTTATGTTCATAAGCATTACATATGTATATTATTCAAGCAACAAAAATATTTTTTTTTAAACGATACATACACGTTATGAACTATGCTTTTTTAATCGAAATACTGTAACAATAAGAGATCAGTATTAGTTTTTTTTCTTATATTAACTTCGTAATAATTTTGATAACTCAAAATTAAAAACGATAAAAGAATCATTAACAAACGAACGTTTATTCAATGTAAACAACGGATACTTCAGAACGTTGGAGAATTATAATGACAGTGATTAATTTTATTACATTTTACTATATACATTAAATATATTTAAATACAGAATAAGTTATGAATGACTTTTAGCAATAAAACTATTTTCACTTTATAGGTTTTTTTCATTGATGTACAGTTGCCTTAAATGTTTGCAGTTTTTAATAATAACGATTTTTATTTCATATTTCTATTAAATTCTCCTTAAACATTTTTTTATTATTTCATAATGTTTGAAATTTTATATTAATACTGTCTGTAATTCGTTCGTTTATAGCATAGAGCTTCATAATTATTTTATTGCAAGATTTTCATACCAAATGGTACTTTGTTTACTTTATACCACTTTTTTTAAGTACCCGCTTATCATTCACTGATACAAGTAAATTTTTTAACAGCTTTTTAAATATTCGTACTAAGCAAATCACATTTGATTAATAATGACAAATTTTAGTTTGACTCTGCATGTCTTGGTCCATTCATTAAATATGTATTTCAATTTTCGTAAATGTATATGTTCGTAATGTTAATGTTTATAATTCTAAATCAATGTACATGCGTGCATTGAAAAGAAAAAAATCAAAACAAGTTTAAAATTTATAAAGTTTTTCGCACCTTTATTAATACCTGCCTTTTCGATTCGTCTAAAATGTACACCTAAATCATATATCGTTTAGCTATGGAAATCCATTTGTGCAATTCATCTTTTAAATCTACGTACAATTTTATTTTTTCCAGAAATAGTGTATCTGTCATTTGGTATTTACATCCCAATCTTTATTGCTTCGTTGTTTGTAAAAATAAAAAGAATCAGTGCAGTGTGCGATCGGTTTTAAACAATTATTTAGTTTAAAGTTTATCGATTATTTTTAACTCTGTTTTTCGTTTTAATCAGTCTTTGAACTCATTGTAAATAGTACATTATAATTGAGAGCTTGAAATTAAAAGGGTAACCAATAAACATTTTGACACGCCTTTTCTGTGATTTTGTTTTTATATTTATAGAAAATTATTCAGTGAAAAACTTGGAAAACGCATTTGGAAATGTTCATTTCACCGTTAAACACTAATAAAGTAAGGAAGCAAAGCAAATTGATCACGATGAATGAATGTAAATAAAATAAAGATGGTTCGAAAGTTGTTATTCATTGTTTCGGCGTTTGTCAGATAAGGATAATAAAAAAATGTGTAGTGATCGACATTCAACAAATCCTTCGCGTCCGATTGAAACTTTTCACAGCTATTCAATTTTTTTGGTATATAAAATATTTTCTTTTTCTGGATACCGAACAAAATTTGAAGTCTAACTTCACTCGAAAAATATACATTAAAGAAATATTATCAAGTGGCTCAAAGTGATATCGAAACATCGATCAAGTCCGGAAAAGCAGTGGTACGAATTGAAGTAATGGTAATTATCGATTAATTGGCACATACATCCGAGTAAAATCAGTCGCCCATGGCGAGATAGCTCAATCGAAGACTCGCAGAGCTTGTCCATGTGTCTGTGTAGCCCTAAACACGCAAACACATATATACCAGTGCCATATCCATCATATACAGATATAGTTACGGTAATACGGTTATTATCCGAAAACGAACGAAAACGACAGTAGTAATATGGAAAATGTAATTTGCGATCAGCTACAAGTGTGTATGTGCGTGCTCGCGTGTCTGTGTCCGTGCGCTACGTCGATGAACAAGTATTATGCAGCAGAGCATGAAGTCGTGCGCCTCCGAGCATCAGCAGCAGGCTCGGGCCAGCCATTGGACGACGACGAGGACGACGACGACGACGACGACGTAGAGTCGGGTTCCGGAGCGTCGCGCGATCACGAGTTCCGTCTCTCGCGATGCGTGTAATAGTTTTAGCGAGAGATGGAATAATAGCTGCCTCATGGACCGGTGGTGGTAGTAGTATTAGTAGTCGCGCAGGGCTCAAATCGTGCGGCTCGACGGCGGCGGAGTCAGTCGAGTGCAGCAGTAGGTAGGTAGGTAGCAGCTGTGCAGCGCACGAGGCGAATTGCCCCGCACTCGGTAATAAGGATTTGCATGATTGAGTCGGCCGTTGTCGCCGCCGCCACTCGTTATACATATAGATATATATATAAATGTGACACACGCTGGGTTGGCTCGGCTGGTGCAGCGCATTGTGACTTAATGAGCGCGAGGCCTATAGGTCGCCGGTTGGCTGTGTGTGTGCCGCAGACTGGCTGGGCTGGACTACTGCTGCTGCTGCTACTATGTGGCACTGCACAATGCGTAAGAAGCCTCGAAGCCGGCCAAATCGATTCACGCTATGTGAACATTTTGCACTTGATGCTGATTCACTCCGGCCATAAAGTCCTCGCGTAATATGGGCAGCACCGTGGCTCCGGCTGCGGCTCTCCTGAAACAGTAATTCGTCGACGCAACGCGTTCCATACACATGGTCCAGCTCTTACTCGTGAAATATTAAGCCTATTGCTTAGAGCTTACGGCAGCACTCGCCATCCATATACAGACATCCACGAGCGTGGCCGCATCCGCACTCTATCTCACGCATTCTCTCGCTCTCTCTGGGAGTGTGTGTATACCATGCCTGCGGGGAGGTTTTACGAGTCGCAGGAGATGACGCGTAACCGCACTCGTATACAAGAGCTTCGCGATGCCAAAGGACCAGCAGTAGCAGCTTGTTGTATTACGATCTATATGCAGGCGCGTATAACTCGATGAATTCTCGAGTGGCCGCGTTCGGAGCGGCGAGCGAGAGCCTAATTGTATGCAGTACTCGGCCCGCCCGCGCGCACATACGTATATGACTCCGAGATTAAAGAGCTATGTACCGCGTCCGCGCGTGAGCTCGCTCGCGAGAGACGCTCACCGTGATCGCGTTGTATGTATGTATGGACTATGTACGCCTGGCCACACCACCGCATGCCCGAGTGAGTGCCTTATTATGCAGACGCCGTAGCTCGTTGCGCGTGGATATGGATTATTACTCGTATACACGTTGCGGCCTCCCTCACTTCAATTATATCGCGGCGCGTATACGTATACGCGCGTGGACAGGTTGCACTTAATACCGACACGGCTGATTTGCGCTTCTCGTGTTACACGCGATCGTATGCACAAACAACGCACCGTGGCTTGCACTCGTTCGTGTCATTACGAAATGAGAGCGAGAGACCGAATAAATATAATATTCTGTAGCAATGAAGCCAAGTTTGATGAAAATAATAAAGCAAATTTACAGCTGCGCAGAGTCATCGTGGTCGAGCCAACGCTGCGTTTTCCACTATACGAATTATATAAAGGCCTCCGCGCGCGAAAGCTCGACTTCCGCGAGAATCAATTAGAGCTCGTGCAGCTGGCGATCCGTTCCGCGCGATTATAATTTATAATTTCGCGGACGCGCGCGCGCGTGTTATGCGAAAGCTCGGCGCTGCTGCTTGTGCGAGGCGAGCGAGAAGCGCAGAAACGATCGGAGCTTTCGCATCGATATTCGCGCTGCGCCACCGTGCTCCACCGAGCTATAATAATATACGTGGTCGATCGTCCGCCGCGCGTCGTGTGCCGTGCGTGATGTCGCTTGAATTACGTCCAACCATACACACAAACACACACACACTCTCACACATCCTGCTTTTGCCAGGCCGGGCGCGCATCTGAAATGCCAAACGCGATTAAAAGTATAATAAGAAATTGCATCGGAACGTAATCAATATTGCACTCGTATACGAGCTAGCGCGCGGCAATGGAGTTAACGGCGGCGCACGATCACACGCACACACGCATACACAATCGGGTCGTGTACTGTAACCGCAGACGTACACATACACACCGTACACGTATATAATATTAAGCTGTATATATCTATATAAAGCCGGGCTACGTGCGATGAATCGAGAGCGAGAGCGAACGGTTATATGGAAGAAGATTGTACGCCAGACATCGGGCTGATACAGCCGAGTTCGGCTTATGTATCGTATATACCTATATATGTCGGTGTGAGCTGCATCTATATATACGCGCATCGTACGGCGTATCCTCCCCGTGTGAATCGGCTCGGAAGAAGTACGATATATTTTATACTTGTGCGCGAACGAGTGCGTTTACGTCTCTATATATAAAATATATATACTGCTACTACAGCCCGCGTAATCTACATAACAGCCCTCGCGCGAGCTTTGAGTGTGGATGTATAGTACGCGAACAGATGAGATGTATGATAAATACACGTATAGAGGTGAGGGTGCGAATCGGAGGAAACCAGTGGAAGCGAAGAAAACCAAAGTGTGGAGGGTATGTATGTACGATGATGTTTCCCCCGTAAAAACCTTGTGCGCTCGTGAGCGTAACTAACGAGTGTATATATCTCAATCGCCAGGCCCGAGCCCGAGAAACAGTCTTCGAAACGAAATGATCCTGACTTACAACGCCGTAGCAGTAACAACAATTGCTATCGTTAGAATTTCCACGTCGTTGCCTGTTACAGTTTTGAAAAAAACAGAATAAAAACAATTTTCACGACTGAGTGAGGTTTTTTATTTTTCTTTTTTGACTCGCACCTGAAAAATCGAATTTGTAAAACCTTCGGGTAGGGAGGAATCGACAGTTGTACGATTGCAAATTATTTATATGGACTAAAGAAACGAGATGTACCAACAAACAATATTATTATGACAAGAATCTCAAAAAATGAAAACTATACTTGGAAATATATACTCTTATTTTTACTTTGCCACCCGTAGATTTACAAATAATAGGGCTTGCCATCTATCGGTAGAGGCTTAAAGTATAAGTATTATCGTATTAAAAGTGATTGGAAACTTGCGATGAGTTGTTGTTAATGAGTTAAACTATCATTTTCAGGTCATTCAATATGAGCTTAACATTTTGAATATAATTGATATGGAAAAATCTCACAAAATGAGGCAATGAATATGCATACTAAATATTTCAAATGGTTATTTTCGGTCATCAGGACACTGCTGAGTATTTGTGCCAAGAATTTATTGATACAAGCACGGACGCCTTTCACACACGTGTTTATTTACGATTTAGTCATTAGCATAAAGTATATGCGTCCAATAAAGGTACTTTGCTGACTAGGAATAAAATCTAGTTACCGAGCTACGAGATAAACTGACTCGCGCTGCCCTGTGTAAAACTTTTTTATTCGCTCGAAGAATCAAGTGATAATGCTCAAAGTTCGATCAGACGAGATTCACCTTTTAACGATGAATCGCTTAGATGTTATTCTGGCGGACAAATGAATATTGGAGCCAGACGGGCAGAAAAGCCTTGTTAATGTTATATCCTTCTCTTTCTCTCTCTCTCACTACGGTATATAGCTGAGCATTCGAAAAACATGAAGGCGAGTTAAAAACGACAGCCGAGTTATTTCTAACTTAACGACGTCATAAAAAAACGTCGAAATTGGTCTATATGTGCAGAGGGAGAGAGAGAGAAAGAGGAACGCTCTGAACTTTTATATGATAGCACTTCGAAACGTATAGAGCGATGTAGTCGACGGTCGGAAGACTTGTAAAGATTTTGCGAGTTCACTGCGGGGGAGAGAGAGCGGAGCCTTAAAAAAGCTAAAACGTAGCCAGTAAACACCCAAACTTTTATTTTCCAGCCATCAAATAATGTTGACGCGTTGCGGAGGGGAAGGGGGTCAGTGAAAGGAAGAAGCGTAGGGTATATAATACCAGTCAATGCGTAAACTTCCGAAAAAAGTGGATACAATCGAGTAATTGCACTTTGCGCGACTCCTCTCTACACCAGTAGTATCGGCAACAGCTATTATACGCAATTGAATTCGCTCGAATCGCAAAACTTTTTTCTGACGTTGCGCAGTTAACGGTTGTGTCGCGCCGAACTCGTATACATTCCACGAGCGATCGCACGCATAATGAGAATGGAATATCAATTTGATGGATTTTTTGTTGTTGCTTGCCACTACCTCGTATTCTTCGCTGCTATATGTATGCGCGTGTTCGAATAGAAATTGCGACGCGGTACTTGGCTGGAATACAACACGAGCGAGCGGTTCGTTTGATCGAATTAAGCGTTTTGACGTGGCGCTGCTTTTTTTCCATGCTACAACGATGCAAATATCAAGTATCAACAAGCGAATACGTATCAAGCGCTTAAACGTATTTTCTTGGAGTTCGCGATTCGAGTGCGTTTGAAAAAGCTTTTAGCGCGCGCCGCGCGCAATACGGAGCGAGCGAGCGAAAAGGTGGAGGATCGTCAAGGGGATTCTATACGTGCTCAAAGATTTTCTTAAACATCAAGCTTCGGTAAGAATAAAACTTTTGAGCGCTTTTGAAAGAAATTGCTGGACTTGTTAACCAAATAAATATTGCCACAAAGGTGGAGGAGGAATCAAAGCTTGCGCGCGTGAGCGAGGTAGTTTCATTTCTTGTCGGCGGCCCAAGTGGATCAATTATATACTTTCGACGGAGAAGAGGGGGGAGAAGAGGTACGAGAGAGAAAAAAAAAACGAAGACGAAGAAGATGCCAATATAGTTTTTCTTTTTACGCAGCGAAACTCGTTGACAAAGTTTCGATTCTTCTTAACTGGCGCACTAGGAAGGAGCTTTTTAATGACGAAATACTTTTGCTCATCTTACGACTGCCGAGAAACGTGTTTACTCCACTCGATTCGAGGAAATTTTATGAGCAATCGAGACGCCTGAAAGATTGAAGAATGGCTTTTTTTCTCGTCGGCCAGCTGCGTATACGTAAAAGTGAATGGCAATTGTATAAGCTCTACGAGCAAGTGCATCCGATACCGAGCATTTATAAATTGAATTTGCCTGTAGTTCGCGGGTACAGCATTTCGGGGCGCAAAGCGTCTTTCTCACTTACAGTCGCTACAATCCCGCGCACACATTTACACACGTCATTCTCCCTCGTCAGCTCTCTCGACTGGAAGGCAAAGCTGAAAGTGACACATGTATAATACGCGCGTATACTCACTGCGCCTGGAGCAATCCGTGTATAGTCGGCGCCAGCACGGGATGCTGGCTGTGCGACTGCATGAGGGCGGCGGGCTGTCGCTGGGCCGCCGCCGCCACGGCCAGTTGCTGCTGCAGCTGTTGCTGCTGCTGACTCACCACGGCGGCCTGGGCCGCCGCCACCGACTGCTGTTGCTGCTGGTGCTGCTGATGCTGTTGATGCTGCTGCTGTTGCTGCACCTGCTGCTGTTGCTGGACGGCCGTCTGCGTGGGCGACTGCAGCTGCAGACTCGTCTGCATGAGAGGCGAGGCCGCCGCCGCCGCGCAGGCCGCCACCGCCGCCTGATGCTGCACCTGCTGCTGATGGACCGCCGCCGCCGCCACTGCCGCGGCCGCCGAGCTCGAGGCTGCCACCGCGGCGGCGGCTTGGCCCGCGGAGCCGACGATCGACACCGCCTGCGACAGCGTGGGCTCCTTGTTCTGGGCGGCTCGGGCTCGCACCAGCAGCGACATGACCGAGCGCTTCGTCGGCGACATGGCTGGACGGCCGCCCGGCAGTAGGGGTCGTTTCCGACCACCTGTGCGTGAAGAATGAAAAATTATATTATTATTATTATCGAGTGCTGTATAATTACACACTCGCACGTGTCACGTGTATATTAGTTATCAACCGGTTAATCGAGCTTGCGACACGACGATCGTTGAAAGTGAAAAAAAAGCTTCGTACGCGGATCTGGACTCGAGCACATGACAATTGCAGTGTACAGGATAATACGAACTGTTCAGAGGGGTACCTTACGTGCACGTGAAAGAGAGCTGTGAGAGAAACGGAGTCGCGTGGAACTGATGCGTATACACGCCGTGTACATACATACACACAAATAGAAATCCGCAGAGGCTCTGGCTATGTCATTCGAGGCGCGTAAGTTGCAAGGATTCACATGCACACACATCGAGGAATACGTATAGAGGAACTGGAACGCGACGACGTAGTTGTGTATATATCGTGGCGACGACGGCGACAAAGGCCGTTATAATTGGTAATGCTATCGTCACCGATGACACTCGCAATCAAGTCTCTCTCTCTCTGCTGCTGCAGCTGCTGCTGCTGCTTCTGTCTCGAGCTCCGATGTGAAAATTGGCTCGCTTCTCGCTCCGCACTGTAAACACGCACGGCTTCAACCTGCAGCACACACGTTCACACAAACTCGCGCACAATCGCACACGACACACAGCAGGACGCAAAGCATATCAGTTCACTCATACTCCGCAGACGTGTCTCCGTGTGTGCGAGTATACGTATGCAGCTATGTGTAATGTGCATGCATGCGATCTGCACAGGCTACATACATAGACGTATCGCGCGTGCGAGTGTAGTAGTGTGTGCTCGAGGACGCGCCGCGCACATACCGATGCTTATATACGCAGCTCCGTGTATGTGTGTGTATACGCTAGAGCTTGCAGGAGCTGAGCGAGAATAATTGGCCCCGGTGCGTGTGTGCGCGCGAGTATGTATACCGTTGTGCTGTTTGTGTGCCATTTGGAGCTGTCAGCAAGGCGAACTTGTGGCTAGAGAGACACGTACACACACACACACACGCGCGCGCGCGCTCAGAGGATCGGGGGTGGCAGGCAGCTGCCTCGGAGCCGTGCATAACGCAGAATCGATCGCATCCGCAAATGAGAGAGAGAGACAGAGACCAAACGCTGCGAGTAGCTCGTGTCATAATGACGCGTCGTAAATCCGACGACGTTGTATTTTGCTACTTTAGCGCGAGAATCGAGCTACGAGGTAGTTTAAGCTCGTGTTCGACGCGGCGGGAGGGCCTCCCTTGCCTCCCTACCGCGCCAAGTGCAAGCACACGATCGTTTGTTAAGTCGCTTCTATACGTTGGGGCTTTGAGATGCAGTCGCGATTCGCCCGCGTACTACTTTGACGCCTATGTACTAGCTATATACACATGCTAGACTATATCTATGTAGCTGCAGAGCCGACGTGTAATTTATACACTGGTTGAAACGGTGGCCCGGGCATTTATCCTCTCTCTCTCTCTCTCTTATCCGAGCGCGAGCAGCAGCGAGACTTGTAATGTATGTCGCGCATCGCCAGTTCGGTCAGAATATATCGCCCCTCGGCTGCTCGTGGCGGCGGCCTACGCGGCTATGTGGCAGCTGATATTTCGTACAGCTTACCAGACACCTCCAGCTGCAGCAGCACCGCTACCGAGGCGAGAGGATCGCTTATCGCCCGAGATCTACATAGAGTCAGGCTCTCTCTCTCTCTGGGTTTATATACCGAAAAGCCGCAAAGAGTCGATCGCGCATAGCCTGCAGAGAGTCTATGCATCGGCGCGTGAGGACAAGCTGGAGCAGAGGAGAGAAAGAGAGAGAAAGATATTCCGAGCATCTCGGAGAAGCGAAGATCAGACGAGCCGATCAGTCAAAGCGTCTCGTGTATACTCCACTACCGCTGCACACACGCGTTTCCATGCAGGGGATGATCGAGCCTCCTCCTTCTCCAGCTTCTCCTCTTTTGCACGAAGCAGCAGCAGCGGCACACGAGGCGGCTGCGGCGCTCAACTGCCACTGGATATAATATAGGTAAAATGCATCGCGTACGCCGCGCGACTTGCAAACTTTCTCTGGGGAAATTTGCCAACTATCATCTATACGTATAGCCGAGATTAGAGCGCGCAGCTTCCCTTCTTCTTCTTCTTCTTTTTTCGCTTCTTCTTTCCTCTTCTTCCTTCTTTTTTTTTATTCGACTTTTTTTTTAGCGACACTTTTTTCGGCGGGCACATTTCTCGAGATTGACGTTATACCGGCGCGCGCGGGGGGGATAAAATTACATCTCTCGCAGCTTGGCTTTATACTCATATAGCCAGACACCTCTGTTTTCTCTCTCTCTCTCTGCCTGATCTCCTTCTATATATACTCCGGGTGCATCGGGTGAACTGATTATATTTTCCGTAAAGTCGCTACTTGCTGCTTTTTACTTTCATTTATATATTACCCGCGCGTTGGATATCCTTCTTCTTCTTCTTCTTTCGCCAGAGAGACTGTCTCGCATTGGAAAATTTATCGTCCGCGCTACAGGCGATCATTATAATAACGGCTATAGCAATCGTCGAGAGTAGTTCCGCGCGGACTCGAAACTTCTTTTTTTTCCTTTCGACACCGATCGAGGGCCGTATAATTCCACAATCGCCTGGCGTTGGCTTCTTTTAGCCGAGTGCACGTATAAAAACTCAACCAACACGAGACCTCGAATGCAAGCTCAATTCGCTCGACATTAAGCCGTTTGCACGCGATCGAGGCCGATCGAGTCTTCCAGCCTCTAGCGCATTATCAGCTGTGTGTGTTCGCCTCTCTGGACTCTCTGCTGATTCGACAGAAATCGACAGGGATATAGCGAGGCTGGGCTCGTGCTCGCGTCCTGTCACAGAGGCCTAAATCGATATTATAAATTAGATAAAGTGCTATGCTCACCGAGGCTGGAAGTGACGGCTGGCAGGACGGTGCCGCTCTGGCCTGCGCCGCCGCTCTGGCTCTTGAGGCACGAGGCCGGATGCGGTGGCGACGGGGTAGGCCGCTGGGTCGTGACGCCGCCGCCGCCGCCGCAGCAGCCCATGGCCATCATGCCGCCCATATCCTCCTGTCCGTCGATCGAGTTGGCCGTCGTCGCCGCCGTCGGCGAGTTGGCGGCCTCGAGGCTCGACGCGGGGCTCAGCGGTGCCTCGACGCCGCCGCCACCCTCGCGGCCCTGTGTGTTGAGTATCTGCATCTCCCACATCTGCTCCTGACGTATGTCGTCGTTGTAGTCCTGCGGGAACAGAGAGAACCAAATGATTTACGTATACGTAACACGTGTGCAATTTGCGCTGCGGGGAGGTGTGCGAGGAGTGGGAAAAACAATGTCTATCGCTAAATAATTATCATGTGCTCGTAATTGTATAACGGCTTATTACGCTCGTGGTGCGAGGCACTTGCGAGCGTATTATATATACGAATACGTTCGCGCATCATACCGCAAAGATACACAATATATAATATGTCGGCGTCGCGCGAGACGATTGTTATATTGCTTTGACGCGCTAATGCGACGGAATATCTTCCTCGGGAACATTCCTCTTCTCTATAGGACTCGGCGTATTATGTACATATGCACTATACGTATATTTGTAAGCTCGGCCGCGTGGCATTAATATATATACGGCATATAATTCGGGCTGCTGTTGCTGCGAAGGTAAACGAGCCATATAGGCGCGACGTGCTGCGCAACGGCGTTATGTTATTACTCGTGTTGTGTAGTCGTGTGTTTGCAGCGCTATATCTCGCGCACATACATGGAATACATAGGCGCCTCCGCGTAATTCTCGACTTGTTATAGGCGCCACCGAGATGTGCGCGCATTATGAGTCGAGCTCTGGCTCGGCGGCTCGGCTTGGCTCTGCGAATGCAAATGTCACACCCACTAGATATTGCACACCCCCCACCCTCGCGCACTTTCCTTTTGATGTGTGCAATACACCAACGTGATATATTATATGTGTTATCACGTAATTCGCCTTATCTCGCAGTGCTATTAAAGCGTATTAAGGCTGGAATTCGTTTGATCCGTTTCGACGCGCGAAATTGACTCGAAATGTTCCATAGCTACGATGCTTCATTTCGTAACGATCGGCATGAGATCAGTCTTGGGCCGTGTAATTTGAAATTTACCCTGATTCGCATTGAATCATCGCAACAATTTTCAGGATGTTTATACTTGTTGGTCAAGTCAATTTGTTTTGCATTTTTACACACACGCGCTCCTCGCTCTGCCAACAAAAAACAGGTCAATTACTTTCAAGTTTTTTCAAATTCAACTTGTTAGCTTAGAACTTTCGAATGTCGTACATCAACCTCTACAATATCGAGGAAAAACTTTTTTCGCTTTCAAAATATACGTCCACGGATGTATTTTTTCGATACATGGGTCGAGTATATCCTCGTAGAAATGCTTAACATATCATTTTAAATATTTTAAACTACATGACCATTAATTGGATTTTTGGATAATTCTGTTACAATTACAATACAAATATCAACGGCATTTAAAATGGCCTGAAATTACAATTAATTGATTCTAAAAATACTTTAAATACACTTAAAATACGATAATACCACTTTAAGTCCTCGCCACTAGATGGGGAGCATATTTATTTGTGAATCCGCAAGTGGGAAAGAAAACATATTTATATAAGTAAGAGTGGCTCATGCACATCATATTCATCAGATTTATTGCTTTGTACAATTCATCATTATTGCTGTTGGTAATATAAATGCGACATAATTAGATTTATTTCTGGAAGTTGGTTAAAGTTTCTACATACAATTGACGATAATGTCATCAAGTTTAAATAACGAATTCTATGTAATTTTTTTTTGTTTCTAAATATAGAAAATTGAAAAATAAGTATTGGAAGTGTTTTGGAATGGTAATTTACGTGAATTTCACAGAGTCCAAAAATGGTCATTTAAAAAAATGTGGACCACTACTTGGCTATCAAATATTGAAAAAAAAAGTTACACTTTTCGTTAACAGGAATGTACCCAATTTTGATAGTATTTTCAACTCCTCGAAACTTTTTTTTTGGCTAAAAACTAACCGTAAATTATTGATAATTTCTATCAAGGTATAATTGCAAGCTTTGAGTTTTTCACCACACATCGATTTAGCCCTGCTATCCGACGAAAGGTACGTTTCTGGTCATCTTGCAACCCAACAACTTAAAACCTAAAATAAATACATGGTCATAACTTCAGATAACATTTTAAATATCCCTTCTTTTCTTTTTACAACTACTTATAAAAGCTTAACGCGTTCCACGTTCTGCTTATTTTATACATAATCCTGAATTTATCATTTCGAAAAGATGTAAAATTTTATAAATTTTCTTTATTATAATAATGCAGGGCGCGTGGCGCATTATTCGCAAAATTTCAGCCGCGTTAGATATATATTTGACGCGAATATTTAAAATTACTAAAGCGCGCTCGCGCGTTATAACTTTATTCAAAGGGCTGAAACAATAAGTAAATATCGCGTCAAAAGGCGAGCTCGCTCAGCTTCGACGTAACAATCTTATCGGCTGGGCTGGGCGCAATTTCAAAGGGCCGACGAGTTGATTTTCAAAATGATGCGTATAAATATATACGCGTTTGATTAAAAAATTATCAGTGAACGCGCGCGCGCGCTTCTGTGTAAAGCCTTTCGATACTTATATGGTCGCAATCGCGATAACATATCATTGTCTAAACCCTAATGTTTAAAAATATAAAAATTTTAATATTATATCTCTTCCGTGTTCTGTTTGAATTTTTGAATAAATTTTTAAGGATCCTCTCAGGTCGAGACATTCATAATGGCACAGAGACCAAAAAATGATCATATCGATATTTTCAACTCACTCAAATATTAATTGGTTTGTTTTTAACAATTTTTCTGTTTGAATTATATTACGAATGATAAGTACGTATTCAATCACGTCAAATGACATTATAATTATTTTGAAAATTTAGACCAGATTTCAACCACTTTAAATACGATAATACAACTTTAATCTTCTACCACTAGATGGCGAGGACTATTGTCTGTAAACTGCAAGTGACAAAGTAAAAATAAAATTATATGAGTCGAAACGCAATCGATACTATTAATTATGACATGATTGTGATATGAATTCATTAATTGTGATATGATATTTGTATAAATTACAAGCGCCCATCTCTATGAGATTTTGTAAGCGCAAGCAGAAGACGCTTGATCTACGCCGCTAGGCCGTCCCAAATATATCGCGCGTTGATCGTCAGTCGCTATTCTGTACTCTCGCCACAGACAGTCACATGCGTAGCATCCCTACATCCTTACATTGTTATTATACATTTACTACAAGTCTTTCTTTATCATATTCTGGTTATATATCGTGTATCATTTTATGGATGTGAAATGTTACATTCTTGGTAAATATGTGTCCAGATCTAATGACTCTGCACTTATGTTCAAGAAACTTTTTCGTTGTCCAAAAATTATTCATAAAATGCGGAGCATTTCTAGCAGGGTTTTTTACTACAGCTACGGTTATTTTAAGTTTAAGTTAAACAAAAAATAAGCGATATCAAGGTCGCGCGTCACACGGTAAACAATGTTTCGCTATTAAAACACGTGTGAATTCATTGTCGTGTAACGGATATTTTGTAATGCCGCGTGTATCGGCTGGCACACGCTCGTGTCAGACGCAGCCCGAGACCTCGTCGGCGATTATAAACGGGATATGTTTTATACACAAACGATATCGCATGACGTGCATCACAGTCACGAGTATCAGCCGCAACGCCGAGGACAGCTAGCTAGCAGCTACGATAGATCCCACGTGCATACGCGCGTGTCCCACCATACCCAGTACGTATGTATGTGCACGCGTGGTTTACCGCGCGATCATCGCGCACTTTGTGCGTTATGTGTTTGTACGAGAGTGCGGGCAATTTTAGCACTGGCGCAGCGAGCCAGTTAGATGCCCCACGCACACGTATCGTCAGAATTTCTCACTCGTCGCGTGCTCTTGATATTGTTTAATCGCACCCGCGGGAATTCCTTGGCTTTCCGGCGCGAGACTCGGGCTTTGATACTATGCGCGCACGTGTCTGTGCAGTGTAGTTCTAGTCGAGCTTTTATGTACTCCACGGTAGCGCGCAGTCACTGCGTGGATCATTGATTCAACTCCTTTGCTTCGGCCTCCTCCATAGCTCTTATATGCGCCGACACACGTTCGCGCAGATGAATTTCGAATCGAAGCTTGATGGAATTAGCGACTTGATCCCGGCGACACCTCTGGAATAACGTGCTCGCTTTGAAATCAGCAAAATAGACATGTTCCGGCGGAATTTGCCCGCCTCTCGCGCACTCCGCACTGTATTCAATACGTCTAAATTCACTTGGCGACGCGACCATAGTAGTAGGTACTCGCTCGCGCGCGCACGGGTGAGAATGAATATTCATGCTCGACCTCGTAAAATTCAACTTGTGCTTTTTTTGGCCGAAGCGTAAAATGAAAATACGCTCGTCGGTTCTGCAGCCGCCACCACCGCCGCTGCCGCGAGCTTGCATTAAATGTTTATTAAAACCATTACGAACTTTTGCCTAGAGTGCGAGGAAGAGCTGCTCTTCCACACACACACTCATATTCTCTCTTTCAGGTAGACTTGAAATTTCACAAAATTAATACTCCGGCGAGCCAACGCAAGGTGCGCGATGCGATACGACATCCGGCGATCGTAGACTTTCCGCTTTTTTTAAAAAGGATAAGAATGAGAGAGCAAAAAAATTAGGAGGCGAGTAATTTTAGTTGAAGAAGAAAAATTATTCCATTTCTATTCTTGCCCCGACCGCAGAAGAAACCTATATACGTGTAGGTGTGCGGTCCACGCGGCGCGCGCGGGCTATAATATCCGAAATTTTTGAGCCGCATTTTTCAGAGCAAAGCCATTTATATATTCTCATCCGACAAGGATGATCCTTTTTACGTGGGCAAAAGTAGCAAAGACGTTTTTGCGCGGAAGTCTTTGGTTCGAGCCAAAATGACCTAGTTATAGACGTATATATATAGTATTTTTTCCGTGGGGCAGAAGTTTATTGTAGTCAGCGGGAGCATATAAGTCACGCGCGCGAGAGCGACTGGGACACGGTACCGGAGGAGGCTCTAGGCTGTGGCTGGGAAAGCCAGAGCCGGGGCCAATCTAAAGTCAATATCAAGGTGAAGGGATAATCTCGCGCTGAGGTTCTCGCTAGATACATAGATATATAGGCTACGCGCTGCTACTGTGTGCTAGATGGGGCAAAGGATCATAAAGTTTTACTCACAGGAACTAAGAAGCGTCGTACTTCAGCCAGGGCATAAGCAATCCTTGCGTGAGCTTCGGCTGGCGTCGCGTAGGCGGATATTTCAACATGCAGATCTTCCATCAAATGTGAAAACTTGGGGTCTCCGCTTACCCTCAATTCCTCTTCCTGCGTGAGCGGCGAGCACGTGGCGGGGGAGGGTGGACGATGAGCAGAAGAAGAGACAAAATTAAATCTCCATGATGTTCCAACGTCACAATATATATGTATAATATGCATAATAATTCTACTTATATCTATATGTGTTCAGCTGCAGTACGTGTATGTGTGTGAGTATATGTTCAAGTGAGCGTGTGTGTGTGTATTAAAGCACTGCTTACAGTGTCAACAGATTAGGGCGATAAACTTTAAATGCATCGGGTCGGAGGAAGAGGCAATATTTTATGCTTCTTTCTCGTCAATAAAACCGCGTGGCTATGCGGTTTATGATGAATATTTATCGTACACACATTCATATACCGTATTCATAATTCGATTAAGTTGGTCGACTGAAATAACAGTAGATACAGCACATAATATTATAAAAGCCCACTTACATTTGATCGTAATCGCCCTTCGTGCATAAATATAGTATGAGTGTGTGTGTATGTGGGTATGTATATTCTACACTAAATTTCCGGGAAAACTCGGTGATTTTATATTCCGAGTGCAAGCGGCATTTATATTTTTCGTAATTAATAATATTGTTTCAGTATGCCAGAGATATGCCACTGCCATGTTAGTTTTATAGCTCCGTGTTATAACATTGCCTGCGTGACACACATAAATATTATACACTCATTAATTCGTTCCTTTTTCATACGAGAGGGACAGAGATTTACTTCCTCCTCTCTCTTGCTTTTTTTTTCTTTTTTAACTTTTTGTTTTTTTTTATTCGTTTTTATATGCGAAAACATCGATTACATAACGTTATCGATGTATCTCGACCTTAAATTGTTAAATGTTGAAATTTTTTAATTGTAATTTTTTTTTAAGATGCATTCATTTATTTACCTTCTGCCTATCTTTCATTGAGCCCCTACCGAGCACGGCCATTTTACACATCGTGTCTTCCTGCAATCGCTTCAGCGAGTTTCCTTTTGGTCCCAGAAGCTTGCCCACGAAATTGAACTGATGGGAAAATAATACGAATAGATTACTTCAAGGCTGCTGTGCCTGCCAATGTTCAATGAATCTTTTGTCTTGAGCCCGCGCGCGCGCGAGCCTCCGGCCTGCGCAGTGCAAAGAATCTCGGCTCGCTCGAGTCTTTATTATAGCATCAGCATAATTATTATTTGTGGCAATCTGATGGTAATTACTTTGGATTAATTTATGATTTTTTATCGAATTTTCATTACTCTTGGCTTTGGATATTTAATCAGGTCGAAGTACATTCACAGGTGCATGCACAGCAAACACTATTTATTAAATATGTGCGGTTACTTAACGAAGGGGAAAATTTAAATAGTGCAAACAATCGACAATCTTAATTAAAATATAAGAATTAAGTGACAAGTTTGGTACCCTGGTAGAAATGCTTGACATTTTATGTCTAGTTTTTGACCATCGAAAAAGTTTTTTATTTAATCTTAGTTTAAAAATAGCTTCTTTCCTTGATCATAAATAAAACATTGAACCATTCTATAATTTAAGCAAATATGTTTACTTTGCCGCTTGCATATTTACAGATAAAAGTACTCACCATCTAGTGGTGGAGTTTCAAAGTTATATTATCGTCTTGAAAGTGGGTGTTAACTTGTCCAAATTTTTCAAAACAATTGAACGATCATTTTTAAGTCATTTAAATATTTGTAATATAATTGTCATAAAAAAATCACTAAAAACAAGCCAATTAATGATAATGTATTTTAAAACATTTTGAATAATGATTTTTTGATCATCAGGCCATTTTTAATGTTGAGCATTTCTACCAGTGTAAACATACAGAGGATGACTTCGTGCATAGATAACTAAGGAAGTACAAAAATACACAATTCCCCGAGGTGCACATGCAACTATGCTATAGTACTTTACGCGTCATGCACTGCACTTGTCGAGTTACATAGAAGGAGAGAGAGGCACAACTGTGCGGAGCGATTAATTTTGAAGCAGAAAAAACGAGGAGAGAATAAAGCCCGACGAAAGAAGTGGTTAGACACATAATAGCGAATGGAGGCACAAAAAAGAGAGAAAAACTTAATTAGCAGTAATTAAAAACGTGTAAGCCTCTCTGGATGGGATAATACAACGTTTGCTGTCACCCATAGCAGTAGCTGCTCTCTGAGCTTGCAGTGCTCTATACGCGCGCGCTTGCACGGTAATTCATTAAAAGTTGGTTGAGAGACTAGTGAGCACCACACACACGCGCACGCACACGCAGCAGAGAGCAGAGGGCAAAAGAGAGAGAGAGAGAGAGAAGCTTTGCTATACTACCTGGTACTAGTGAAGTTGGCATGCGAAAACTGAACGACGTATACGCGAACAAAGATACTCTCGCTTTTCGTCTCGCTGAAAATGAATACGTATATACGCGGGGTGCGCATATAATCTCTTTGAGGTGCGTTACTACTGCTGCGTTACTACCTCTCGACCAAATATATATATGGCGGGCGGGAATTTCACGGCTCGGCATCGTACATCTTTCAAGACCCAAACGAACGAGCTCGTGCCGTCGCTACTGCTCCAACTGCTCCACAGTGCACTGCACTGCTGCTGCAGCGGAGCGGGACAAAAAACGACGTATATAGCTGAGAGCCCCGCGCGTACACGATGTATATAATATATAACGAAGCGAGAGCGAGAATAAAAGACAATATCGTCAAAGCTCGACAAAAGTTGAAAGCAGACAAGTAGTACCAGTAATTTATATATTATATATACGATGGCAGAGGTACGACAGCACCGTGTACGGCGCGCGCAAGCTCACCTTCGGATGGTCACGAACGGGAACTTGTACTCTGACGGCAACTTTAATTGGTTTGTCCCTTGTGATGTCGACCATTCTTCGCTCGCTACTGTCGTAGCCGCCGCCGCCCCCGCCTCCGCCGCCACCACCGCCGCCGCCGCCGCCGTTTCCCCTCGAGCTCATCAGTCTGACGCTGCTGCTGCCGCTGCCGCTGCCGCTGCTGCCGCTTCCGTTCGACTCTGCGGACAGAAAATAATAAGTCGCAATGTGAAATAACGCATAGCACGCGTACACATTTTCAAGCTTAAATAGCGGCCTGCTGGAGAGGAGCGTCAAGACAATATATAAAACGTGAGAGGGGGCGAAGAGCTACTTGCGGCTCGATCCGTATAACGCGTGTAATATATAGCAGCAATGCACACCATTGCGCGTCGGGGATGAGGCCGAGCTTTTGGCTGGGCGCTGAGCATGGAAGTTATAAATAAAGTTTCAACAAAAGCCTCCCCGGAGCGAGACCCCCCCTTAAGACGCTGTTTATAAAACGAGGTGAATCCAAGGGACACGGAAGTAGTTATGTAAGTGTATACATGCAGAGGAGCTAGTTTGCACGTGATAAGACATCCTTTTTCTCGAGGAACAAAAAGCTTCGCTATTGCTGCTGCTGATGCGCGTTGAAAACATTTTCGCGCGGCTTTGGCGCTACTTTTCTTTTTCTTTACTCGCAAATTGTGTGCCGTCGTGTAACAAGTGTCCTCGGCAGATTTACGTATGGCCGATTCTCGGTCGAATCGAATGACCTGAAAGATTTTGGAAGTGAAGTATCTTCATAGGTAGTTGCTTCGCGCACTTTTAATGGACAGCTTTCGATGGTACCCAGAGTATGCTCGATCACTTATATACTGCGACAAACAACAGAGGCGAATAATGCTCGCCGCTCATGCCTCAGAAACGTCAGCATTGGTATCTCTGTCTCTCTTATGTTCGCAATTGCCGATCGCTCATGTTGTATGTCTTTGTATGAATTGTACGATATTATAGAGCAAAACATAAGGACGATGGACGTAAAGATTATTATTTCAAAATCCATCATGTATTGTAATAAGATTTATATTGTAATCAAAGGTGTCATAATTAATCATGAGCTTTTTGATTCCACCAACAGATGGAGTATTCTAAATCCGCATGTGGCAAAACAGAGTTCCTTCAGTATTAAATCAACTTTCTTATTATTTCAAATTCACTTTCATGGATTCAATCGAAAACTTGAAGTAGTGAAAATTTATTAAAGTTTGACAAAGAATCTAAAAAAAATATTTTCAAATTTTTTCACTGGAAATTGTTTGGCATGCATTTCTCGCTTGGGTTTTGCTTGGGTTATGAATTTATTTGGCATGGATTTCTAATGAATCGAATGAATGAGGAGAAGCGGGATGTGTATGTTTTTGCTGACAAAAATTATTAATATGTTTGTCATATCAAAAATGACGCAGAATACGAATACAAAGACCCCGAGTGTAAATTCTACTCGAGAAAAGAAAAAACTGTAAATCTGATCAAGTTTGATCTAGACTTTTATCTGCACTCAAAAATTTAAAAAGCCTCTTCACATAGTCATGATGCATTTTATAAATTTTTGAAGAATTTGAAAAACAAAACCCGAAATAAAAGTTTATCGTTATTTATTTTTCACGAAGAATCAGTTACAAAGTGGTAATTTCAGGTACAAAGGAGAAAAGGATACCAAGAAAGTTCGAGTGACAATGTTGTCTCTGTTGAATATTGTTCGAGATCGTCGCACCGAAGATTATAGTCAAATGAAAGATGGCAAGCCTTTTTTTCTCTGACGCGCGTCGATATGAAAAAAATAAGGTTTAAAGAAGTGGCGTGAGAGCTGGCATAAAAATCTCGAGGGAGAGTTATTTTTCCATTTTGCCCAAATGAAATTAGCCGAGGCGCGAATGAATATTATACATATATCGCGTGGGCCCCGCATCTGCTGCTGCTGCCGCTGCGCCATAGAAAAAATGGATTAGCGTCAGGTCATTAGTTGGGCGTCTTTTCTATTCCAAGTAGAATCTTCGGCCTCATCAGCATCATTATCATTATCGTCTTCGTAGTCGTCGTCGTCGTCTTCTTGGCCGTTGCCGTCGCGCCGTTGACACTTCTATTGTTAGGGCGCGCGCGCATGAGCCTCGGGGACTGCTTTGTGCAAAAAAAGGGAAGGAGGAAAAGCGAGTTTTGACGTGAAAGAGCAAAGCTAATTTCCTTTCCAAAGAGAAAGAGAGAGAGAGAGAGAGAGAGAGAGAAAGTAAAGAGAAGAGAGAGTGGAGGAAGAAGAGATGCCTGTAGCGAGGATTTTCCTCGAGCACAATGGCCAGCTCTAGCTATTCTCGAAAGCGATCCTTTCTACGTCGTTAAAAGCTGTAATGTGTTGTCTACGTATATACGTATATATGCAGCTGCATATAGATGCACTCACTCGGACCACTTGACTATGCATAATAGACGCGGTGGCGGCGCGCGTGGCAGGCGCAGAGCGAGCTCTGGAAGCGACATCGAGTGCGAAAATTATCACTCGATCAGCGCGCGTGCGTATGTTTATGCATGAATTGGCGAAAATAGGCTTAGAATATTATGCAGTGCGCTGCTGATGCGCACATATATATTATATATATCTAGAATGTAGCACACGAGCGCGTACTCCAGCGTAACGCAGGAGTGAGAGGCATAAACGCGCTCTCTCTCTCTCTCTCTATACCTCTACGCTGCTGCTCGCTTCGTGTGAGCCAAACCGAGCCGCGCCATTAGGAAGCCGAGAGAGCGAGAAGAGGTGAGCCTAGTGCGGTTTCGTGCGCGCTTGATTCGCGACGATTATTCGCGCGCGTTGGAACGGCGATTATTATTATTATTATGATTATCATTATGTGCCGATGCGCTTGTTTCAACGGTCCTCGTGCACTGCGCGAGGGCAGTTATACGCAGCCATGTGTAAACGCGGCTGGACTAGTGATTGCTGCCACGCCACTGTGCGTGTGTTTGTACCGCGATGCAGCCTTTACGCGTATGAGGTGTATAATATTGGCCGTTGCGCGGCAGATTTGTGTTGCATATAAGGGCGCGGCCTCACTGTTGTGCCAACTTGAGTCAAGAAAATTACGCACCTATAGCCATGAAAGTAAGACCATCGTACCGTATTTTCTTGATTTTTGACGTGTAATGCTTAACATTATCTTTTTAAAAACACTTATTTTGTAAGCCTACAGTTTTTTTGGTTTTTCGAGTCCATAGGGAATACGTCCTGTACAAAATAATAACTACTGTCCTGAATCGCTGCCTATATACTTCCAACGTTTTCTAGTTGGCAACAAAAACACGATCCAACACGAGCTAAGTTGGATTTATGCGTCTAAAACAAACTGCCGCTCGCGTCGACGCGCCATAAGTGCACCGCGCTCCAGCCCTAAAATCCCAAATTACGTCCCAGCTCGAACGAGTAGTACGCGGAGGCTGTAATTCCAAGATTCGAGAGTACTCGCATCCAGAGCATAACGCGTGTATGTACCACGAGTATTGAATCATATATGTAGGCTTCGAAATTGATGAAATTTACACGAGGCATTGGACGATAGCCGCGCATGTACGTACGCCGTTATAGCCACGATGCCGATGGTAAACATATATAGTGTTACACAAACATATAGTATAAGCGCGGATAATGGCATTATATATGCGCTCTATATCGATTTTTCTTTTGAATAGTTACAAGCTCGGGCGACGGCTACAAGAGTCGCGCGTCTGCCGCATTGAAAGTCATCAAGAATATAATGTGTATAAATACGAGTTGGCGCCGCGTTGAAAGAGTTAGAAAATCTACCGGGCGTGCACACGTAACTGCATACACTCACTTTCCCAAGGTAGTCTGCGCCGCTCGTATACACTAGAGCCGCGCGCACCGAGTGTTGTATGCACCGGGCACGAGACAAAACAATGCCAGTACACACACAGAGATCGTAAGAATGGAAAACTAGGTCAGCTCGCAAAAGGGGGGCGTGAAACATTGCGATCGCCGGCTTACTATTTAATGTATACAAATTTAACGACGTTAAGCAGCATTCATATTTCCCCCTGTACCCCTATACCCACCCCCTCCCCCCTCGAGCTTTTGTCAATTATATGTAATTTGTATAATAATAGTTATTGTTGTGTGCGGCGTTGCCGCCGTCGGGGACTCAGCGAGAGCTCTCGTTGCAGCAGCAGAGCGGCTTGATACGTCTGCTTGCATTTTCAAATCTCCGTATTATATTTTCGCGTGCGCACATCGACGCGCGTCAACGCGAGCATTTCAAATTCATCATAAACTCCTCTTTGTAAAATTGCCATTAGCAGCAGGTAGCGCTGGTAGTAGCAGCTCGTTTCGATGTTACAGCTTTGCTCGCGTGCACAATAGATTTTTCGGGGCCGCTCTGTATACGAGCTGTATCCTAACACTTTGTTTGCGCACAGTCGAGTGGCCGCTCCATTCGTGTGCTCGCGTACCGTAGTAGAGTAGCTCCACTACAAGCGCGCCTATTATATACACTGCGCCATATAGCTTTGCAAATATAATATTGCGCTACCTTCGTTAGTCACGCAAAAGGGGTTTGTTTGTTTATTTTGCAAATTGGAATCGAGCTCTGTTATATTTATTCTCATCAGGCGAGGCACGTTCGACACATCCATCGACTGCTCTCGCCTACACACGCGAACAGAGACAACTCGCGAGAGATTGGAATATAAGAGCGAGAGCGCGAGATTTTAATCACTTTTGAACGTGCGCGAACGCGACACGCGCGGCGGAGCTCAAGTTGATCGAGCGGATTTACGAGTGCGGCGAGGTTTTCAGCGGGTGCCATTCATCCCGCGATTCGCTTGCGAGCCTACGCGAGTGCTTTTTCATATACGCTCGAGTGCGGGAATGTATAATATAATGCGTTCTCCAAGTATATACGTAAATTATTGGAATGAATCGTATGATCGGAGCTTATGATATTTCTCTCCACTAGCTCCGACACTCGTACGTTTTTTTTACACGTCCATCTTGAAAGTTTCGCAGAGGCAAAGTAGTACTTTTGCTTGG